GGGAAATTCGCTGTGGGAAGTGGGATATCTGCTCCTCGTGGGCTCCTCGTGAGCTCCTCGTGTGTCACCCCGCCAATCTCACTGGTTTGGATGGCCCTGAGCCCTAAGATCTCGGGCTTCTAGATGCGGTGAGAGAGCCGCTGTCTTCTTTTCTTTTCTTTTCCTCTTTTCCTCATGTTTTCCCTCTTTATCTCTCCTTTCTCCCTTATATCGTCTGGTCGTATTCCGCCTTGCCATTTTCACCCCGTTGACTCTTCTCTCGCGACTGCAACGGCAGCTGCATCATGGCTTCTCCAGCATCCGACGAGAAGACGCCTTCTACGACAGACAACCCTGCCGCAGTCAACACCACATCCAATCTGGACCCCGAGAAGCAAACCGTCACCCAGGTTGAGGATGGCAATGGTGGACCCGCACCAGCCTACTTTCTCGTGACCCCGGAAATGGAGAGGAGAGTGGTGCGCAAGTTGGACATGAGGCTCGTCCCTCTGGTTATGGGTCTCTGTATGGAGTGCTGCACCGCGTGGGGAGCTGCCTGCTAATGCTCTTCCCAGATCTCCTGGCGTACCTCGACCGTTCGAACATTGGGTGAGTATCATCAATTCCCCCTGCGAAAACCCCCTGACCGCTCTCTAGAAATGCCAAGATTGCAGGAATGGAAAAAGACCTCCATCTCTCCTCCCCCAACTACCAGTGGCTCCTGACCATCTTCTACATCTCCTACATCGTCTTCGAATGGTTTGCCCTGATGTGGAAGGTCATCCCACCACACATGTGGGCCGCCTTCTGCGTCGTCGGCTGGGGCATCGTAGCTACCTGCCAGGCCGCTACCTTCTCCTTCTCCGAGATGATGTGCGCGCGCTTCTTCCTGGGCTTCTTCGAAGCCGGCTACGGTCCAGGAATCCCATATCTGCTGAGCTTCTTCTACCTGCGGCATGAGATTGGTGTCAGGATTGGCGTATTCCTGTCGGCGGCCCCGCTGGCGACGTGCTTTGCTGGCGCGCTAGCCTACGGAATTACCAGTGGAAATGATGCCCACCGGATCCATAATTGGAGACTGCTCTTCCTGGTGGAAGGGTTGCCGTGTATCGTCGTTGGGGTCGCTACGTATTTCCTGCTGCCAGACAGCCCCGAGAAGGCAAGATTCTTGAATGAGGAAGACAAGCGCGTTGCCCGAGCTCGGGGCGTGCGACAGGTGGGAGACGAAGAAGCCCACCGCCTGGGGAGTGTTAGTTTTAAAGATATCGGCATGGCGCTGCTCGATCTGAAGGTATGATCCTCCGGTCCTATCTAAGCGGCTGAGCCTCCCTTCCCCACCATCTGTCACTGGCCCCCACTACCCCACACTCCCCCCACCATCCACTAACCGCTCTGAGATAGAACTACTTCACCGCCCTGATGTACTTCTCCTGCAACGTCTCCTTCTCCTCCCTCCCCGTCTTCCTCCCTACCATCCTCTCCCAGATGGGCTTCACCCCCATCCAAGCCCAAGGCCTCTCCGCCCCACCCTACTTCCTCGCCTTCCTCCTCACCATCGCCACGACCTACATCGCCGACCGCACCCAACAACGCGGCCTCATGATCTTCTTCCTCTCCCTCACCGGCGCCCTCGGCTACATCCTCCTCGCCGCCACCGAGAAGACCGGGCCGCGCTACACCGGCGTCTTCTTCGCCGCCGCCGGCATCTTCCCCTGCATCGGCAACATCCTCCCCTGGGTGCTGAACAACCAAGGCTCCGACACGAAGCGCGGCACCGGCATCGCTCTCCTCAACCTCATCGGCCAGTGCGGTCCCCTGCTCGGCACCCGCGTCTATCCGCAGAAGGACAGCCCCTACTACAAGCTCGGCATGTGGGTCTGCGCGGGCTTCATGCTATTCAACGCCTTGCTAGCTATCGGTCTGCGCACCCTGCTTGTGTGGGAGAATCGCGTCCTGGATCGGAAGTACGGCGTTGTGGCGCGTGCGGATGGGAACGGTAAGGTGGAGGATGACATTAAGGGCGAGCCGGGCGTCGGCGTTGAGAATGATGGGCCGAGATTTAGGTATGTTCTGTAGGTTAGGTAGGTAGGGACGGATAGTTTTCACATGTTTCTTTTGAGTGTGGGAATGTGGAGGATAATATATATATATAAATTAGATAATACAATCTATCCATTAATCATATCTATCTAGACATAGATATAAATCTTCCCAAATACTATCTATATCTCTCACTCAACGAAACAGAACAGAAACCAGAAAGTAACCTGGTTACTTCTCTCATCGCACCGAGCACCACACTCTCGACAACCCTCAGAATCAGCCGCAGGACATAGGTAACTCCAGTGCTTCTCCTCCCCTCCCCCTGTTGAGCCTAACAAAACAGCGCCTATCCACAAAACACTACAGCAGATCAGGATCAAGTCGACAAGCCTCATGGCCCTTGCGCTCTCCCAAGTCAAGTACGCGGCTGAGTAGGTAGATGATGACCAGGCTAGGCCAGGCCAGACCCCTTGAATACCTTACGTTCGATTGGACTCCTATAGATGATGGATTCGGCAGGAGACAAGCTCCTCTTTGAGCGAAGTGGGATGGGGGCTGGTGCTATGCTACTGCTTTGGAATTGGAAGAACTCGAGGGGGATAGGCAGTGATGCAGAATGAAGATACTTGCGAAGATTTGATAAGGATCTCAGCCACACAGCGCCTTCGCCTCTGCATCAACAACTTCATGCATCTCGTGCCCACCAACCAAGAGACCCATGGCCATGCCACTCGCCTGATGAAAAATAACATGGCAATGCAACATCCAAACCCCCGGATTATCAGCGCGGAATCGTAAAACCACGTATCCGTGACTCGGCACACTAACCGTATCTCTCCTGACCGGATTCAGCAGATTCAACTCCGGCTTCTGCGCGGAATTCCCGCTTGCCGCATATGGTGAATAGCTGCCCCAGCCGTGCGAGGTGCGATGGGATGCTAAGACGTAAAAGGAGTAGCCGTGTAGGTGGAAGGGATGTGCGCCATCGTCTAGATTGTTGATGATGAGATCGACCCAGAGAGGTGTTGAGGAGGGAAGGGGGATGAAGGGGATGAGTTGGTTGGCGTCCCAGGATGAGCGAGGGAGGGAGATTAGGGGGAGCGCGGGGGAGGATTGAGGACTCCAGGACGTCCGGTTCATGAACCCCATGGGATGGTTGGAGAACTTGGCGAGTTTCTGGGTTTTGGTGTAGAGGAGTATGGTTTGGTCTGCTTCTTGGGGGATGATGCTGGTGGTGTCGTTCATATCGGCGGATGGTGAGAAAGTAGTTGTTGTTGCCTTGGCGAGATCGAAGTGGGTGGAGGGTTTCTTCCAATCCATCAGGGTTTGTTCGTCGGTGCTATTAGGAGTCATCGTATTTGTATATATAGGAAACGATTGATTAATCCTGAGTGCCGGATTTGGATACCGAAAGTTTCTGGTGTCTATGTCAGCCTTGTATCATTTATTTTGTTCCGATCTCATTTTGGCACCTACTCTGAATCCAATGAGATATGTAGTCTTGCTTCACTAGAATCTAGGCCACCATCCCACATCACGAGAGCATCCATGCGCTCTCCTGGATAGAGAATCCCGACAGAATCGGAAGCAGTAGCTGTAATAGGGCATCCGCCGTCTACAGTTAGAGGCTTCAGGGTGCCTGAGCTGAGGCGCAGATTGAAGCCGGCCAGAGAACTGATAGATGTTAGATCAGGAGGATTTAAAGAATTGTTCTTGTTCATACCCCACATTTGCGATTCTCAGCCTTATGGGTGAACCACTAATCCTCTTGCTCAATATTCCAGGCATTTCCTCTGGTAACTTGTCGATGCACTCGACAGGTCTCGCTGGCACAGCCATCGAGCATATGAACCTCCCCGCTCCATTTATAAGCAGCGAGTCAGGAACGGGCTAATACACACTCAGTACATGCCACACAGATAAATTCATGAGAAATGAAACATAGAAGGTGCACTTACCTCGTTCCCAAAACCCCGTACGCTCATATACCACGCGAGAACTTCTTCTGCACTTCTGTGATACCAATCACCAATTAAAAGCAACACTTCATTCTCATATCCATATTGTGACATTTCCGTTTCATCATTCGCAGGTTTATGAACCACCAAACCTCCATACATGCCATCACCTCTTTGGACCTGCGAATGAGCATGCCACCAGAATGTACCAGACGTAGTTTGCTCAATCTCAAACTCATACGTGAACTTCCCCCCAGGTGAAATAGGGCATTGCGTAAATCCAACGGCTCCATCCATAGCATTGGCATTCCTCATACTGAGCCCGTGCCAATGGATGGAGATATCCTTGTCGACCAAGTCGTTCGTCACATGAATGACAAGTCTATCTCCAGAGCGACATTCAATCGTCGGACCAGGAAACTCGCCATTGACCAAATATACATCCTTCTTGACCCCGTCGGGATAACGAACGCCTGACGTGACAACCCAGTCCTGAGCTATCGTCTTGGGAGCCCGATACACGTGATGTTCGGGATGAAGTTCGATCCCAAGCATTCTCTCCAAGCTGTCAGCATTGTGAGAGCTGCTGGATACTGTTGAGCGCGAAGAGGAGCTCTCTAGTAATTTCGTCAGTGATGTCATGAATATGACGCCCAGGAAGAGGATGGCAAATATGAGGCCGCATGGTCGAAGCCATTTGCTGTGATCCGAACGGCTGGCATTTCCTTCCCCTTGCTCCTCACGGACAATGTGCTTTTGGGGATAATGAGGGGTTGAGCCTTGGCTCAACAGCTCGTCTGCTTCGTGGTAATGTGCTTCTTCATCATCCAAAGATGTGTCGTCGCTGAAAGTTCCGCTCGTAGCAGTTGGCTTTCTTGGCCTGTTGGGCGCGACGCTTATCGGCTCTGCCTCGTCGCCATCTCTTCTTCCCTCCATCAATATCGATCAATCCCATCCCAACGACAGAGACCTGCCGTTAAGAGCCTCTCTTTGATATTGAAAGAGATCTCATTGAGGATAGTCGTTAGTAAGAGCCGCATGACCATTGACCTTCCCTTTGTTGGCGTCGGTCGAGGTGCTTCGAGGTGGGCGCACACGTGGGTTCGGAACGACCAACTACAATTGGCAGGCGATACTTGACGGGCAAAGTCACTACTGTCCTAGCCACACCTCCGGCAATCCATGCAAGGCATGATCATTTTGTAGGGGTTAATTCCCTGGTTCTGTCTTGCACGGGGAAAAACGACTCGCTTTCATTGGATCATTGTACATCTGCTTATTTCAACGGCCGAGCGGCCGAGAAGGCTTCTCGAAGACGTCAAGATGCCCCTACGATCAGAAGTCGCCAATTCACAACGTGGGGTCTCTGGTGCTTATGTTCTCGGATTCTTCACTTATTTGCCATCCCGTGTAGGATGCGTATCTCGTATCTCTCTGATCATCCCGCTTCCCTGTCACAGTAGTGGCATGTAGCTCTAGACACCTTTGAGCTACGCTTTCTACCGTATATAATGTATATAACTCCTCATTTCTTGGATCTCGATTCAACGGTTGAGACTGGAGACGGCCACTACTGACATTGAAATACAACAATGGCAGTTATCACCGAGCTTGTCACAGCGTTTGCTGTGATGTATCCCTTCCTTGCAGGTCCAGCATTGGCTGGATCCATCGCGGACATCGAGCATGTCGTCCTCTTCATGCAAGGTACCAATGCCCTTCCCATATTTTGGCCTTCTCTTACAATTGCCAGAAAACCGTGCTTTTGACCACTACTTTGGGACTATGGCCGGTGTACGTGGTTTCTCGGACCCCAACGTCCAATTAAACGATGGTGTTCCTGTTTGGCAACAAGAGGTCAACTCTGAATTGACAACAGAAGCTTCTTATCTTCTCCCCTGGTATCTCAATTACCAAGGTGGAAGCTTCCTAAATGCGACACAATGCATGGGTAAGGATTCCCGTGGGGTTGATTCCCACGTCTAGGATTTTATCATAAGCTGCGAGACATATTTTCTTCTCAGAGATGGCATCTTGTGAATGATCATGTGCTACAAGTTACAACTGCCAGATCCTGTTCCAACTTTTCTCTTTCTGTTGAACCTAGACAGTTACTGACTCATCGAACAGTGGCAGGAGACAATGGATGGCAGGATAACCATGCTGCCCTGAACGGAGGCTTGAACAATCACTGGGCTACTAACAACACTCCATGGAGTTGGGGACACTTCCAACGGAGCGATATCCCGGTTCAGTATGCGATTGCTGATGCATGGACCGTTGGTGATATGTATCAAGTAAGTGATGCTTTAATTCCAGCTTCCGATTTATGAAATTCAGTCCTGGATTCATGCATACCAGAAGCGCATATATTCGTCACGCACAGCTGTCCTTTTCTCAGGATCGATTTGATATTCTAATTGAGACACTGATCTTTTGTAGGAATCAGTCATTGCTTCGACCAATCCGAACCGTGTTACTTGGGCATCGGGTTCAGTCAATGTGCCAGGAAGTCCCCAGACAAAATCGGAAGGTGGATACCCCTACATTGATAATAATGAAACCCCCGGTTGCGAGAATGGTGGTTTCAACTGCTACCCACTATCTTGGAAGACGGCAGCAGAATTCTATGAAGATGCTGGTGTCTCATGGTCCGTTTTCCAAGATGCTGACAACTTCGACGACAATCCATTGGCCTGGTTTTCTCAATTCCAGGAAGCTTTACCCGGGTCTCAATTGAGAAACAAGGGAATGGTTGGCAGTACTCTTGATGACTTTTATGCCATGGCTGCCAATGGCACTCTCCCTGCCATCTCGTACGTCGTGGGTCCTACTGAATTAAGTGAACATCCTCCTTGTAAGTATCCCCTCAGAGCAGAGTATTCTTGGGATCGTTGCCATGAATTGTGAGACACAGCCTGCTGCTAAGATACGTATTGGTATTAAGCTCACTCTGTGCCTCGTGATTCATGTTCCACAGCCTCACTTTCTATACCGACTAGATACTTTCTGACTCTCATTCTCTAGATGCTCCACGTGATGGAGCTTGGTTGCAGAAAAAAATCGTCGACGCTGTAACTCAAGGCGCAGGCTACAACAAAACGGCACTGATAATCTCTTACGATGAGACGGGGGGATGGGGTGATCACGTTGTCCCATACCACTCTCCCAATGGCACAGTAGGAGAGTGGCTCAATGATCCTTATAACGAAGTCGGATACACATATAGTGGTCCTGGTTTCCGACTACCATTTTACATTGTCTCTCCATGGACAAGAAACGGAAACGTGTTCACTGAGCATGCGGATCACAATTCGCAAATTTTGTTCGTCGAAGAATGGCTTGCTGCAAAGGGAATAAATGTTACCACTAACCAAATGGCTCCTTGGAGACGCCAGCATATGTCCTCCCTCACTAATGCCTTCGACTTTTCCAACCCCGACTACTCCCTTCCGTCTTTGCCATATGCACCTGCACCTCACACAGATTCTTCGGGTGCTTATGATGGAGCGCCACACTGCGAGGGCTTGTACGCTACCACTAGACCCACGGTGCCATATACCCGCCAAATCTCACCCAACAACGTCTCATCCCTCTCAGAGCAAGGCTTCAAGGCTATGCGTGGTGCTCTGACGGAAGGCCGCTATATCGTCTTTGAGATGGGTGGATATGCTTTGACCAACGCTGGACATCCATCTACGGACTTTGCAGCGAGCAAAGCAACAGCTACGCACAACGACATTAACCAACGATGGGTTGTGCACAGCTTGGTTGATGGAGGCAATACCTTCACTATCAGCAGCGCCAAGGATGGGAGATATATTGGCGCTCACACAGCTTTGATCGACGATTCTAGAGGAGCAGAAACTTATCAAGTGACTTTCAAAGCAGGCGAAGGTTATTCCCTTCAGAAAGAAAATGGAAAGTATATAACGGTGGATGAGCAAGGACATGTGCAGATCACGGCCGAGGCTTCGTATTTCAAAGCTTTCAGCGTAACGTACTCCAGCTAGGGTTTGATCAGACGAAGGGGCTTTTAGGTCCAAGAGCGCTTCCAAACTCTTGGATTCAGTGTGTATTTGCTTCAACAACATATTGTAATAGTCTCAAATAGGTACTTTTTGGATCTAGAAGACAAGTTCTGTCGCAGCGGCCTTGAGCACTAACTCCGCCTATTATAATGTTGATAATGACCTCAGAGACAATGGCATACTCAAAAATTTTGGACTCAAGCATTTTAGACTCTTAGACTTGGAATCCAGGCTTATACGATAAGATGATTTGACTCTGATATATTGCTTTCTCATAATTTGTTCCTTTTTATGTCAAGCTCGGGAAGAAAAAGGAGGCGGGGCGTCGATGTTTGCTTTGTTTGCTTGCGGGGTACGCCTAATTACCCCTCGCTCCAGAATTCAACCTCAACTTGGTTTGAACCTACCTCCAGACCTCATCATCCCTAGCACTCCAGCTTCCTTTCCAGTATATATATTGGCACAATGGCAGACGATATTGGTGAAGTGATAACCATTGACAACTTTACCACGAAGATGCCCCAATTTGACCCTTCTTCAGCCATCGGCAAAAGGGCACTCTACGGGCTGGTGGATATGGGCAGGTAACGAATGCCTTCATACCCGCCTCTACCCCCGAAAGTGTGCGCCGTTCTGACAACCTCAAAGCAATGGTATCCGTTTCTCGATCTCCGATCTCTCTCCACCACGAAGTCGGCTCCTCCATTGCATATATCGCGAACGCGCTGCCATCTCCCTTTACGACGCGCTCCACGAATCCGCGCCAGGCTCCAGAGCTTTTTATTTTTCGAATGAGATAGTGCAAAAGGTTGCAGAGACATTAGCACGCTTTAGGGGGATCTGTGATAGTTATGGCGTGCATAAGGACCATATCAGTGTATTTGCTACGGAAGCCATGCGCACGGCGAAGAACAGAGACGAGATGCTGAAGGCGATCAAGGATGCCAGCGGATTGGTGGTTGACATATTAAGTCCAGAAATGGAGAGTATGTTTGGTGCAATGGGTGCCAGGAGTGGTTTCGTCGACGTGAATGGATTGTTTATGGATCTCGGCGGTGGGAGCGTGCAGATGACTTATTTGACTTCGGGGATGGCGGTGCGGGCTGCAAAGAGTATACCCTATGGGGCGGCAAAACTAACGGCTGCTTTAAGCTCCCAGGCTACTGCAGAATCAACAAGATCGGAATTAAGAGCAAGCATGAAGGAAACCTTTGAGGAACTGAAAGAGAAGTTTCCCGAACTGAGGGATCAAGCGAGATCTAAGGACGGAATCACGATATATTTCTGTGGGGGTGGATTTCGAGGATATGGAAGCATGTTGATGCATACTGATCCCATACAACCTTATCCTATTCCTGCGATTGGCGGATATACCGTACCAGGCAATCGTTTTGTTCAATGGCGGGAAATGCTCAAAGCAAATGAGCAGGATGGCAAGATCTTTGGGATGTCTAAACGGAGGCGAGAACAGTTTCCAGCCATCGTGACGGTCGTGGAAGCTCTCGTCGGGGCAATCCCCAAAATCAACCAAGTGGTCTTCTGCAGTGGTGGAAATCGGGAGGGAGTTCTATTCATGAAGCTCCCAGCTAGTATACGGGAAAGTAACCCTTTGCCCTTGCTTGAAAAGGTTTCCAGTCCTGCTGGCGGGGTCATTTTCAACTCAGTCGTACATGTCATTCAGTCAGCGTTGCCAAAAGGCTACCCGGAAACTTTCTCGTACGAGCTTCTTCACTATATGAGCACGGTCCTCTGGAATGATATGGGTGATCCTGCAGATGCCAATTCTGCGAAGGCACTTCACAATCCTATTTCCGGCTCGCTTGCTGGTCTTCCGGGTTTGACACACGAGCTTCGAGCGGTTCTTGCGCTTACCATCTGTGCTCGTTGGGGCACTGATCTTGGTCCGATCGACAAGATACTCTACGACAACTTAAGAGCGCTCATAGGACCTGAATTAAGTTGGTGGTGTGATTACATTGGGAAGATCGGGCGCCTTCTAGGGACAGTAATGCCAGCCTGCCCCGAGAGTGAGGAGAAATTGAAGAAGACTATATCCTTCGAAGCGTCGACTTCTCACGGGTTAGGTAAGAAAGGTCATAAAGTTGGAATACGACTGCGAATAATGCTAGATGTGGCCTCCAGGAATGGCATTAGTGTGGGAGCCCTGGAGGGTATCTTTGATAAAGTTGGGAAGGGATTGCATCTTGGATGGAAGGTAGAGGCAGAGGTTGTTGATGCTTAGAGTTGATATGATACCCAAATATAGAAACGGTTGATTTCGCTAGTTGGTGTTCAATGCACGTCTCCTGTTGCCCCTAATTCCAATAGGTGTGCCTAGGCTGCGCAGAGGCCCCATGAAAAATCCAACCCATCGTGACCCATTGCGTAGCCTAAGGTAGATGTGCCTACAATTACTTGCATTAGCGTCGTGATTCCACAGCTTTGGTACGCGTCAAGCGAAACAATACACACCCCCCTTTTCCTCACAACCGAGAATCGAACTATGCGCACATATAGTAGTTGCCTCCAACAACCCCTCATCCAGTCCTCGCTCCTGTTTCTTTCAAAATTGCTAGCGTCGTGCCTTTGCGAGAACTTCCAAAAAGACTATTCCTATGAGAATGACTCTCTTATTAGAAGTGTTGATGTTGAACAGCGCTATGTGTAATACCTCCCTAGACAGAAATTACTTGATCTATATTATAATTGATATAATGGCTGTCTAACAAATGGATTTGAACAAGGGATGAACAGCATTAAGGTATAAGTCGTGCTGAGAAAGTCATTATTGGTTGGTAGAATATTGTCATGCTGAGAACCTGAGAAGAGAGCGGTTAGGTGGGTAGTCTGGTGCGAGGACAAGAATTTGATGATTACCTACATAAGGTAGTTGTAGGAGAGAATTTGTTTTTGAACTGTAGTATATAGGGATTAAAATTCCCATAAATCTAGGGTCATGAGTTGCGCAATTGCGCAACAATACATACGAAAGGGGAATTTGGTTCCCACTACCAATCCAGACTGACCCAATCACCAATTCCACGACTTCATACACTCTAAACCCCAGAAATACACATCAATTAGCCATTATGTGTAGGTAACAGCTAGATTTAATGAATTAGCCCAGAGACTTCTGTGTTGAAGTGTACCTTGTTGGGTCACGGAAACTAACTACCCGCTGCCTGCTAGCAGCCTTAAGGTACTCATAAGATTCGCAAAAGGACTGAGACCCTGATAGTTTACCAAGAAAACAGAACCCCAGACGATTTCCAAATCAAGCGATTTCAAAATGAACTGCACAATGGGAGCTATATATAATTCAAGATTCAGACCTCTTTTTTATTCCATCCTCCATCTTCCACATCCAGTGAAATTTGCCGCATAGCAAACAAGAAATCAAGAAGCAATAAGCTATTCCTGATCTTTGAATCTCCTTTTGAGACTTCCGGCATCCCAGAAGGTTATCGATTCTTCAAATCAACAATCTAGATCTCAATTGAGATCGACAGCTCTGGCTCCAGCTCCCTCATCGACTCAAACATCTCGCCTGCACGCCTACCTCTCTCCTCAGCTCGTTGACGGAAGAAACAAAACAAAACAGCCACGACCAAGAACCGCCCTGTCTCGAGCCCAAGCTCACATCCTCACCAATCAAGAACAGTCGGGAATGGGAAACCAGCTCTCGATCCCACAATTCTTGATCCCCGAAGTCTCTAGTTCCCAGCTCTCAAACATCGTGCTACTACAGCTGGTACCAAGCATGTCCCAGTTACCTCCTACGCCGCCCATGTCTGGCGGCTCCCTCGACGTCGTCCAAACCCCGGAGACAAGTCACGAAGAAGATAGCCAGCTTCCTCCCAACAGCAACAACAATAACAACAACGAGCAAAAGAAGGAACCAAAGAAGCTAGAGACTCCTTCAAAGGCTCAGAAGCAGAAATTGCCGATTTCGAGACACGGGCAGCGCATGAAGATGTTGCAGGTGACAACGAGCCCTCAGCTTCCTGTCGAGAACAAAATCAGCAACAACAACAACAACATTAACAACGACAACAACAATGATGATGATGACAACAACAAGCATCCCGCAGTCGACGATCTCTCGACTGACGAACCCCCACCAGACGCAAAAGCATCAAGTACTTCTACCACTTTCGAGCCAGACCTTGAAGGACTCTCACAGTACAACAAGCAAATGCAGGAGTTATATGGAAAGGAGCTCGAGGCACTCACGAAGGCCCAGAAGCGGAGATATCCGATTTCGAAAAAAGGAAAGCTCATGAAGCTATCGCACGTGACGATGAAAACTGGGCATGAAAATGCAGGAGGGAAGTTCAAGGATTTGGAGGTTGTAGTGTTCGCGGAAAGAGTAGTGAATTTGGAATCTTAAGAAGGCGAGGGATGGCTTTTGGGAATGTTCTTCTTAGGGGACATGAAGAGGAGGAGTTGGGGAGAGTGAAAAGGATGCATGGTATGCCATGGAATTATAGCAGATAGTTCAGAACTTCCTGCTCTTGATAGCGATCGTGGAATTAAAACTGCATTTCAACACACACACACACGCACAGAATTAGGTGCTTTTCACGAACCAGGTAACGTATATTGACTTGCATTAGCAGAGGTCTGTAAAAACAAACGAAATCGTTCGTCAATATAGCAAGAGTATGGCTACAACGGCCTCGAGTAAGAAATATGGTTACATAGATCGGGTCAAGCTGCCGCTGGGAGCTAGACCACCTGTATAGAAACGGCACTTGCCTTAAATCAATGGCAATGAAACCCACGTAAGGATGTATGGATCCGAGCGACGGTCTAGGTATATACACAACGCAATAAGCAGCTGTAAGAAGACTTGCATCTTCATGCAAGGAGACCATAGCGCGTAGAATGATGCCTGAAAATCTAGAATGTCATCTATAATAGAACCCAGAAACTTTGCCATAGTACATAACGCCACATCATTCGTAACAATTACTACACATTCGTACCACGTGCTCCCTCAAAATACGCACCGTAAACTCATCGTTTGGCCGATGTCGCCCTATCCAAGTTGAATGCAGCTGAGACTAGAGCAAGATGACTAAAAGCCTGCGGCGTATTCCCCAGCTGCTCGCCACTCCTTGCGATCTCTTCAGAAAAGACCCCAAGGTGGTTTCCAAAACTTAGCATATTTTCAAAAATATTGACCGCTTTGACGATATATTTTGGTTCATGCAGACCAGCTCTTGTCAGCGCCTCGACGAGCCAGAATGTGCACATCGAAAAGGCCCCTTCGCGACCACCAACTCCATCCTCGGAGAGCGCGCTGTTGTAGCGGTATACAAGGCCGGTGGAGGTGAGACCTCCTTTTTCTGGAGAAAGGAGAATACGGTCGACCGTGCGGAGAAAGCGGGGATCATTTGGTGCAATGAAGAAGACGAGTGGGGCTATCAGTATGCTAGAGTCTAGAACATCGCCGCTTTCGTAGCTTTGAATGAAGCATTCAAAGTCCTCGCTGTAACCTTTATTCATGATCTCCTCGTAAATTTCGTCCCTCGTGCTGAGCCACGTACTGCGGTTAGGACAAGGGAGACATCGCTTATCTGCGAGGCGAAGACCCCGATCAAAGGCTACCCAGAGCATGATTTTTGAGTAGATGAAGTTTTGCTTCTTGTTGCGGACCTCCCAGATGGACATGTCGGGTTCTGTAAAGTCAGCATTGGTTAGGCGGAAGGTAATGGTACTTTTTACCTTTCCAGATGGTCAAAACATAGTCAAGGACCTCTCGGACGGCAACCCATTGATCCCACGTTACTGGCTTGCCATACTTGTTATACAAGTAGATAGAATCCATGAGCTCTCCGTAAATATCGAATTGTTGATGGTGTGCGGCGCCGTTGCCGATGCGGACAGGCTTCGAGCCTCGATATCCGTCAAGATGGCTATGTCACATGAGTCTTGGAAATGACGAATGGTCTTCTGAAAACGTACCTGAGTTCTATCTCAGGAATATCGGTCCCACCGTGGATTGTAGACATGATTGGGAGCGCTCCTTCAGTAGATCGCGACTTACGGAGTCGATCAGTTATGAACGACATGTACGCATCCGCCTCTTCGGTGAAGCCCACTCGAAGAAGAATGTAGATAGTAAAGCTTGAATCTCGAATCCAGGAATATCGGTAGTCCCAGTTCCGGACTCCGCCAATAGCCTCTGGTATGGAGAAAGTAGGAGCAGCTATAATTGCACCCGTCGGTTCAAAGGTTAGTAGCTTCAATACCAGCAAGCTTCTATCAACAACCTCTCTCCAACGGCCCTTGTATTTGCTCTTTGATATCCAGTTAAGCCAGAACGATTGTGTGTCATGTTGCTGTTGATCGAGGGTTTCTGTTTTGATAACTGGCGTGATATGATTTGGCAGATCCTCTCGAATGACGAACGAAATGGCTTGACCCTCTTCAAGATGGATGTTTGCCACTACGCCCTCCCCGAGCATATGCTCTCTCTTCTCTTTCCTGAATATAACTGTGGGGCATGATTCTGCATCATCCTCGCCATGATCAATAGTCACATCCACCTGTAGGTGTACATCATTGCTCCAAAATGTGACGGCCTTGCTTTCTCCCATGGTCCGGTGCAGGATGTTCACAGTATGTGCGGCACGGGCATAATCGAAGGAGGGAAAGATCTCCACATCTGCCAGAGGCCTTGTTAGGGCAATTCGTCATGGGGAGAAGCACCCTTTACCTAGGTTGACCTTTCCACGGATACATTCAACCCGTCTCACCAGCCACTTCTTCAGCTCAGCTTGTACTGTGACGGCTTCCCGAAAGGACATCTGCTGGGTACTCTTGGCTATGACATGGTCGCTCTTGGGGCGAGGGAAGAAATCGACGAGATCGACAACGCCATCTTCATGAATATAGCGTGTCTGTAAGAGATTGGAGGAAGGGAGATATTGTTGCTTTGTGGTGCAGGTGATGTGCGGCGGGGGAGAGATACTAAAGTGACCGCCTTTGTCTTTGTCAAGTAGTCTGCAGAAGACCGAAGGAGAATCGAAGTTTGGCCTGCGGTGAGATAAGTGTTAACGAAGGGCATTCAAGGCGAGGGGCAATGGAGGGGAGGGAAGAGGAGGGGGAGCAGCGAAGCGTACCAACACATGTAGTCCACACTCCCATCGATACCCACCATTGCGCAAGTATGCATATTTCCGATCAATCCATAGTTCTCGATTGGCAAATAGCCAGTGGCGCGACGGCAATTGGACTGCATGGTAAAGGGAGAAGATGACATCGTTTGGAGAGGGAGAACGGGGGAGCTTGATTCAAATATGTAGAATGCGGGTCGAAGTCTTGCTGTAACGTCGCCCCCTCGACTGGTTTATCGAAGGTTCCAGTTTTTCATGATTCCCGGCGAAAGGGGAATACGAAGAAAGATTGTGGGGGGGAGAAGCGTGAGGCGGCTTTCTTTTGCCCTTGAACCAGGGATATTCGGAACTGATGGAGAGATCACTACTGCAGCTCATGGTGAATGTTGTTAATGTTGACGTTCACGATCGGCACGGCAGCGCCCTCCAATAACTGCGTCATCCCGCGCGCAGTGGAGGTAGGGCGGAGACCACGTGATGTGGAGTCTTTCCCCGATATCCCTAGGTAAACTCGACGCCTAATAATTATGGCTAACGCGGAGAATACGGAGAATACGGAAGATATAGAGGATGCGGAGAATACCGAGAATACCGAGAATATATCTAAGGTACTTCACGATCAAGATTGCATGTTTCTTCAAGAGAACAGAGAAACAGGGCTCATGAGATTGTATCGACGTCTCCCTTCTTCGCCCTCTTCTCCTGCTCTCGTCTGACGCCGCAGACTCATCGGAGTCCGTTTTGCGGGTACACGCGACACAGCCATCATAGTCGCTGACCTTCGCCGCCAGACTCCACCGTCTCCAAAGCGAGAACAGCGGCCCACGGCAAAGACGATCTACAAGGGCTGGGCAAAGAGGAGATGGTCAACATGGATCATGGGAGATGACGGAACAGGATCACCACTCGACACGGAGTAGGGACTCGAGAGTGCACCCTCGATCACAGGATCAATAATCCAGTCCTCACATCCAGCCACGACAAATCATCTATCATCTTTTTCTCCGAATCTTCCAGAGTCCCGATTCCCAAGTCTCCCCTGGTTCAGAGTCCCCTGCGCAGACCGCCAAGTCATAGTCGCACGCTCTCCCAAGGATCCAATCCCAACCCATGCCACAAAATTGCTATGGACACGCTAGGGCAACCTAGATCGACCTAGACCTGCCGAGCAACATCAACCCAGGCCCAGTTAAGGCAATTATTATTGTCATGGCCGACCTTGCTGCTCCACCTCCTGAGCCCGAGTCTAAATGTGAATCTTCTCCTTCATCCTCGACGACTTCACCGTCAACCGCGACACATCCTCACCATCCTCTATCCTCGCTCCTTGAACCCGCCCTCACTCGCCTACCCTCAACCTCCACCCCCTTTGACCTCTCCAGAAACCTTCAGCAGGCCCCTGATGCTGCGGTCGCGCTCGCAGGTGTCCACCCTTCGAATATTGACATGGAGCCTTCGAGCTCGGGACACAGGCGGCGCCGCAGCAGTTTGATGAACAGTCTGGATGCCACTGCTCATTCAAAACGCGTGCCGAGGACTCCGGCTGGCGGGAGCAGGATACAGGAAGAGCCGAAACTGGGGGATGGGGGAGACGAGGATGTGAGCACGAGTGAGGATGTGGAGCTGAATGAGTTGTCTGAGGATGAGGGATTACAAGATGACGAGGAGACCGGCCTGACAGGGAAAGATAAGAAGAGGCGGAGAAAGAGGAGGAGAAGGAACACTCTGATCGATCAAAGGGTTGCGCGGGAGATTAAGATCACGGCGGAGGAGAAGAAGGAGGCCGACCAAAATGTTGTGAAGAAGAGTCTTGTCAATGGCTTGCTGATAGGGTTGTGGTATCTTTTCTCATTATCTATATCTATAGTAGGTCCCCTCCCCTGCTCCCAGATGCTGGAGAAGCCGCTGACTGGTCGCAGTACAACAAATGGATGTTCGATCCCGAACACCTGAACTTCCACTTCCCCCTCTTCACTACTTGCGTACATATGCTGGTGCAATTCAGCCTTGCATCACTAGTCCTCTATTTCCTTCCCCAATTTCGACCGCGATACGACGCGATATCCAACCCTCACAATACCCGCTCAGACGCGAACATGATTCAACATGAAGAAAATTCCAAGAAACCTTTGATGACGAGAATGTTTTACTTTACGCGTATTGGGCCCTGTGGAATGGCGACTGGCTTAGATATTGGCCTGGGGAACATGTCTCTCAAATTCATCACCCTTACGTTTTACAGTCCGTCTCCCCTTGGCCCTTCCCCCAATGCCACTAACAGCCAGTGCAGCTATGTGCAAATCCTCCTCTCTCGCCTTTGTCCTATTATTCGCCTTTCTCTTCCGTCTCGAGACCCCCTCGTGGCGTCTCATCGCCATCATAGCCACCATGACCGCCGGCGTGATAATGATGGTAGCCGGTGAAGTCAAGTTCTCCGTGTTAGGTTTCATCCTCATCATATCCGCTGCCTTCTTTTCCGGTTTCCGCTGGGGCCTGACGCAAATCCTGCTCCTGCGCAACCCCGCTACCTCGAACCCATTCTCATCCATCTTCTACCTCGCTCCCGTCATGTTCGTCTCCCTTTTCTTGATCGCCATCCCTGTTGAAGGCTTCCCCTCTCTCTGGCAAGGTCTGCAAGTCCTCGTCGAGAAGAAAGGTCTCCTTGGGCCCCCAATCCTTATATTCCCCGGCGTGATAGCATTCTGCATGACGGCCTCCGAATTCGCTCTGCTGCAACGTACTAGCGTCGTCACGTTATCAATCGCCGGCATCTTCAAAGAAGTCGTCACCATCTCCGCCGCCGGCATCGTATTCGGGGATGCCCTCACGCCCGTCAACATTTCGGGCCTATTCGTGACAATCGGCGCCATCGCTGCATACAACTGGATAAAGATCCGCAAGATGCGCGAAGACGCCCGCAACGAGGCGCACCGTCTTCATCTAGACGCCCAAGGCGGCGAGAGCGGCAGCGATGCCGACGGCGAAAGCGAAGAAGAAGAAGACTGGGCCCGGAGAGACGATAACTACATCACAACGGACGGCGATATCCTTCCCAGTCCGCGAAACTTCGAGATGAGATCAGCCAGCGACTCGAGGTCAAATGGGGACGCGGCTGCTCATGCGCCGAGTAGGGCGCAGTTGGAAGCGTTGGCTGCGAGCAAGAGGGAGTTGAGCGATTGATTGATTGATTGATTGATTGATGCGGAGTTGGGGGGAAGTAAGGTAGATGATGATGATGGGGATCTTGTGTATTACTATATTTATATCATTGATATGAGCGAGCCTTCACCGGGTGGGGGGGCCACGGGCGTTGCATACTGGCGTTGCATACCAGGCGTCTTTTCTTTTGTTTTTTTTTTCCCTTTGCTTGTTGTCAGCATGCATGGTGTATAAATCTACGGATTGCACCTCCACCTCGTTTTGGGTACGGATTTCAAATCAAATCAAATCAATAGAGAAAGAAAGAAAAGAAGATTTTGGATGGGTTTTCAATGCTAAATTACTCTACTTGTAGGAATCGTGTAGTGTGAAATTTCTATAACCAACCATCGACAATCACCATCATACCGCTCGCTATTCAGGCCAACTCCGTAATATATGTATGCATCAACACGCACCGCAGCCACAACGCCAATCCCGAATATCCATCTAGGTTCGTGAATCTAACCCAACACTTTCAAACCGCCCTTCGTCTTACTACCCGGTTTTTGCACCCCCGCGCCCGTCTTATCCTTACTTCCATTCCCGCCCTTGCCCTTGTTCTTGCCTTTGCCATGCCGATTATTATCCTTCGGCGTGACGACCTTGATCTCCGTCGTGCTCCGCCGGAGCAGGACCGGGTGGCTGCCAATGTACTTGCCCTGCATCTCGCGCGCGGCCTGGAAGAAATCGTCGCCGTCGCTGAAACTCACGAAGCCGTAGCCCTTGCTCTTGGTGGTCCGCTTGTCGCGGATCACGCGCGCCTTCTGCACGCTGGGCCAGCGCGAGAAGGCCTTGTACAGCGAGTCGTCCGTCACCTCGCCCGCTAGGTTGCCTACGAACAGCCGGAAGTGCGCAGGGTCCCATTCGAGGAGCGTCGAGTCCGTCCACTGCGTGCCGCCGCCCGACCGCACCACGGTCTTCTGGTTGGTTTTCGCGTCCGACACGACCGACGCTACGCCCGTGTCGTTGTGCGCGGCGGACGTCATGGCCGCTGAGCTCATCGAGGGCCCCTCGGACCGCCCCAGCGGTGCGGCATTCGCGCTCGTCGCTGCGCCGGCTCCTCCGTCGCCCGTCGGGTATCGTTTCACCGCGCCGGTATACCCACCCGAGCCGGCTTGCGTGTCCTTGCTGGCGTATGCAGACTGCCACTGTGCGATCTGGGCCGCCATCTCGGGATCCTCCTCGTAGCCTCTCCCAGCTCCGTATTGGGAGGGGGGCGCGAAGGGGTTGCGGATCTGGGGCGCGGCGCCGTAGGCGGGTTCTGGCTGGGGAGGCGCGGCGTAGCCATTGTATTGTGGTTGTTGGTATGTCGTGGGAGAGTTGTAGGAATTGTAGCTAGGCGGCTGCTGCTGCTGCGGGATGGCTACGGATCTGGGAGCGAACCCGTTGAAGCCGCCATAGGGCGCGGCGCCTCTTCCGGCATTGTTGCTCGGGGGGTAGGCGGGCTTCTGCGGGAGTGAGGAGGGTGGTGGTCGCGCGGGGAGAGATGGATGAGGTGAGGGGGTAGAGTGAAGACCTGGTGGCGGCGGGTAGGACATGATGAATTGCTGTACGTTTCTGATGGTGTTTGAGTTCAGACGTACCTCTTGCGCCTGTCGACGCAGTGGTTCCTGGGAGGGGAGCGAAGACGCGTCGTCGGCAGTCTTGCTGGGAGTGCGCGCAATCAGTAACTTCGATTCGGGGTCTTTAGATGCAAGTACGTGCCACAGGGGGGTAGCGCGGGTGGTGGTTCGATGAGGCTCTTTCTGGGTGGAAAATGTTGGAGAAATGGGGCGCCAGGCAAAACTGGGGAAGATCACGTGCTTTTCGTTGCCTTGATGCCTCACAGGTTGGAATAAACGTTCTGCCCTTTTGCCTTGTTGGCAGATCAGTAAGATGCCTGAGGCATTGTTAGGCAGCCAGGTTGAGAAGTTGAACGACCATGCCTGGGATAGATGACCTGGCTACAAGTAAGAAGCCCAAGGTATTTTGCTCGATATCCTATGCCTTTAGGCAATATTGGTCAGGTTAGAGCTTTTGACATGCACGAAAGAACCTAACATCCAGCTGCTGTGCTATATACCTAGGTATCTAGATACATACCTACCTGTATACTCCCTGCGGAGTACTTCTTGGCAGTCTTCCTCTTTTGGCATCCGGTTCCTTCAGATGTGCTCTATATCTTCGCTTTTTTACAATTTGTTCTCCATGTAAAGGCCCTCAGGTTTCTGAATGCCTTTGAGACGGCAGTAATAAATGGCGGTATGTTCATTCCATCCATGAGAATTCTTATATAGAGTCATCCTCTCTCCATGTCTCCCCCTGTATTCTGCTCGTTAACCAAGCGTATTAGCTCAACCACCAGCAACTATAGCCCTTGTACTCGTCTTTGCTGCTCGGGCAATTGGCTTACTGCCCCTAAGTCCCAATAGAACCTAGAGCTGTCAGCGATACACCCCCTTCACTTAACCCATCCGCAACTGAGGAATGGACAAAAGGCTGAAAGAAGCCAGAGCAATGGGCATGTACCGACCCATGTATTAGGTACATTCCCAACGGTCGAATGTCACAGTCTCAAGAAGCAGACATCAAGACGTCTGCCCGTTTGCCTTGTGGGGCATCTTGCTGTGACGCCTGAGGACGATCAGGCAGTCAGGCCGAGACGGCCAAGAGGGGTCAGGAGGGGTCGGAGTGGGGGGGGGGAAAAGGGAAAAAAGCCTGCTCGGACGGACATCATGGACTTTACGATTCTGAATAATCAGCCCTCTGCCATCGCCGACCAGAACACGGCGTTTATTACGATATCCTGCGGTACGGGGCAATCCTCGCGACGGGTCCTTCGCTCTGTGAAGGAGTTTTAGGAGCCTTATCTAGGGGATGGATGCATTGGTAAAGGAATCAGAGGATACCTGCCTGATGCATTACTCCGTGTAAATGCCCCTCAAAGGCCGAGCAGAGACACGCACGGTTTGACGCCGCGCCGGGGCTCGCAGGAACGTCCCTTCTAGGCCCGACAGCGGCAACTTGCGGTGTTTGGCGTCTTTAGGTCTTTTGAAGTTTGGGCAATCATTATTGCTATACGGCTATAAGGTAGTCTATAGTATATACTACTCCGTAGAAGGGATTGTAGCGTTGGGGGAGCGAGGGGTGTTGACTAATACGCCCCCTTCCCCCTCATACGACGGCAGATTGCAGAAACATCAGACAAGACGGGCAGACCAGACTGCGTGTTGCTAAGCAGATAATAATGATAATAATCCTACTACGGTGGGCGAATATACCATTCAAGAGCAGGAATAATCATAATCAGAATAGTCATAATCATAATCATATCCATAATAATACTCCCAAGTAAATAGTAATAAGTAATCCCCCCCCCAACAAAGTCACGCCCCCCCCCCCGCCGTCTTCCGTCACCTCAATTCTTCTCGCGCAGTCACACCCCTCTCTCCCTCTCTCTCCCTCCTCTTCAAAATTCCCCTTCCCCATCCTCCGTCCATCTTCCCACAACCGTCCATCTCCAAATTCTTCTTCTCCTCGTAAGATTCCTCCCCCCCAATCCTCCTCATCGCACCGCCATCTCTAACTCTCCCCTCCGATACAGTTCCATTGACGCATCTCCAAGATGAGCGGTCCAACGTAAGTCGCCTGATTTATTTCTGCCAGAATACCCCACCATCCGCTATCGTCATTCGCTTTCTTCCCCTCCCCCAAGTCTCCCGCCGCCACCAGCACATTCTCTCTTCCCCCGCGATGCAGCGCTGCAGACCTGGAGGAGCGGTTCTCTGCACCTCACCCTGAATCTCGATCCCCAAGAATTTCTCCTGACCAGAGCTGTCTCGTCACATCTACAGCGGGCGTCTTGCCGGCATTGACATCGGCCGCCCCGCACCTCTCGCAGACCTCACCCTCCCGCCTCAGAAAGCTGACAATGTCGCCAGAGGTGATTTCGGCCTTATTGGCTTGGCCGTCATGGGCCAGAACCTGATCCTCAACGCCGCTGATCACGGTTTCAACGTCGTGGCCTTCAACCGTACCGTCTCCAAGGTTGACCACTTCCTCGCAAATGAGGCCAAGGGTAAGCCTTGACCAACCTTCTCCGCGGGGTGTGGGCTCGCAGAGAAATCCTGGCTAACCCATCCCGCTCCCAGGCAAGTCCATTGAGGGCGCCCACTCCATCGAAGAGTTCGTCAGCAAGCTCAAGAAGCCCCGCCGCATGATGCTCCTCGTCATGGCGGGCAAGCCCGTCGACGACTTCATCGAGACCCTCCTGCCACACATCGAGCCGGGCGACATCATCATCGACGGTGGTAACTCGCATTTCCCAGACACCAACCGCCGGACAAAATACCTGGCCAGCAAGGGCATCCGATTCGTCGGTACCGGTGTCTCTGGTGGTGAGGAGGGTGCCCGATTTGGCCCCTCATTGATGCCCGGTGGTAACGAGGAGGCCTGGCCATACATCAAGGATATCTTCCAGAGCATCGCCGCCAAGAGCGACGGCGACGCTTGCTGTGAGTGGGTCGGTGACGAGGGTGCTGGTCACTATGTCAAGATGGTGCACAACGGTATTGAGTATGGTGACATGCAATTGATTTGCGAAGTAAGGCGACCAGTCATATTTGCAGTTCCCTAGCTAATCACCCCCAGGCCTACGACATCATGAAGCGCGGTCTCGGTATGAACGACAAGGAAATTGGTGATGTCTTCGCCAAGTGGAACAAGGGGGTTCTCGACTCCTTCCTGATCGAGATCACTCGCGATATCATGTACTACAACGACGACGACGGAACCCCTCTCCTTGAGAAGATCCTCGACTCTGCTGGACAGAAGGGTACCGGTAAATGGACCGCGATCAACGCCCTCGACCTCGGAATGCCCGTCACCCTGATTGCCGAAGCTGTGCTCTCCCGTTGCTTGTCCTCCCTCAAGGAGGAGCGTACCCGTGCCTCCAAGGTTCTGGAATTCGTTGGCCGCTCGAACAAGTTCGAGGGCAACAAGGAGCAGTTCCTCGAGGATCTGGAGCAGGCCTTGTACGCGTCGAAGATCATCTCATATGCCCAGGGCTTCATGTTGATGCAAGAGGTATGTCTGTCTCTGCAGTCTTTGGAGACTTTACTAACAATCCCCAGGCTGCCAAGGAGTACGGCTGGAAACTGAACAAGCCATCCATCGCCCTCATGTGGCGCGGTGGTTGCATCATCCGCTCAGTCTTCCTCAAGGACATCACTGCCGCCTACCGCGCCAACAATGACCTCGAGAACCTCCTGTTCAACGACTTCTTCAACAAGGCTATCCACAAGGCGCAACCCGGATGGCGTGATGTTGTCGCCAAGGCGGCTCTCCTGGGTATCCCAACCCCTGCTTTCTCGACCGCGCTGTCATGGTTCGATGGTTACCGCACCAAGGACCTCCCCGCCAACCTGCTCCAAGCCCAGAGAGATTACTTCGGTGCCCACACCTTCAAGATCAAGCCAGAGTTCGCCAACGCCAAGTACAAGGTTGGTGACAACATCCACGTCAACTGGACTGGGCGTGGTGGAAACGTTTCTGCGTCGACATACCAGGCATAGGTTTGAATTCAGGGGATGTTTTTTTTTAACTACATAAACTCATCATAGATAGTCATTTAAAAAACGGCTGAGTTGATCAATCGTCTTACGTGCCTGTCATCATTCTCATTCACTTGTGGGTGAGTGGTAATTGAATCCCTAAGGAGGATCAATGTACACGACCAATTAGCCTTAGCTAATAGATGACATGACAAAAGTATATGGATCGACCCCTAAATACCCATCAATACCTTAGATATCAGTGATTCGACGCCTGTGAGGTTTTGGTGCTGTACCACGGCCATTTGCCAGGTCCATCCATACTCGCCTAAGGTACAGAGTAACCTCCTGCCTCACCTGTTCAAAGACATATTTCTCCCACATGAACATTGCACATATAATCTCCATCATATCAATTCTTGTATAGAGAGTACCCATCACATATTTCATCCCGATATATATATGCCTGCCGTGTTCTTGCTTACCTTACCATTCAAGTGAAAATCTTCCATGCTAACTCACATCTCTAGGTTCTATTTTGCCTCTCCTATCAGTACTTAGGTAGTTGGTTCACTATGGGCTGTGATGATATGATAATATTAGAGGATCGTGGGGTATAAATGAATAAAGATGGGGATAGGGAATGGTCGGATTTATCTATCTACTGAAAACATTAATAGCAATAGCAGCGACAGCGGCAGTAGGAGGCTGTTTATCTATTCGGGTGTAAGTAAGCTGTTTGAGAGGTCTAGCACAGCTGGCTTTTGTAGGGATAGGAAATAGGAGTCTGGAGGATGGGGATGGGGATGGAACTGGGGAGGGAAGGGAGGAAGGGAGGAAGGGGGAATATAATGGATTCCAGTCAGGTTTAGATTAGATTCTTGTGTGGTGTACATGTTTGGGTTTTGGCTTTTCTCTGGGGTGAGGATGAGGGAATAGGGGTTTGAGAGGCATACGCAGATCTACCAGCGCTCAGACGGGCTTAAAGAAGCTGATTCTCGGCTGGGAGATCGTGGGATGGATGGAGGTGCTAAGTAAGGAAGTTGATAGCTCTTGTGAAGCCCCGTATCCTATCCCGACGTCCACGGTTATTTGGGATGGAGAAGTGGATGAGTGAGCATCATGGAAATATTCCTTCCCAGCATTTACGGCAAAACTGACAGCGAATCTGAAAGCTCTTTATATTCAACTGGCTCTCTGATGTATGGCTAGGCATAGACTGAGATGAGCGTCCTGTCCGCTTTTGAGGGGTTTGGTGATATGATCAACACCACTTGGAGCGATCAACACCACTTGGAGCGATCAACACCACTTGGAGCAATCAACACCACTTGGAGCAATCAACACCACTTGGAGCAATCAACACCACTTGGAGCTGGCAACTGACTGCTGCCCTATTGGATATTACCAAGATCGATCTAACGGCCTTGACAATAGCATGCTCCGAAGCTCTCACTAAGAAACAATAGGAGGTCGATTGATCCCAAAATGTGACAATACCTGCGAGGTGCGGTGGTGCAGTGAATTGAATATCAGCCCGCTAACGAGAGTCGACAATAGGAAGAAAAAACCACAACCCCGTTGGCGAGCGTCCTCTCCTCTCAATAGGAGTGTATCAGGATCTATCTTCTTCCAACTTTCATCCTCCCTCGATCTCTTTCCTACCTACCTTCCTTCCACATTTCATCCCAAACAAACTTCACTTCTCTCACAACAACACACTCACATTCGCAACGAAAATCCCATTTTCACAACGATGCCTCCTAAAATCATCTTGAACACGACGAAGAAGAAGCGCAGCGCAGCCGACGCGCAGCTCCCTGTGTTGGACTTAGAGCCTCCTGCCAGTCAATCTTCCACCCAGGGGCCGACTCTGGGAACTGGCAAGGCGGCTCACGCGTCGGTGTCTCTTCCCTCCCAACCGGCCGTTGCGAAGGTGGGCCAGGGAAAGACTGCTGCTGTCGCTGTCTCTGTCGTTGCTCCAGCGCCCGTCGCCGTCCCCGCTCCTTCCCCCACCCCTATCCCCGTCCCTGCCACGGCCCCCGCGACGGCGCTTCCAGATCCCATCGAGGAACTGAGGCTGCTGTTTGAGGGGTTGACAATCTCGGATCCCATTCTGCCCTTTCCTCCATCTCAGCTCCCAGTACATCAATTTTCGGACCCGGCTCAAGTGAGCTTCTTCATCCCTGACCTGGGCTCGGCGCCGGCGCTGGCTCAGCAGGGGGTGAGACCCATGCCTCTTGGGCATCTGCGGTACGGGGACGCGGTCACAGACTTCCAACAGTGGGTTTATGACCAGTACTGGAGCCGTGCGTACCAGCAATTGCTGGAACACACGAAGAGGTGGATCTTGGAGAGGGAGAGGGAGAGAGTCTGGGAGGGTGATATGGACTGGGTCATGGAAGAGGAGGATTGGTTCCTGACCGACGTGGAGATGGTGGCGATGGACCCCCGACGTTAAGTAAGTGATCTCCTTGACCGTGATATCCCCCTTGATCTCGATCTCCCCCTTCACCTTAATCTACCCCTTGATCATTGAAAAGGGGGCGCGAGACTTTCGCGAGCTGACGTTCCTTTAGGACGGGGTCCACGTGACCTCGGTTGAGGAGCGGTTGGGATCGCGTCCTCATCGCGACATCATAGACTGAGCTTTTCCTCTCCTCCTCTCTAATATCTGTCGAGACTTTGCGCGCTCTATATTCAAGGAGAAATGTCTGGCATGATGCAGGATCCTAGCCATGGCATTCACCGGGACTTGGTAAGTCATCAGCCTCATTCCCAATGCGATTGAGCTGACAAAAACAGCTCCCTCACGTCCACCTCGTCTCTACCTACCGATTTCCTCACCTTCCAGCTCTCCATCCCGAGAAAGTCGCAGAATGGCTTCTAGGCGCACCAAAGATCGCGCGCGACCAAGCTCCCTTCTATTGGACGTATCTTGATCGACCTGCCGATGGCACTATTCTTCTTGTGTGGCAGTCCATGGCTTTGCCCTTCGATTGCCCCAGCGATGGTTATATTTGGACTCCTGCAGAGACAGCTTTCCAACTCGAAGTTAATGGTGGTTATACTCTCGAGATGTATCAACATAAAACTGGTTATGCTCCTAGCGAGCCTGTCGCAACCCACACCCGTCGCCGCTACCGTCTCATGCCCTCCAAATTCGCGAATCCCTCCGGACCCCAACCAGATCCCAGCTTGTGGATCATTCATTATGCGCAATGCGACCCCAATGATCGAGTTCCATCCAACGTAATCCCTCTTGATATGCGGGCCCAGAATACGATACAGACCAGAGCCTACCTCCACCAACAAGGACAGATTGTTCAGAAGGAGTTCATGCTTCATGATCGCGCCAACTGGCCTCAGATTACATTTCCACGAAGTCACCTGCGCGGTCCAGCTGGGTATGGCAGCAACGTACTCCCGGCCCGTGTACCCCAGACAATGGCATACCCTCCTCATCAGCCTTCCGCCGCTCCTCCTGCAAAGCGAGCCAGAACACAAGCATCCATCAGCCAGAATGTCGCAGCAAGTGGTCCAGTCGCAGTTCTTGATGTCGACGATGATGAGGATGCTTCGCGCGGCGATATGTTTGATCATTTCACACCTCGGGACATTAGTAGCCTTAGGTACAAACAGAACCACGAATGGATGGAAGAAGTCTTATCTTCACCATACTCGATCAATCAGATCATCCCTGTAGATCTGGGGCTTGGCATACGAGGCGAGCTCTCCAGTCTCACAGAAGGGATCTTCGATGCACCACTCGATCCAGAGAAGGATGCGGTCAAGAACAGCTATGTAGGTCGTTTGGATCCTGGAAAGGCAGATGAGTTTCGCAAGAAAGTCGCGGAACATGTTGAGAAGACCAATAAGGATCTTGAGAAGCTGAAGGCCAAGCACGCAAAGAGAATGGAAAAGTTCAAAAAGGACGCTCTTCTTGTCTCTGCCGAGAAAGAACTCCGCACCGCTGTTAATGATCCCTCTGACGTTGGCCCTGAGTATTGGCGTCTCGAGGGAAAGATTGACGAAGAAAACGGTGAAGATGGCAAAGTGGACAACAAAACTCCGTCCAAAGTCGACGATATCTTGGCGAAAGTGGAAGCCTCCCTCGGTCGTCATGCAGTTGCTGTTCAAGAACTTCGTCGCATCCAAGATGGTGGCTATGAAGAACCTGCTCCTCCCCCACCTTCTCAGCCAAGCCCAGAAAAGACAGCTTTGAGTTCACTCCACGCGACCCCTCACAGTGGTGTCTTGGGTAACGATACGGATATGGAGATGGGAAATTCTGCAGCTGGCCTGCTTGATCAATATCATCAAAACGGGCTCTCGTCGAACGCTACACCTGGGAGCAACTTTGGTCCTTCACCACAACCTCATCTACAAGCTCCCCCTTCTGCCGCTACTCCAGGAATGCAAGCACCTTCCCCCCAACCTGTTGCTCGTGTCTCGCCTCAACCCCAGCCTCAGCCACAGGCCCAGCCCCAATCGCAACCGCCATCGCAACAAGCGCAACCGCAACCGCAACCGCAGCCACAGCCACAAGCTCAAGCTCAAGCTCCTCAACAAGATGTCAGCATGGCCAACGCAAATGAGCAATCTACATCTACGGATGGCACAGGCGATTGGGTCGTCGTCCCTCCCGGCGGTGTGAGTCCTGTCACCGCACCCAACGAGCCATCAACATCTGCCGGCGTCTCAGCCCCACCAACCATCCCCACAGTCTCCCCCAACCCCACCGTCACCGCCGAGAACACGCCTCTCCCAAGTTTCAGCACCAGCCCAAACAACTTCGGCGACCTGAGCGATCTCGACACCGCCGGCGAAGCACTCGCGAACTACAGCGAGATGGGCGGCGACGGCGATCTAAGTCTTGATATGGACGTCGGCATGGATGATTCTGCATTCGGGGAGGCTTTCCATGGTGTTGAACCGCGCGAGCAGGGCGATGATAATGGTGATAATACCATGTAAGAAAGCTTTTGGAGGATGGATTTGTGAAAAGAGGATTTGTGGGTTTTAAGCGTGGAAGGGGGCCGATGGATGGCTATGATTTGGCTGGCTGCTAGAAAACTTGTAACATAATGATTTGCTGCGGTTGTTTCTACTACTGCTCCTTGCTCTGCTTAGCAAATAATAGATTGTTCACCGGATAGTTTTCTCTAAATATGGCGATAATTTAAAAAGGGAATTCGTTATCATAGCAAGCAAGCAGGCAAGTAACGTAAGGGTTGTATACAGCCCATGGATATCAATCAGCGAGAAATACTGCTTCAGCACGCAAGAGATGATATCATCAACCACCGGAGCAAATTCGTAAGCAAAGGAAGAAAGAAAGAAGGCAAGGAAGGAAGAGAGAGTATCACAGAATCATCCCGGCAACCTCTCAACCTCGCGCAGACACACCGCCGCCGCGAGGTATTTAAAGCTCTGCAGCCGTTCCCTGCTACCCCTCGCCACAGCCAGCGCGTCATCTTCCAGCGACACAGCAAGACAGGCCATACTGCGCTCCAGGGCCTCATCCGAGTAATCAGCGCCATCCCGCACGATGCAGTTCACAAAGTAGGCGGCGTCGACGTCGAACTGCTCCTTCAGGCTGGTGGAGAGCTCGCGCTGGTGCTTGGTCTGGGCGCCGGTTCGCCCGAGGATGTTGCCGATGAAGGCTTCGAGCTCGGTGAGGGGCCGGAGCGGGTGCTCGCTGTATTCGGTCATGATGTTGAGGAGGCATTCTTCGTACCTGTTTTTTTAGGGGGCGTTAGTGTGGTTTGGGGAATGTAGGGGGAGGGGGAGGGGGAGGAGCACATGTCGCGGATTCCTCGGGCCCATTCCTTCTTGTGTTCCCATTGGATTAGTCGGCAGCGGCGCTGGACGTGTTCCCATACTGCGTACATGACGGTTGAGTTCTGGCTCCTGCCGTCGGCGCGGGAGCGTTCCTGGATCTCGGCGAAGATCTCGCGCTCATCGATTGCTCGGTATAGCTTGCCTAGGATATTATCGCTCTCGTAATACCGATAGCGCTGGAAGTCCTCGTCATCGTCGTCGTCATCCGGGTCCCGGGGTAGCGTCCGTTCCATTGAAATACCTTCCTTCTTCTCAATCGTTACGTGGGGGCCGGGAGCTTCGAAATCAGGACGCCAACGGACGTATTTGGGGAGTTTGGACATATCAACCTGATTGGAGTTTAGGTCAGCTATAGCTATGCCGAATGTGAGCAAGGGAGAGTACCGGTATTCCAGTCTTAGAGAAATCAACGGCTGTGGAGTGCATTTCTGCAAGCGTGATACAATCTGGGTCCAATGTACCGAGTTCCTTCTGATCAGCCAGAATTCGATGAAGGACGGCAATTCGTCCAAGCTGATCGGTCTCCATGAATTGGATGAAGAAATCTGTCATGTCCTCTGTGGTTATCGGGCGTCCTATGTCAATAGGATCTAATCTAGGATAATCAGCAGGGCTGAAGACTCGTTTCGGCCTGGCCTTTTTATCCCATATGAGGTAGTAACGGTCACCATCGAGGTCACCACCGCTCAATTGACTGGGTAGGTCTCGATAACCCTTTTGGCTGAAGATTATGCAGTTGTGGAGATTTCTGAGGGGTGATCCTTTTGGAGGTATAACCGCGTCTACCACTTGAACATCCCCAGGATGAAGGGCGGGGGCTCTGGAAATTATAAAGTCCTTGCCAGCGAATACCTTCTTTGCCCCTGACTCATCTTTGATTATACAAATTATTTGTCCTTCTTCAAGGAACCCAGTTTCATCCATTATACCATGAAGATGCCAACCCTCAGGAACGGGAATTCTCGTTTTGTGTTTGAGAAGACGGAGCTCTACAAGCAAGGCCATCTCCAGGACGTCACGAAGGAAACCATCGAGTCGAAAATTGAGATTAAGGGAGGAAAGCTTGTTGATAAGCCAAGGAAGATGAATTACTTCTCCGACCGATTGTCGTTTCAAGAACGTGGACGCATTGAAGGGGCTTTCAGTAACCAGTCGCAGTCTTTCAACTTCTCTGGCCTGGAGGTCGAGGAAAAAACTATCCTCTGTACCCATATCCTCCAATATTTTTATAAACTGCCTATTGAGATACAATGGAAGTGGTTTCCATGCTCCTTCGCAAATCTCGATATCGGTCTTGTTCGAGCCATCGAATTTGATCATTGAAGGGCGAAGTACGAGAGCGTCGCTTTGGAGCCGGCTATCCAAGGATATCATACCCTTGGCTCCTATTTGAGGGAATTAGCTTTATCAAGTTTTATTCTGCAGAACGAGGGATTAAGGCTTAAAACAACCACAGAATTTGGAACGTACCCGCATATCTGATTTGAAAGCAGGTAGGCTTCCCACCCCCCTTAGACAGCTTGCTCCAGATAGCCTGCATGACAGACGTAGACATCGTTCCTACACCGTCACTAAAGACTCTGCCATTTTTTTCTACGTCGTTCACCTCCACAACCACTTTTGGATCGATTGGCACTGCTATTGGCGTGTCCGAGAATGTTTGTCCAATTCTGGCAGCGCACTTGGCGGGAGAGCGGATGGTAGAGAAGTCTCCAAGGTCGTGGATGAGCATTTGACCAATCATAAGGCTGTTTTCGTAGAAAAAGGGCGCCATGAACCAACATGTCTGGGCTCTGAGTGAAGAATGAGAGAATCCAAGGAAAGTATAAATTCTATCTGCAATCTTGATACCATCCCTGAGTACCTTCTTGAATCGACCATTGAAAATTCTATCAAGCGAAACACGGGAGCTGAATCGAACAGATTGCCCATCCTCATCGCAGAATTGAACTCGAAGAAAGTAATCATGATGGTGAGGATACTTTCGAAGAACACGGTTATTGTTTTCAGGCTCTGGTCCGTACAATAAAGTACCCGATGGAGTGATTTTAACCCTATGAATGATTGCAACATTTTCTGACCTTTCTTTGGTTCCAATTTCGTCTAGAGAAACTCCTTCCGTATTATAGTAGTTCTCGTTGTCTCGGAGAAGATCGACAATTGACTCGAGTTGAAATTGTTCTGCTTCAATATCGGTTCCAGGGAAAGGAATTTGCATAAACAATTTCCTGATGGCACTAATGCACACAGAGATGGGTGACCGCTCTGTCATCCTAGTGATCTCGGGCAACAAGCCTATCACAACCGATGGAAGGAGGTAGTTATTCTGTACCAACTTCTGAATTTGAAACTTCAGCTCGAATGGAAATCCAATCTTCAAACTGGAAAGAGTGTCTTGGAGTTTCGCAAATCCAGTTGCAAGAGGTTCTAACTGGTAAAAGATTTCTGTACGTCGGTGTATAATAAAGGGCAGTCCATGCGCCTTTCGTAGATTATGCATACGATCTTCCAGTTCATAACTGTCCGTTTCTGCTAGTACAATCCGGTAAACGTAGCAGATTCCCGAAATTGGTTCATGTTCTCCGCCTAGGGAAGAAAGCCTGTGTCTGTCCGGACCGTTCCTCTTCTGGGGTAAGTTTGGTGGTTGAAGGTTAAGTTGTTCCATCAGTTGCGTAAGTGGATCAGTGATTGATTCAAAGAATTGTGGAGGCTGAATCATAGAAATGATAAACGAAGAGACAGATCCAGTCTCCATTGTAATATTTGAAATGCCAGAGTAATGAAACTCAATGCGTTGACCGGATCGAAACGTTAGAATCAAGGTTCTCTCTCCAAATTTAACAACTCCATTTACCGCCGGCCATCTCACTTGCGGTGCGTAGACAAGGTCTGCCTTTGCATAGGTCCAAACGCCACAGGAGGCAGAGGAGCAATGGAAAGTGATTGGTACAAATTTAGTGATTCGGGGCTGGGGGTCATGCGGAGTAGCAGGAACATCTGTGACTCTGACTTGCTGTCGGTCTCTCTCCTCCTTCTCAAGCACTCGAAGCAGGTATTTGTTGGCTTCTCGATTGCTCTTCTCGCAGTAGATGGTTTGGTTTAGAAATACGAGATTGACCGCAGAGGTAGAATTGCTCGCCGTGCTCACGCGAGTGCGGTTGTTGGGGATGTTGGTGACGGTGGAGAGAGCGGCACGGGCGGAGAAGTTCTTGCCTTGATATGGAGGCCTCTTAATCTGACCATGGTGGGCTAAGAATCGTTCTCCATCCTCGATATTAAGGAAGGTCAACGATGCGAATCGCTTTCCTCGTTGCTTTTGGCAATGGACGTTCCGGATCGAAAGCTTTGCCAAATGGGGCTTCAAAAAGTTCCTCAGTCCCTTCTCAGTCCCTTGTTCCGGCACATTTCGGACGTGGACTTCCATGGCAATACATAGGTCACTGTGCTAAAGAGTCGGAGAAGAGAAGGCTGCGGGAGTCGTGCTCGTGATATCTTCTCTTCACAGGGGTATCGGGATCTATGAATAGAAAGGGAACGGGAGACGATACAGCGATGAACAATGAACAAGACTAGAGCGTTTGATTCTGGACGGTTCTCCACAGATCGAAGCTGAAGTTTCGGCTTCTCGCTTAGATACCAATTGCGTATGTTGAAGGCGAAGTACTTTATACAGTACAAAGGAGAGAATGGACAACTGCCGAGATGTTGGAAGTTGCGAAAACTGCACGCGTCACATGACCAGATTGGAATGTGGACGTAAGGTAGCCCCTTCCATGCGTCAACCTCTCTTGCAGGGAGAGGAAACTTTCTAAGAATGTTTAGTTCCATTCTCAAACTCAATCTTATATCATTTTATTCGATTTTGCATTATACTGTATGTAGCATTTGCTTGCATCCCCTAGAAGTAGAGCACCCGAAATACGCGAGATACGAGATCGAGATGTGAGGAACGAGTCGAACGACGTCTGTCCAAGTACTCTAACTCCTGATTCCTTGACATCAGTATACATGATGTATAAGAATTTGGTGCCACAGCCATCAATATCAAGTTTTCCGCCCATAATCTATCCCGGTCACCTGTGAGATTGGTCCGTCCCGTCACTATTGAGGGGAAGCCGATGATGGGAGTGATAGCGACAGCGACAGTAAAAGACCTAAATTCTACTTACCTATTAGCCGTGTTAAACCAGCGGCAAACAGGGCATTATATGTTAAACTTTTGGCCCCCATGATGTCTATTTTGAAAAGCTAACGATCTGCGACAGAGCGCTCAATCACCTACGCGATTTATACCTACTCCTATCTTTCTACCAAGTGCAACTCGTAGGAGGATATCGAAGCTTATAAATATTGATACATCACAGGGCTTTTGAGTTTAGACTAATTCTATATCCAGTTTATGCATATAATCATTATGTACCTTACCTATGCTATTGCCAATGCACTCAAAGTCAGGCCTTGAGCTTGGCACTCAAAGACAATGGATCAAAAGAACTTTCCTTAACCGCCATTTTGCAGACTGCATATAAACCTCTCTCAGAAACCAGGTCAGGCACTAGCCCTGAAACTCCTGCCACAGTCCTAATTCATACTATAGTCATCACGTATAATACGGTAATACCCCAAATTGTATTTGCCCAGAAGTAGAAGATTATCAGGGGTAACCACAAAAGTATTGCCAAAATAATAGTCAGTGGTCAATGACTTTTCTATATCGTTAGTAGTACGTTACTGTTCGTCCAAATATGCAGGCAATAAACTTCAATAACGGCGTCATCAGTCAAAGCCTTCTATAGTACGCGTGATTGGGACACTGCTCAACAGGTGAACTTGATCAAGGAACCTACTTAATATTGAACATCAGTTTCTCTAATCCAAGAAACCTACTACCCTTGGATAGTATCCGCAGACGTATCACGAATCTCAGTTTGCACTACAAACAGTCAGAAGGCTTCCTTTTTGACACCAAGGATTCTTTTGTGGTTATCCCTTTGCTCCAGCGTGACATTCACTCTGCGGGGCTCAGCCCTCAACCAGAATCTTACAAGCTCACAAGGTTCAAGAAGATATGCTGGTAACATGATTTTATCATAGAATCCACGGTAGATATATCTCTATTTCTACTTTTGACATGATCAAATCCAAACGCAGAAATAAATTGCGTTGGATCGTCTGCACATCTCCCACTGGCATTATGATCCCTTATGAGGTAAGAATGGTCGATTATGAGCATCATACTCCATGGTGTCGCACCCTCAAGGTTACGATCGCAGGAAATCTGGAAAAAGAGAATAACATGTCAGGGAAAGAGAGGCATAGGGGCTGCCAGACGGCACGGGATGAGAGTGGCTACTTGCAACAAGTTGTGGAATTGAACTTTTAGCTTCAGTAGAGAACCGTAGATTGACCTGGTCACAAGAAGGGCTAGGTGATATAAAATTAGAGAGTTAAAAACTGAAATCTGGGTTGGTTCCCATATGTACCTTGTTGTATGCCTAAGTTGATAAGCCGAGGTCCCTCAAGGTTGAGGCTCTTCGTGAGACTTTGCCCTAGATGCGATATTCCATGATTCCATCCAATCTTATTGTTAACAAAGCGTTCCAACGACTTCGCTACCAATATAAACCAAACTGAGTCACTTAATCACATTAGGCTGTTCCGTGGTGCACGCCGTGCCGTATTTTCCAAAAGATGTGGCAGTGAAAATAGGACAGAGCGAAGGGGAGGACAATGACGGAATTACCACCGATGAAGAGTACTTACTCCACATATTAAGATAAAGGCCTGCACAATAATATGGAAAGAGTGAACCATGGATTGGTAAGACACCATATTAGACAATATCTTGAAATCTATAAGAAAAGGAAGTCCCTCGGCAACTTCAAACTCCACCTCCACATCTAAACCAGAAAGCATTGAACACCAAGACCACCAGTCGATCTCTCTGACTGGTTTTGGGAGAATTCAACCTCTTGAATTTTGGATTAAGCTAAACTTCAGAGAATCATCCATAAATTCGACGGGTTCTGCGTTCTCATTGGTCCCCCCGTCCGCTTGGATTCAGCCCGAGAGACAAATAGGGAGAACGATGGGGATGGCGAGCAGTCTGAATAACAATCCGATAATAGCAACACGACAATTCCTACTCCATTTATGTTGAGACGCCTCTTCGCATTCCAGACAATTTCTTCAACTACACCGACTCTCTCCATCTTCCACGACCTTCTCATACCTTGACTTTAACATCGACACAAACATCTTCCATACCTCCTGCCCAACACCTAACATCTCGAAATATATTAAGTACTCGAGATGAATCGTGAATCCAATTCCCTGGCCGTAAGTCTTCCCCCCGCTAAGCCATCAACTATCTAACAACAAAAAGGGTGCTAGCCAAGCAGCTAGTGACTTGCATGATGCCCTGTTCGCGCAGGTACCGGAGCTCAGAAATGCCATTGCCATAATGGATGCTTGGATTGACGACTTCGACAAGATCACCGCCGCTCACGTTGATGAGATCAAGGAGTGGGAAGAAAAGTATGCAGATGCTGAGTGCAAGATGGAGGAAAGGGATAACAAAATGGAAGGGCTGTACATAAGGATTGCGGAGATGTACCAGAGATCCGACGAGAAAGATGCCGAACTGGCTAATCTCCGGCTTGAGAGCGCAACTCTGCATCATGCTCTTGCTTTAAGTAATGATGCAAGCTACCGCCAAGAAATATTGGCCGAACAGATCCAGGCCACCACCGCTCATTATGAACAAGAACTCGCAACTCTTGCCCAGGAAAAGAATACTGTCATCAGCGAAAAGGATGCAGTAATCGATTATCTCCACGAGGTAATCGCAGTCAAAGAAGATTCCCTCGCTAGGGAAGCCGATATCGCAGACCAACAGACCGAGATGATGGCCAGACAGAATTCCATCATCGAAGAGCTTCAAGAGGAGAGCCGGCAATATAGACTGGCGTATGAGAATGCCGTTGCCGATGCCCGACTGAGAGACGATTATATCGCTGAGCAAGCCACTGAGGTTAGACACCTCATGAGAAGGTGTCAAGATCTCCAAGACGGTATTGCCGGTGGGGGTCAGTGGGAACACGCTGCCAACGAGTTCGCCTTCGATGGCATCGCCGGTAGGAATGAGCGAGAGAACGCCGATTCTGAGACTGGGATTGTCGTCACTGATTCTTTGGGGGACAGGAGCGCCACTGAGTGTGTGGCAAGTTCCTCTGGCTTTAGCCCTGGCTCTGGATCCCACAGTATCAAGAGTGAACCCAACGATATGAATAACAGTGTTGAGTGGGATTCGAGTCCCTCAGATCTTGACTCTGGCTCTGGATCACACGATATCATACGTGACCCGAGCGATGTGGATAACTACGTTGAGCAGGTCGCCAACTCTCCTCGTTTTGGCTCTGGCTTCCAACCCCACGGTATCAAACGAGAAGTTGAGGACATATATAATGATACCGACGATGAAGACGAATACGAGCAACCAACAAAGCACGTTAAGCTGACGTCCAGTGTAAGTCCAACTCAAGCTTCAGACGGAATCTAGGGATTGAGAACTAAGTGGGACCAGCAGAAACTCCTATCTCCATCTTTCAATGATTCCTACGGCCCATACTCTGCTGCAGCTTATGAATATGGCCTGCCAGGCAGATCTCCATCGAGCAAGATGTCTGACCAGGCGCAGAGATCGCGGATTTAGGCTTAACTGACAGTCGAGGTGAAGAGAAAATGGACATTGCAAGAAATATGCAGGAGAATGGCGCTTGGGTATCTGAATTTGAAGGCCTTTGAGACATGTAGATAGATGACGAGGCACTTGCCGACTGGTATATATGAAACTGGGGCCCACGGGCAATGCTAGTCTCACAAATGAATACGAAATCAGTCAGATCAGAAGATGTTGATGGCTAATACCACTGATGAAGTGAAGCAGTATTGTACAAGGCCCTCTTACCCTCCCTCGCGCCAACCTCAACCATGCATGCTATTGAGACAATCAAAGAAATCTCCTCTTCCATCTACCCGTTTACAACAGATCCGTATTACACGAGTTCGCTAGTAACGTTAGAGAACTCTCCCTTCTCCAATTTCGTCTTCCAGAATATTGGGTTTGTATCACTGAACCCATGCTTAACCCATCCGTCCTCCTTTACGTGATACAGGTTAATGAAACCACCTGAATAGGCATCTCTGTGAGTGGCGGCCAAAATGCTCCTCCTTCCCAGCTCCAGCGCTTCTTCGTCACTCAAATCATATCTATATTCCGCATCCAGCACACCGTATGCAAATGTCTGTCCGGAACCGACACAGAAGAGATTTCCGGCCAAACGTGTGCCGTCGGAATCAATGTAATAGAGAGCAGGGCCTTCGGAGGGAGTCACGCCAGCGCACATCGTCCCCATCGACAGCCCCATGCCTTTGTAGGAGTAGACAAGATTGGCGAGGATTTTAGAGGCCGCAGCGACAGAGATACGGCGCTTATGGCGGAGTTCGTGGAGGCGGCATTGCATACCTAGGTATGCGAGCCAGTACTGACAGTCCTATATTCCTCTTATCAGCAGGTAGCTCGCAAAGTAACTGCAGATCTCCATGATCATGACAATGACAGGAGGCCTCGGGAAAAGACGACTCACAGCAGCACCACCGGCCATAGTACCCAGTAAACAATTGTTGATCTCGATGACCTTCTTGACAGTTTGACTGGCAATCCAATTCCCCGCTGTAGCTCGCGAATCGGTAGCTATTATTATACCGCCTTGGAATCGAAATCCTAATGTTGTTGTACCGTGTGCAATCTTGATGGGGCAGTTGGGGTTGGCGTGGTCATCTGTTGCTGCGCGCAGCCAGGCTGAAGGCTGTTATCCAGGATATCGTCAATACCAATTCCAAATAGCTTTAAAACAGCCTGCAGATAACTCGAGAAGATGGAAGAAAGAATGTGAGGTACGTACTTGGGCTACAGGAGGCATGGCGAACTTAAGAGACAAGCTTGGTGTTGGCTGGTACAGCTCCATCTGGTCATCTTCCGAGTAGTTCTCTTTCTCGAACTTCGGCTGGGTGTATTGTGCGACGAGGGTATCCATCTTGAATGACTGAAAAGGAGTGTTATGCAAGGAAAGGGAAAGGTGAGGTCGAGCTGGGAAGTTGAGGTTGTTGGCGTTGATGAGCTTCAGGCAGCTTGTTGTTCGCGTCAGCAGTTCGAGACTAGTCACCCGGTCACGTGCATGCGTCGTGGCCTTGGCAAGGGATGTTGTTTGAACGACGACGACGAAGACATCAACTTCTTTGACGGCCTCCATTAGTTCAAACTCAACAGGAACAATATTCGGGATAAAAGGCTCATATTTTCTTTATTCGCACAAGGAAAGAGTAATGGATACCTCCGACAATACTCTGACCCCAATATGCGCTCTCTTCTCTGTCTCCGACCCCTTCCTTCTCACGCGCCTCCTTGCCCAGGATGGAAGTTCTTCTGTTACCTTAGCAATTATCTGATTCAGCAACAGACTACTCTCTTTACACTGGATGGTATATCTCTGTAGCAGATAATGATGGTGATGATATGAATGTTTCGGACCCCTTTGGATGTGACGAACAGGCCGATAACCGTTCCACTCTGCGAGGACTGTCAACACGGTGAGGTATACCGGCACATTCCTAACATACCATGAAATTATCCCTAATGTTACCTTCTCTTCCCTCCATCGCTTACTATTCCCTAAATCTCTGTCCGCATCATTGGCAAGGCGTAGTCCATTTGGGAGAATGAACTTACGTTTCCCTCCAAATCGCCATCTTGACTTTCCTACTGGCCTCCGGATCGACCCTCCACCTCCTCTCCTCTGTCCACAGAATGCGAGAAACCGCGCTCTTAATGCGACTATCAACCAACTATGGGTGTGTTATATTCCACTTTAACATACCCTCGCCTCTGGTCCTCATTCTTTTGACTGAAAGCGTAATCATTCTCCCAACGATGGTAAAGAGACACGTCAATTTGGGGGTGGAGGCTGTAAGTGCGGTTTTGTGAGCGAATCGGTCACTTCTGTGACACTTAAGCCGGAGAGAGAGATAAGGATTGAGTATAACGATGCCCGGATTCTGAGAACTTCAGCCGCCCCTCGTTGTTTGCCATTATAGATACATAAATGGGGGTTGATTGTGTGACTGGGTGATTGTCACCTGGCTTTGGAACTTTAATATCGAAATATAAATCGAAAACCTTAGATGTTCCTGAGGAAGAGACGATGTAGGAAATGAAGAGGACTGGAAATCTGCTAAAACATATGATCTAAACTCTTGTTCTATACTCTGCTACTCTACTTCCAAAGAGAAAGAGAGATAAAAGATTCATACTTTCATCTTGTCTCAGCGGCAGATCTCATGGGCCATACGAGTCTGACTCAATTCTTCATCTTCCCCTCGCCCGTGCAGGTTGCAGCGGATCCGATTCCTTTTCAATCTAGGCAAGACTGAGAATGATAAGAACAAAATGATGAAGGACTACCTTTATAATAGCGTAGCTACTCGTGCCAGTCGTCAATATCTGAACAGATTCGACTCTTTAGCAGCCTTCTAGTCTAATCGAAGAGGCAAGATTTCGTGGCCAGGTGCCCCAATACTAGCCTCCATTGTGAATCAAAAATCACAAAAATAAAATGACAACGGCAATTATAACAACAACGGTATTGACAATGATGAGAATGATGACAATGACCCTTATTTTCGAGGAAATTAATGACCCTCAGCGGTATCGGGAGAGATATGATATGGGGTATGAAAATTCGAAGGAAGGGAGTGATCCAGACATCGCAACCGCATAGCCCTCTGGCCGACGCCGACCTGCAGGCAAGAAGTGGAGGACTTCATCTGGATCACTCCCTTCCTTCGAATTTTGGGCGTCGCGACGCCTGAGTGTGAACATGTCGTCCATCCCTTTGAATTCATTACACATTTCCACGGCCTCGATCTTCAACTCTAAGTTTATAACTCCTCCTCTCCAATATGGGGTAGCTTAAGGCCCCTTTCGGATGTCAAATGGAGCTTGGAAGTCGATATAGTCCTGAGAATCACCTCTACCCACAAGTGTCGATGCCCGTGGGCGTACCAGGTAGAAGATGATATCGATCCGACTTGGACAAATAATAGTATTTTAATAATATAAACCCGTGTCTTTCAAGGGGGGTGTTTTTGCAACGATAACTAAGTAAAGTATAAACTTACTCCCTAAAGAATGGATGGTATGTGGTGCTGTGGATCTCCAATTTACTCAGCAATGTCAGCATTGTGAACAGAACTGCTGTTGACCTTGCGGACACTCTGTAAGAGTCTGACTCAGGTCTTGCAGTTTGGAAGCTTCGTTTCCAAGACAGGCTATTAATAGAGGTTCACGAAGTGGACTTTTACCGAATCCCGATGGTGGATTGAGTGTGTTATCAATGGCTTCCGTCACGAAGTAATCATCGGGCTGCTTAAGTGGATAGTCTTCGACGCATTAATCGCATTCACTAGATATCTACCTAGATAGACCATTGGTCTGTACGAAGGTCCCTGTAAGATCAAGGTAAGGCGTCCCGTGCTCGAGACTGAAGCGCTCCCTTCGGTTTGTATTCTTAGGGAGCAGGCATGAGAGGACAACGGCTTCTGGAACGACTCACTTAATTTTGGTGACTACCAGAAAACTCTACCTTCAAAAGTAAGAGCTGATCTTAGTAGCGCCTTTATGGAGAGCTGATTACCGGCAATATCTAATAAGTCATGCAACAGAGTCTCACTTTTTCTGACGACCGCCCTCGTTAATTCTCGCTAATTCTCGCTACCCCTTTCTCACTCGCACTTTCGCCTCGCTCTCCTAGTTCTGGTGGTCATCTTCCTCCACTGTGATCCCGATGGCCTAGCCTTCCTCATCCCCAGATCCCGAAACGACATAGGGGAGGGGTTTCATGGTGTGGGGCCGATTAGGTGCCGCACATCTATTTAAGCGGGATGGAGGCTACCAATCAAGCGCGAAAAATATGTGGATAAGCTGAGGCCGGAAAACTGACCGGAATTTGAGAGTTGACCGCCGGTGCCGATTCAGATAAAGGAAGGCCTGAGCAACACATCCAGTGATCGCTTTCGGCCTTTACCCCCTAGTGCAAAGTCTTAGAGTTCGTCTGAACCACGGGTTCTCTCAGCATTAACAGATCCAATCATTCGTTTCCCGAGGAAATGTCTATCCCACTGTCAAAGGCTTGCTGCTCTTCACCCGCGGTGGTGCGGGAAGGTTATGAGCAGAAGGGCCATTTCACTACTTTCGACAACCTCAAGACATGTGAGTTAGTTCACCGCGCGGGGCAAGTCTCAAGCAAAAGAGGAGGGAAAACACTGACTTCAATGGAATAGATGTCACCGGGTCAACATCAGCCAAGATGGCTATTCTCTACGCCTACGACGCATTTGCCTTTACCTCACAGACCCTTCAAGGAGCGGTATGTTTGGAATAAACTATTTTCCGGCCATTCTCCAAGCTGGCCTTCCGTTGCTGATATGACATTACTTTTAGGACATGCTTGCCGCTATGGCAGACTGTCTCGTTCTGATGCCGGATTTCTTGGACGGGGGCATTCCTCGAGAAGCCTTCCCCGCTGACACTCCCGAAAAGGAGCAAATATTCGTAGATTTCTTTGCCGGCAAAGGAGACTGGGACCGGGTGACCAAATTGGTTACATCGAGCGTCAAGGCTATCAAGAGTGCATATCCCTCTGTTGAGAAAATCGCAGGCCTAGGCTTTTGCTATGGCGGAAAGGTGTCGATCTGTGCAGCCAACCAACCTGATACCCCATTCAATGCCATTGCACAGGCACACCCGGCCCGGCTAGCTAAGGAAGATGCAGAGGCTCTTAGGGTGCCGCATCTGTGCCTGGCTTCGAATGAAGAGGATCCCGAGGATGTGAAGGCCTTTGACGCTGTGGCCAAGCCCCCTGGATCTGAGACGTACACGTACGAGAAGATGCATCATGGCTGGATGGGCGGACGGGCCGACTTTAACAACGAGCTCAACGTACAGGAATTCACGAGAGGGTGAGTCTACAAATCCGAAAATGCCCCCTGTAGATCATCAAGCTAACTAAGTGATTCCCGTGACGACAGTTACAAGCAAGTTGCTGAGTGGTTTAAACGGGTTATCTAGTATCGTTTTGGCTCCCACAGCATTAGCATCTGATGGTGTGAGAGACGCTGGCAGAACTGGAACGCTAGTGTTAGGGGGACCTCCTCGGCGCTGGCTTTTCTACCTAGTATGTTGGCAGCCCTCTACCGCGCTTTCCAGCTCGCAGGGCATAGATTATTAGTATCGAACGAATATTAGAATTGAAAGAGCAAGTAGGGGTTATTGTATGGTTCGTACTTCTAAATACCTTACATATAACTACCGCTACAGCCTACTTGCCATCGAATCTACTTCGTACATTGAGTCCTTTGCTTTAGTCAATGACTTGGCAATCCAAAATCTCTGCACAATACTCATACTAACCCAGTCATTTCGGGTTCGTCCTTGTCTTGAACTTTGCACACACCTTTAAGAATCCACCTTTGAGAACCCCGCATCCAAGTCTACCATATCTTGAATACTCTGCCCGGTGTCTTCCACTCTCCATCCTCGCCTGCTTCCCTGCCACTTTTCAATTTGAAGCTCGAGCCTCGAGTATAGTTTAGAGAAAGGTAGACTCCGGGAAGACTCGATGAAACATCGGTTTGGATTGACCATCTCCACAATTGCACATGCCATCTTGGAGCCTTGTCTGTCGTGAATAGTGGATCGGCCGGCTTAGTCACCCACCCGGTCGGCTGCTTCTCCGCTGTCAAACCGGGCCTGAACCGGGCCTGAACCGGGCCTGTATTTTGTCAGACCCCGCATCCAGCGACTGCCTTGGACGTCAACAAGATGCAAGGGTGTTGATACACGTAGAATACTTAACCAGCGTCCAAATCTCACCACCGCAGCTATGCAGACCCAAATACAAACTGAGGAGGACAGATCCAGTCCTCACAACGCGATTCAAACACCCAGACGTGATCACTACCGAAAATAAAGTCTCCGAGCCCACGTCACTTCTTCCAGGACGTGCTACACCTGGAGCGATGAATAGTAGCAGCAGCAATGATAACAACGGAGAACCCATTTCAGCGGCAGCTTTGCCCGGACAGGCTGTCGATATCGAGAGAGATGTCTCGAGGCCTGTGAGTCGAAATGAAGACTCCTCCATCAACGGAACAGACCCCAGCTCCGCGATTGATTTGGAGAAAACGGCTGGCGAAACCGCCCAGCTATCTTCCTCTAAGGAGGTTCAATATTCCGTGTTCCCTCGAAACCAGAAGTACTTTATCGTGTTCATGGCATCGCTGGGTTCGTTCTTCTCACCACTTAGCGCCAACATATACTTCCCAGCCTTAAACACATTGGCATCGCACTACAATGTAACGCCTTCAATGATCAACCTCACCATCACGACCTATCAGATCTGCCAGGGTCTAGCACCAAGCGTGTATGGTGACTTCTCCGACCAGGCAGGGCGACGTCCGGCTTTCATCGTGGCTTTCGTGATCTATGTCGCGGCGAATATCGGCCTTGCGGTTCAGAACAGCTACGCGGCACTGATGGTCCTGCGCTGTCTGCAAAGCTCTGGTAGCAGCGGAACCATTGCACTATCCCTGGGCATTATCGCCGACGTGACAACTACGGCAGAGCGGGGGACGTACATGGGATTGGCTCTGTCAGGGGCAATGTTAGCTTCTGCCATTGGGCCGATAATTGGGGGACTGCTGACTCAATTTCTCGGGTGGCGAGCTATCTTTTGGTTCCTAACCATCTTCAGCGGCTCCTATACCTTGATATACATAATTCTGATGCCAGAAACTAACCGGACCATCGTTGGCAATGGCTCTGTGGCGCCACGAGAGTGGTGGAACATGTCTGGCTTAGACATGCTGCGTCTGAGGAAGTTGAGACGGAATGAGACAAAGGAAGCTCGGGAACTGAGGGAATCGTTGCCGAAGAACAAGGTTCGGTGGCCACGGCCTTGGACATCGCTACAGGTCATGAAAGAGAAGGATGTGGCTGCTGTGCTGTTCTTCAATTCCATCGTCAATTGCGCCTTTTACGATGTCATAGCCACCACTCCCCTACAATTCGAACGGCTCTATGGCTATAATAGTGTCCAGATTGGCCTCTGCTACCTGTGAGCCCTTCCCTCTATTACAAAGATAAGCCTGTGTACTGACACTTCACGTCTCAGCCCTTTAGGCGTCGGAAGCTTCATCGCCGCGATTGTAAACGGCAAAATTATTGACTGGAATCTCCGCCGTATCGCGCGCGCGAACAACTTCCCCATCGACAAGAAACGCGCCCAAGACCTCCGCAATTTTCCCATAGAGAAGGCCCGCATGCAGACCCTCCTCCCGATATTCCTGCCCGGAGTCGCCACTGTCCTTTGCTACGGCTGGGTTTTGCAGCAATCTGCCCCGCTCGTAGCGCCTCTGATACTCCAATTCATTATAGGCCTATCGTTTACCTCTGCCGCGAACACTGGTAGCACACTGCTCGTGGATCTATACTCGGCCAAGCCTGCCACGATCACGGCGGCGAATAATCTTGCTCGTTGCCTCATGGGAGCTGGAGCCACGGCACTGATTAATCCGATGATTGATGGGATGGGAATTGGGTGGTGCTACACCTTCATTGGATTGGTTTGTTTCATTACAACTCCGATGCTCTTGCTGCTGATAAAGAAGGGCCCCGCATGGCGGGAAGCACGACGACTGAAACACGAACAGCCCAAATGAGATGGTGGGATATGAGCCTAAATAGATAAGATTCATAAGAATCTAGTAATAACAGCAGGCCAGGGACGCCACAAAGGTCTTACTTACTTTGTATCATAAATGAATAGACTATAGAGCTAATTGGAGAAAATATGCAGTCCGATGACATCTCAAAACCTGAATAGTCAGGTAATGTATGTAAAGTTCGAAGACTTTGCTGATCTACCCCGTGTAAGGGATCTGATCATTTGATGCGGAAAAGCTTTCTGGTCCGTATTCTTGCATTAGAGGGGAGAACGGATCGCTGCCACCGTATGTCCAGCCAAATTCAGCCAGAAAATTGTCGTCCAGGAAATCCGGTTCCTGCATTCCAAATCCCAGACTCTCATGATTGGAAACCATAGCCGCATTGACGCCTTGATTGCCATCCGATGCTTAAATAAAGATTAGCATACTCGAAAGGTCGTATTGAACGAAGGGGTTAGGGCACTGACATTGGCGGGTCTCGTCCGTTGGTGGCAGGTAAGCACCCATCTGGCCTCCAAACTCCTCTCTCCACCACCACGCCGTATCGTACACCGGGCTCATTGCAAGCCGGCTTCGAATGCGAAGCGATAGGTATTCTGTACCGTTAGGCCTTTTGAAGGCCTTTTTGCTATTCCACAATTGTGTGAGCGTTAGTGTGTTCCTGGATGCTAGATCCCTGCAGTTTTCGGTTGCCAGGCGTTTTCCAAGGTCCAGCGCTCGGAAAAAGGTCGACTTCCCTCCTACAGGGTCCAAATACTGGGCAAAAGAGCTTTTCATGATACGCAAAGTGGCATGGCTTGCTAATATCATGGCATAGTTAAAGTAAAATGGGGATGTGGCGAGTATCTGGCGGTCCTGGTCGAGTTTCTCCATGTAATCGACCAACTGGCAAGCGCTCGTGTAGAGACGGATGACTGCTTCAACGTGGAGAGATGCGGGATTCTTGAAGAAATAGAACATTTGTACTGTGAGACGGCATGTGTAGAAATAAAAGAGGTCTATATCTGTAGCACATGTTAGCTAAGCGCTGCCGAGAACAACGAGGAGCTGACCTGTCACGAAGCCTGCTTCTGCATCCGCTAATTGTGCTTCAAAAACCCGTAATATGATGTCCAGCGAGCGTTCTTGCTCTGCAGAAAGGGTCCGAAGACCGTGTTCTTGCACTACCGTGCAACATCTAGTGACAATTCCATGTATCTTCAACTGGAATCTCAGACTAGGTGATATTCTCAGAGATGGTGTCTGATCTCGCTCAGTCTTCTGACTAGCGTCAAGTAGGCCGAGGTCAAGGAGGCCGAGATGGGCCAAGCCAATACAATTACATGCTCTGGACCAAGTCAGCCGGTATTAGGCTGGATACCATGTATTGACAAACCGACTTACCGTTGGTAGACAAGCACACAATTTGCCCAGAGCTCGGATCGTTTGTTGATATCGTCTTCAGTCAGACTAATCTTTACTCTTGAAAATTCCTGGCTAGAGAGAGGTACGTGGAGGCCCATCTGCATGGCCATATGTAACATACCGCCACTGAGAGGAAATGGAATGTCCTGGCTGAGAGAGCCAGTCGGAAATGGCCAATTTAGGACTAAGAGCAACCCTTTAATGGTGCGCAAGGAGGTATGTTTCGGATTGAGTGATGTGAGGGCCAGGTTAGTGATTTTAGGAGCAAGAGAGTCGAGCAGAGTCCGCTCTGCCGTATAAGCACGGCATGCAACCCCAATGATTGCCCAGAAAAGGAAAGGCGAAAGCTTATAATACCAATTCGGGGTCTCCAAGGGATCTAATATGGGCATGAAGTGATTATATCGTTGAAAATATCTATGAAAATATCAGAGGCTGATTCGTAACTAGAGCTATCTTTGACAGGAACTGCCGTGTAGGGCCAGAACAAACTCACGTTTGAAATATCCCATCGATGGTATCTGCATCCACCTGCACACCATCCAAGGTCCTCATCACAGTCAGGTCAGATGTTTGATCTTCCCTAATATTCTCCCTCCTAGAATCGTGTAACGGAGAATGGGGTGATTGTGGGCGAGACCTAACTTGGATTGTTGAGCTCACAGTCTGCGTTGATGATCCGGCGTTGGTTGATACTTCACCGTTGCTAACACTATTCGTGCGAATCTCAGCAGTGTTCGCCAGTTGGGCACTTTCAGATGTTTGACCATGGTTTTGGCCATTATTCAGCTCCTGCCGAAGAAGAGTTGCCTCTCGCTCCAGCTCAGATAGCCTCCTAGAAGCATAGTATGTCAGTCACGTCATCAGAGCTTTTCGACGTATAGGTTCAATACTTACTGGCGTTTGTTCTGTCTCTTGAAGGGATCAGAGATGACGCATTGCACGTTCATCTTCTGACATCTCGAGCACGGCCTGGGTGAGACGAGATGTGCATCGCAGCGGGCCTGCTTGCCATGTTAGCTTGTCACTTGGTGTGCATCACTCCTGAGTGCTTACTGACCTTCTGCTGCCGGCATTCTGTACACGCCTTCTTGTTTCGTCCAGTGGTTCTGCAATTGTAGTTGGTAAGCTGCGTCGTCACGAGCAGGACATGTGACAGATAAGGTAGCGTACGGTGTTGCAGACTGATCCATAAATTATTGTTGCCACGCTTTTTCGTGGAGCGGCTTGTTTAATGGGGAGTCTGTTGGGTTTGATTCAACCCTCCTAGGTAAACCGTAGGGGAAAAAAATTAATGCGGTCAATTGTGAGAGGTTAGAAGGTAAGGCATGCAGGTATTTTGATCAGAGGTTCTGGGCTAACGATAAAATGAGGTTATCTCAAGACCTTTTTGTACTCGGTTAAATAAACGAGAGAGCTCTAAGCCACCCCGAGGTACGGTAGGGACTTAGATACAAATGTACCTAAAGGTAGCTATCTTATCTTTAATTTGTGTAATAAACAAGGTGAGTTCTGTACTATACAGTCTCTGGGCATATTAGCAGACATGGACTATCCGTCCCTATTGGGTATAGAGAGGGGTTCTGATCACGTGATGGTTAAATTGATGACTAATCAAGTGCCTACCTACCCCTGAGCCGATGTGGTAAAAAGGGGTAAATGTGGGGGGTGGTCTAAGGTCCTATTCATCCACTTCCGAAAACAATCTCCTGTAAACCCCCCATAAGTTATACTTTAGCATTCTTATTTACTAGCTCCTCTTTTGCAACCCACAGTCTTCTAGTTAACTACCTAGGTTCGCATTCATGCTTCTCGTCTTCCTGCCAAGTTCCCGGTATCAAGATTCAAATCAACTTTTCTTGAAGAAAGGCTCGATCTCTCTTGCGATTGCCACAAAAGATACACATGCGTGTTATTGTCGTTGACGTTTAAGGATCATGAGTAATTTATAACTCTCATATAAGGGATAGTATTACTCCAATTGCCCTCCATTATAGCTTGATGTCTATTTATTTATCGAGGGTCTGGGTCACCCAAGTAGAGAGCCCTTGGAGTATGAAGTATCAATCCACAAATTGTATATTATCTTATCATCAGGTACTCTAATCTCTAGGTATACGATAATGGAGAAGCAGGATGGAAATAGTTTCGTCAAATCTATCCGGCGTCGTACTCGATTCAACCCAGTCATTAAAACCCTTGAAGCCAGACCCTTTGTAGCAAATATTCTGCCTTGAGTTTTTGCTGGTTAAGACTTGTTGAATGCTAATACATCTCTGCCTCCCCTCCCCCCAACTCCCTCAGAGTCCCTCTTCAGCAATCTCTCTAATATTGTTGATCGGTGTAACATTCTCGCGCTAGTGGGCATTGGTCTTCGTATGGTGAGAGGGTAAAAGGTTTACTAGAAATCCATTGGTTAACTCGAGATTCTTATGATAAAGTGATGCTCCTATGGTATAGCCTTGGCTGGGAGAGTGTCATAGAAACTCCTTATTCCAATCCTCATTCCCAGATGTAATCCCTATAACTTGTTGTATCTGCTTCTCAGCCTTATGAACCAACTTCTCAGATAGAGTGCAATTCCTCCTCGGCCGCTAGGGGCAGTAACTGTATAGGAATCCGAGTATAATCAGTGGATACACCAATAAGTTAGAGCTCTCGCTTTTCCTGCCAGTAAGTGGCCACTAACGACGTTTCTGATCCTGTCTAGAAGAGATCTGGCCTAGGAGACTTGTGAGATATTGTTTCCATTCCCTGGAAAGATATTATTGCTGTCAGCTGAGTATTAGATTAGAATCAGGAGAATGATTACATTGATTAGACTTACTGTAAGAGATCAGAAAATTAACATGGCCAGTGTCTGAAGCTTTCAGCTGTTTGGAAAAAAGACAAAAAGTGTAGTACTATAATTCTTAGCGTACTTTATGTTTTGTCTTTTAGCACCTTACTTGATGGCTTTCCCTCGCTTTGGTTTGTCAACAAGCTGCTATTTACGCGAGGCCTCCCAGATCTGGAATTAGACACTGACGCGCAACGATTAACTGTTCAATACTTTAAAGAACAGCCCAAACAAGAATTGTTCCTTCCACCAACTAGAACGCCAATGCAAGGAACCTTGGTTGTTTTTCTAGAAACCATCTCTCAAACATACAACACGGTCAACACCTTCACCTCCTCCAACAACTTTGAAGCCTATCATTGAAGAAGTCGCGTGCTTTCCCGGAGGTAAGACCCACTTTGTTACTTTTCTCTCCATAACAGATCGATCTATCAGATAGCTAAGAATCACTCACAGAAGCTGTCGCAATCATGTCATCCTCTGAGTCTGACGAGCGTCTCGGAAGAAAGATGAGCGTGTTGATCGACATTCTGGAATCCAACATTGATCCCGAACAGCCGTTCTCCACAATCATTGAGAAGTTCATCGCGGCTGGAGACCCGATCCCCGAGGATGCGACGTGCCTGCTCTTTGCCGCACAAGAATTCGAAAAGATAACGGGGCAGTCAAAGAGCGAAAAGTAAAATGCTATTAAAGCTCTCAGGGAACAGTTGGACGAGCAGGCAGAGGAGTTGAGAGACGCGCTTGAGAAGCACAATGTATTGCAATTACAGATTTGTCATTTGCGGTACATAATCGAGGAACTCAAGGAAGTGACGGGTTAATTTGACCAAGCAATGTCCTAGATTAGGAAGAAAGTAGGCTAGGACTCATGTCAGCGCAGTGGGCTTCTTGTGTCGAGCTTCAGCGGATAGCTAGGGAGCGGTGGAAGGGAATAATAAGAGAGTATTAGACCTGCTTTTGTCACAAAAGAATGTCCAGCATCAACGTGAGACGTGAGGGGGTAACTGGTTTATAGCATGCCGTCTTGCATTCATGGCTTCAATGATCGACTTGCTGGTCTACAGCCCTTGTACAACACATATAGCCAACCTTGGCCATTGTGAAGCTAGCTATAGAGGGTTCATTCTACGCAGAACTTTAAGAATGTTGAAGATACAACTTTGTAGGCTTCGACATTTGCTCTCTAGTGTCCTTCTTCCCTGGATGGCTAACCCCTATTTGGGACCCTATTGAACGCCAGTCATACAACTCAAAACATCTAGAATTGATGCAGTAATCCTCCAAGTGCTTGAATGTACTGGGTCTGCTAGTGAGATTTTGACAATGTCTAAAGCACCAGAAGGAGAAAGACTATATGCAGTCAAGGGAGCGTAGTAGCGTAGCCTTGCGTGTGAGAAGACTCGCCAATAGGCGAGGCTGGTGAAAAGACGCGGTAGGCTTCAGACAGAGTTCCCCCCAGAATTCGCGCGACTCCAAGAAGCAAAAAATCCCTTCTTCTTGTATTCCTTTAACCAGTCCACTGAGACGCTCTGGATCATGTATGAATGCCCTTCTTCACACAGTATAACAGCTAACATAAGGACGAAACTAGAGAGAGTTCCACTCGACTCCAGTTGTTGGCCGCTGTGAACTTGCACAGTTGGCGCAAACAGAACCTCCTCCATATAACCTCAATCTGATACTTCTTTCACATCCCATTTTCATCAGAGGATCTCATTGATTCTACAATTGCAGCAACGGCTCGAACTCACCGTTGAGGAACAGCTTCGTCCCCATAATGGTACCACCAACTCTCAGAATGTCCTCTAAGCGTCTTTTAGACAGCTTTAGAAGCTCAGTTACAGAGGAGATGAATACCAAAGACCTCGCAGAATCATCTTTGAGCATCAAGTCATCCCTCACTGGCAGCCAGAGAGGCCTCGGGACTTCCGAGGGTGCAGCAATTGTAAATCCAAAGGGAGAGCGCCTGTCAGAAGCTATTCGGGCACGAAGCAACGAATCAGAAGTAGACGCATCTTATCACCATGGCATCCATCCTGTCATACCTATAAATGGTGATCAGCAACTGCCATCTCAAGCAGAGCTGTTCTATAACTCTCCCAGTGCCAACCAATATACAGATCGGTACGATAGTCGTCGCGGCAAGCAGCCAGCCCGAGAAATCTTCCAAACTTCCACTCCGATGAGTAGCAGCAGCAGGTTCCGTACATCTGCGAACACAAGTTCTGTCAGTCTGATAAACACACCAGACATCCAGTATCGGACCTATTCTTCGGAATCATCTAAGGACCAGGCGGGAGGCAGAAAGAATAAATCTATGTCAGCTCTTCGACAAAGCTCAACCCCCCATGATATCGATAGGCTTTATTCAGCAGGAGCATCGACTGCAGCTGCGGCGAACAAGCCAGCCAACGACCGATATGGCATGCATACATTCAAGAGCCTCAACATACTTGCACAACGTGCTATTGAGATACTTCTAAGCCAGCACCCAGATGCCAAGTCCGAGTTGCAAATCCTCAAGCGGGCTCTACACGAGCAGGAAGAGTTCATCAAATTGAACCAGGAGAACCTAGATGCAGGTGTACATAAAGCAATGTGGGAGTCTTGCAACAAGCTTGCGAGGTTGGTGAACAGAGTCAATGAGCATCAGGAGTTAATCCAGACGTTGTTCGGCCGCTTGGATGAAAAGGAGAAGGCTGCCGGCATCAAGATGACGGAGCTAAACCATGCAAACCACAGGATCAAGCTCTTGCAGGATGAAGTCATCAAGAAGGATCAGGTTGCAGATCTCAAGCACAATGAGTATATTACCGCCATCGCTCGCCTTGAGAGGGAAAGGGATGAAGCAGTCGAAAAGCTGGCTGTCATTGAGGAGAAGCTGAAACATGAGAGAAATCGTGCTAACGGAGAAAAGATATCAAAGGAAGCTGCACTCCACGCTAACCAAGCCAATAAAGCCCAGTATGCCTTCTATCGTGACTACTATGATCAGCAGGAGGCTTTGTACCGCTCCGTCTTTGGCAAAAGCCGGAAGCCTGATGGAGTTGAGACTAAAGTCACTAGAGTCAGCGGGCGTCCAATCAAGACAAAGATAGGTACTATGCCGACAATCAAGGAAGATGAAGATATGGAGAATCGTGATGTTGGAAGCAACTTGCGTGTTGGTGCTGTCAGTAGGTGTTCCCTAGAGCGAGAACATTTTAGTGGCAAGGTTTCCGTGAGAGGAATTTTTATTTTATTAGCAGGACTAATTCCGAACCCCGCATTTAGGACAAGTGACACAGACCCTTCGAACCAAATATCGCACGTCCAGTGGTACCGAGGAACCTCTCCGTGGTTTCGAATTTCTTGCCGCTCTGGATGATATAGAGAAGGATCTAGAGGACCTAGAAAAGGAGCGGAGGGCAGAAAGAGCTAAGAATCTGGATCGGAATGCTCGCCATTGTTCTTTCTGAATTTTGAAACACTGTATCTGTGGCTTTGATCTGCTTTGCTTATCCTCTGGGGATGTTGTCGGTTTGTTGAGTATGGAGTCTTGCATATCGGGTTTGCCCTTCGAAGGAAATAATCCGCATCATCTCCGGTTGCTCTGGTACAAATTTCTTATGGCTGCATGGAGGTAGCACTTGCTCACAGATAAACATGGAAGAATGGAATCAGACTAATCGAGCTAATTGAGATACCTACTACACACACATGTTAAGGTTTTGCTTCGTGTAGTACGGTCGTCGGTCTCACTTGTACTAATGAGGAGATGCATATTCAGCAGCTGTCAAGTCCTGCAAATACTTTGCACATTGTTCAGGTACTTTTAGACGTCTGATATTTTGACAGGTGATTTAGTTATTATTACACAAGAAATATGACCTAATTTTGGTCATTAAGAAGAGCTTTTAAATGTCTGAATGTGGATGGATAATTGATATTCTTTATTGCTCATCGTGCTTAGCTTATCTGTGTCACTCAAGTCTCTGTGTTCTTTGCCCGATCTGGCTTCCTTTGCAAACATTGCCATCTCAAGCCACTGAAACCCACTACTGCGTTAAATGCTTTGTCTCTTCCTCGCATATTCTCTAGCAACACGACCTCTGCGCATTCTTTCTCACTCATGGCTTGCATACCAGCTCCGCCTTCCTTGCTCCTGAATATCAACTCCAGCTTATCCGTGCCAGCCGTGACTGTTGACAGCGGGGATAGGATCGAGCTCCGCTTTTGCTGCTTCGACATCTCGAGGAGATCATTGAAACTTTTATCAAACCTTTGGTATGAGTGGTGAATCTTGGAAACCTGAGACTCGAAACGGACACCGGAAAAAGAAATGATAAAACTCCCGGGGTTGTTGAGGTATGTGCAGTCGAAACTCAATATATCCATATCTCTTTGCAATTTAAGGATTTCCTCCGCGCTTTCACCCGCGTCATCGCCGTTATTGGTATTCGGAAAATTACGCGGGCTTTCTTCGCAAACATGTTCGGCATCTTCAAATTTTGAAATAATGGCTTGGCGTGCGCTACCCGCGCGTTCTTGTAAGTATTTGAAAGCCCATTCAGCGTGCGTAGGGACGTCCCAGAGAGCCCACTTGAAGGGGGAAACGAGGAGGCGATAGCGGGGGTAGAGGGAACTAATTGGCCAGCAAACGAAGAAGATATTTCCCACAATGAACCAGAAGACTTTCATCGTGAATCGGGAATCAGCAAATGCTGTCAATAAGAATAATGCGCCAAATAAGCAGAGCGAACAGATAGTGATATATGGGTCACTCCAATGTAAAAAATTGGAGACGCATTCGAGGAGGTTGGCAAGATCAGCCACCTGGACTTGGATGAAAGGGCCCAACTCATCCAATAGTGGTCCAAGCCAGTTGTCAGCGCCGTGCTTATCCATCAGTTCACCGACCTTGAACGCTGTGGAGCTGCGGTTTATTGATCGTTCGATTGCTTTGCGAAGCTCCTCGACGGATGTTGGATAGAAGTAATTCATGACGGTGGCGTAAATTATATATCCATACTGGGAAACATCAGCATCAATTATACAAGCATTAATATGGGAGCCTACAAAAAATGTCATGATATGCTCGAAATACCAAAGGAAAATGTAAAGTGCCATCCATCTCCCTGTTCGCGCCGGATCCTCCCATCTATAAATGCTCCGAACCTGGGATAGAAAAGTCTGCAACGGAGCGCTGACCACAATAAGCCTCTCTAAGTGTCGCCGTAGAGTATCGAAATCAAATGGAAGCTCCTCAAAATCGTCAACGTACTGCGCCGTAAAATTGTGGGAATTGGTCAGAAGTTTCTACTCCCAGTTAGCCAAGCCCGTCCGGGGCTGCTTGCAAGACTCACATATCCAATCCATCTACCCCATTTAAACTCAATAGCACCACAATCATCCCTTTCCTCGAAAAAACTGTCTTCTGGAAACGGTGGAGGTGGAATAGCATCCACCACTCTAACTCTCTGAACATGTCTCGCTGTAACCCAAGCAACTCTCATGTTCTGTTTAGTTATTTCCAGCTCATTTAGTTGATTCTGACGCTGATCAATATGTTCCCTCCTTTCCATCATCTCTTTATCATCGGCCGAGTCCTTCAAGTCTAACACCCTTTGCAAGTCTTCATGCGCTTCCAGGAAATCAAGGTCTACCTTGCGGGACATATATGGATGGCTTTTAGCTAAATTCCCTGCGGTCTTTCTTGTAGCCTGAGACTTGAGCACAGATTTTGGATGGATGAATATTGCACCAGTCTCTTGTAGTGCAGCTATAATCTTGTCCGAAAATCCTGAAGACTCGGGGCCTGTTTGAACCCTGCTGAGGAACTCAGCAGGATTGAAGGCTGGGCTGTTGTTGATCTCTTCCATGGCATCTTGGTATACTGTCTCCTCCCCATCCTCACTATGCGAGGACTCTTTCTTCGTCGTTTTTGGTTTTATTACGTTCTTGAACGCCCGCAGCTTACGCGGTGGTGATGGATCGTGTGGGGTCTTGGGCGAAATCATCGCACAGTATATATTTTTCTGCTTGTAGTCAATGCGCCGGATATATTAGGACAAGTCATAGAGTTCTATATTGTCTCTTCCGTCCTCCTGCGTACCTAGAAGTGAATCAGGCCCGTTCTACAGTTGTGTTCTTCGGTCAGGAGCCGCATCGACCGGTTGCTTCCCACATATTTCTGTGTGGCGACTGCCGGATCAAATCTCTATCCAGCTCCAGGAGCCAGAGGTTTAGTGTGTATGCTGCATTACAGTACTCTGTAATGCAAATAACGTTCAGCTCCCAGCATCCCATGAAGAGCCCAACGGCTATTTATAGTTTGTCAAATGCCAGTTTGTGAAACGTCATTGTGGCTAGTGTGGTGGTCCCTGAGATCTATGTGGCTTGACAAACAGTACTTTCTTTCAACCTCACAACTCGCACCTCTACCCTTCATCGTCCCTTGCAGCGCACAGCGACAATTGAGCTTGATGAGGCTATTGTGTCCGCTCCGAAGGCGCTTTCAACCCCCCATAGCACAATGTGTTCATCGGCGGAATCTCCTGACCCTCGCGATCGAAACGTCATGCGATGATACCAGCGTCGCTGTGTTGGAGAAGCATAAGGATAATTCTGCGACGCTCTACTTTAATTCGAAGGTTACATCCGACAATCGAACATACAAAGGAGTCCATCCAGTAATTGCCCATGAATCTCACCAACAGAACCTTGCCAAACTCGTAGATGAGGCGCTCCGAAGCCTCCCAATTCAACCGTCGGCAACAGCACATATGGGCAATGCTTTGCTGATCAGAAGCCCAACGGGAACGGAAGTTCGAAAGAAGCCGGATTTTGTCACTGCTACAAGAGGGCCTGGGATGCGAGCGAACCTCATAACCGGGATCGATACAGCGAAGGGATTAGCAGTAGCATGGCAGGTGCCATTCTTGGGGGTAAACCACATGCAGGCACATGCATTGACACCCCGATTGGTATCTGCACTGGATGCTGCTAGGGCAGAGAAAATTGGTAGTTTAAACAATAATGGCAGTGTGGACAAGGCTGGAGGTTCTGTTGCACCCGGGGAGAAAATTGGTCCGCTGGGAGCTACACCCGCTTTCCCATTTCTCTCCCTCCTTGTTTCTGGTGGTCACACGATGCTCGTTCATTCTAAAGGGCTTTGTGATCACGAGATTCTTGCCCAAACTACGGATCTCGCAATTGGAGACATGATTGACAAATGTGCACGAGATATTCTACCTTCTGAAATCCTCAAATCCGCCCGGAGTGTCATGTATGGGCCCGCTCTCGAGCATTACGCTTTCCCGGATGCAAGTATCTCAATCAGCGATTATGGCTACAAACCACCTAGCCAGCGAGCTAAGGTGCCCACTATGCCGACGAAGGCAAGAAAATCCCTCGAACAGTACGACTGGTTTGTAACTCCTTCTCTTACAGCGCCTGGGCCAGGAGTTACTCTCAAAGACCTCGCTGCCATGTTTTCCTTCTCTGGAATCGGTAGTTCCGTGAAAAGCATCATAACAAAGAATCCCGAAATGGATGACACTGAGCGACGAGCTCTTGCGCGGGAAGCTATGCGGGTTGCATTCGAGCACCTAGGTTCCAGAGTGATGATGGCTCTCCAAGACTTAAGTTCGAAAGCCATGGATGTGGAGACCCTCGTAGTCTCCGGTGGTGTGGCCAGCAATCAGTATCTCAAGCATATACTACGGGCGATGTTGGATTCAACTGGGCGGGAAAATATGAGATTGGTGTTCCCGCCTCCTGAGCTCTGTACAGATAACGCTGCAATGATTGCCTGGACTGGCATTGAGATGTGGGAAGCTGGATATAGGACTGAGTTGGATGCCATGGCAATGAAGAAATGGGCTATTGATCCAAAATCCGAATCCGGAGGAATCCTCGGTGTTAGTGGATGGAAGAAGATCAATTCTGATGACTGATGCCTCACGCATTGTCCCTGTCTGCGTCTTAATCAACAGGCTTCGGTATATATGTCAGATTGTTAGATGGTTTGAACTATCAATTTCGGCACATACCTAGGCATCCATCAACTGCTCAAGCATATGCGCTTGATTCTATGTCGGATGATGGGAGCCAACATATTTCAACAAAACTTCGGCGCTAGGCAACATGCTTATCCTCCCTATACAAAGATACCCAGTGGTTATTCATTTCAAACCTGGCAATATGCAACAGATCTGGTTGAATAGTGGCAATCAAACATTGACTGGTTTATTCTATTTATTCCTGCTTGACTTGCCCGTGTGATGATCCTAATTATCTAGATGCACTTGACAAGATGGGATTTATTTCAAAATTAAAAATGCCTTTCCTCATTTCTTGCAACTTCTGCCAAATTATCCCAATAACATACATAAAGTCGTTGAGTTCACGTGTTGTTTTCACCTTTCTGGAAAATCTTAATATTATTCTTGATGTCAAGATGACCTACCTACCTACCGGCCATATCGCGCGTCCTTTATCACCCGTCCTGTCCAATCTGTTGGCACAACACAGCACCTTCAACTATGCAAAGACATCTGTGAGTAGTGGGCAAACTCCAAACAGCTCGAGCGTCAATCAGAGCTGTAATTCTGGCGCTTCCTCTATTAGGCTCGCTTGAAAGCTTAAAATTATGGCGTGGACCAGTATTCTAACTTATTTTCTAGACTTCCTGTACGAGCTTTAAAGATTTCTCTTGTCGTCCCTTTCCCTGTGGCAATAGTGGACATATGAACCCAGAGGATGGGTAAGGCATTTTGCGGGGAAGCTGATAAAAATAATGGGAGTATTTGTTGGCAGATTCCCTGTCCTAGCACCACCTTCCGCGGTCAGCATGGACACGACTGCTTAAATGCTACCTATGCACTCCAATGGGTAAGTCTCCTTTGCCTGTTTCTGCAGAGCTCATTTCCTGCAAAGTTCCGCCCTGACAGTTTCATATTCTTTCAGACCCATTGCACCAAAAAGTCCTGTTTCAAAAAGGTTCTTAGCACAATGCATCGTCTGGTATATACAGTTTGATCCTCTCTTTCACTACGCACGCCCTTTACTCTTTCTTGGGATGCTCGAAGACCTTAGACTGGTGATGTACCTTCCGTAGGTTTTATTATCACGCCTTCCCTGCAGATATGAGAGGCAAGGTTTCTAATACTTCTTCGCAAGCGTATGTTTCTTCTCTGGGATATCACATTGTATTAGCCTGCCATAGAAAACGTCAATGCTAACATATTTAACTGGCTGTTTAGTGTATCTGCTGCTTCACTTGGCGCACCAATCTTTCCCCCAACGACTGCCGACGACCAAAGTGGAACAAGAAACGTGTATGTTCCTTTTCTCTTCATAGCATCTGCTTACAGATATGTGGACATCAATTCTTACAGAATGACTTCATAGCTTCTCTGCCATTCAGGCTCGCCCCAATGCGAATCGCACCACTGGTGTTGCTACAACTAATACCACGATTCCTAGAGCCTTCAATCACCTTAACGATCTCAGCGCTCCCCCTATCGATGGCAAAGCCCTTTTCCTTGGAATGGTGATTGGCAATCAGCTAAACCCAGGCCAGACCGGCGCTCCCCCTTCTCCACGCAGCCTTGAACGTGCCAAGTACAAGGCCCCGAGGCAATTTCCCTACCTAATCAAGAGATCTCAGGAATTCTCTAACTCAGACACGGAGGGAGAAGCTATGCCTCGGAAGACAAGAAAGACAGAAAACGCCAGCCCCTTTCAAATCATAGCCCCACCCCGCACCTATCAGTTTGAGCCACCCATGATTTCCTCTCGGGGTATTCAGGTCCATTCCAATCTTTCTACCAGACTTGATAATGCTCACCTCGAAACTGTTAATATAAGTATTGTTGAGTATCGCAAGGCCAAGAAACAGTTGGACATTGAGATCGCCGGGCTTCGCGAAGATAAGGAGAAGTTCAAACAGATCATCAGCGAGAAAAACAATGAAATCCTTGTCAAGGATAACGAAATCGCAATCCTGAAATCAAACGCCCTCTTGGACGAGTCAGCTTTAGCTCACCGAGATGAGACGATTGCTGGGTTGCAGAAGCTTGTGGGTCCTAATGGCATGCATGGTCGCGAGGATGAAGAGAAAACGTTAAAGAGATCCAGGAAGAACCTTCGCCGCGACATCGCTGACCTGAAGAATGTGAAGATGGAGTTGATGGAGGAAATTGAGGCATTAGAGGTCAAGAAGGAGAAACTCGAGTTCGAATGACTTGGTTGGTGTAATGGACCTGGGTTTGATAGTCAGAGTGTATGCTTCATTTAGGATCGCTGGTCGGGCTTTTCTATTCGTGTACTCAATTATTCTGATCATGATGTTCAGATCAGTACCTAGCCCACAATTCTTCTCAGATGCATTATGTCGAATCTTTTTCTCATTAATGAAAAAAGAAAAAAAAATCATGATTGCTCGCAACCTACAGTGTCTTCAATTAAGCAAGAGCAGCTAGTAATTCATCACGCAATAGAGAAGAGAGCAGTGTATTGTTCATGCCCAAAGAGGCCTCGACTAAGAGAAATCACAAGTGTACCACTTCCTAAACAATCCTCAGCCAAGTGTAAAATTGCTCGCTCGCCCGGCTTTCTTTCCACAATGCTGCCCGCTCCATCTCTGGATGCTAGAAAATCGGAACCCATTGTATGGCTTCGTCGCATTCCTCAGCATCAACGTGATACCATTCCCAATCATCCTTACAAGTAGCGCGAGTCCTGCACCCCAGTTTCGATGATGTATACCTCCTCGATCTCCAGCATCCTATCTTTCCAATCATTGATCTCATCCAACGTGACATCTTCCGAATCGAAACCGTACATATCGTTGCTGAGTCTCTGTTTCATTCCTGTGGCAATTGGAGAGTGATGGACATATCCACAGTTTGGGCACAGGAGGCGTCTCTTCAGACTATGCAATGCTCGTCCAACCTGCTCCATCCATTCGTCATTGAGTGACTTCTTATCCTCCCGGCCTAAACGAGCACTAGGTTCGAGGCCCATGCCTAAAGTGTATCGAAGAAGATCAATGTGTGGGTAGGTCAAATCGATCTCGATTCTGGGGCCTAAAGAACCTTGAATGCAGGTTTCACCCGGCTTCTTTAAGGCAAACGGATAGCGTTGGTTCAACTTGTTGAAACGATCTTGCAACTCGGGTATCAACTCTCTCGCATCGGCCAATTTGGTATCAGAGATTGGGAAAACACGCTTCAGAAAGTCGATAATTATCACCCTCAATTCATCAACTTTAGCCTTTGCCGATGCATTTATAGAATTGCTGTTGACACGCGTGACGTCGGTAGCTATAATATGCTTCAAGGCGGTATAACGACTTCGAAACTCTCTAACCAAATGCTCCATGTCGATGTGTAGCTCCTCTGTCTGGGCCTGAGCCAGAAACTCCGATATCATCGTTCTCAATTCATCAACTTGTAGCCCGATTGCAGCAATCTCTGCCTCGACATGACTGTTGATGCCACTACTATCACCCACGGCAGTGGTAGCCATTGCGTGCGAATGTTTGTTGATATTGTTGCTGCGGTACTTGTACGTGGTGGTGGACGAAGAATAAGGAACGAGTTTCGAGGTTGAGAAAGAAATGAAGGAAGGCGAGAGATCAGGATTTTCTCGGGGCTGGGTTTATTTTGGACAAAGGATGGCAGATTCGTACCAACGAACAACAGACTACTGTTCAAGTATCCGCTTTTCTCGAAGTGATACTGTCGTTCCCACACCCTTCCGCACCCTGCCGTCGCATTTTATTCTCTTCTTGAAGATTCCGCAGGGTAAATGAGCACAACTTTTCCTAGTGCCAGAGCAATATCGTCCTGGACTTCCCACAAAGTATGACACTGTGACAAGTTGTCATGTCTAATCACAACCATGCAGTGTTACAATCCAGTTCAGACCTGTCTGAGTATTCTAGCCAAGTATACAGTCGAGGGATAGGAGCGGAGCGCTAGACAACTTCCTTTTTGACTGACCTTTGAATTCGAATGCTACATTTCTCAACGCTTTGTAAAGGAGCCATTGTAGGCCAAGCTTACGCAGTAGACGAGTGCCTGGTTTGTGAAGCTTTGTTCTCATGTTGAATTGGAATAGCAAGAACTTGCTTGCCTAACTTATTGTACAAGGAAATCACTCTTCCAAGTATCATAGCATCAAATGTGTTATAATTCCTGCTTCCGCAATTGATAGACGCATCATCCCCTGATCAATCGATAGCCTCTCCTGTGGTATGAATGAAGTGTTTACCGACGAGGCCATTTCTCGTTAATACAAGTTCAAACATCGCCAATCACAAATGTAGTATCAAAGGACTCATGTAAGTCTCGTATTCTAATTCCTGCACCTGACAATGCATGATTAGATGACCAAGAAAGCAGAAGATTCAATCGCTAGCCAAAAAAAACTACATACTGCCATGCCACAAACGGTTGGAACGTGGACGGAGACTATCGCCACTCAAGAGGCTCATAACAGAACACTACCTTTTCACGGCATCGCATAGATGAAGCTATTCACCCACTGATTACCTTCACAACCTTTGGTTTCAGCAATTCTTGGTTCCAGGCTGGAGTGAGGTCTGTTCAAGGAGCTTCCGAGGATTATCTAAGCGAAGCCCGTGGCGCTCCCTTAATAAGCAAAAGCGCGCTTTCCCCGGATAGGTATCGGGCCTCGTGCTGCCCAGTTCTTCCAGGACTTCTAATCACCCCTACGCATATACCCCTCCCATCTCCCAGTCCGCGACCTCTCCCTTTCAACACCCACCTACCGATACGATCAGATACCCCGTAGCCAAGCTATGAGTCGAGGAGGTAAACTTGCACCCGAGGTCAATCGGTATGTCCTGAATCTTGATGGGAAAGAGCGCGCGTTAACGTTTGTGTCACAGAGCTTTGTTCGTCAAGAATCTAAGGTTCGTCGAGTTACATCGAGATATTGCGTGGAGGAGGGAGATTGGATGGTTAATCTGGTTACTAACCGGCAATAGCTACAACGTCACACCAGAGGAACTTTTCGACCTCTTTGGCAAGTTCGGTCCTATCCGGTGCGCGCCCAGATAATCAGATTCTATATGGAAGGGGAATACTGACTCTCATCAGGCAAGTCCGCCAGGGTATCGCCAACAACACGAAGGGGACGGCATTCGTTGTCTATGAGGACGTAATGGACGCCAAGCAGGCGTGCGACAAGCTGAACGGCTTCAACTTCCAAAATCGGTATCTTGTTGGTATGTTACTTCTCTTCTCTGACTTCCCTTCGTTCGCCTCTTCGATGTGCCTTCTAACATTCACAAGTGCTGTATCATCAACCAGAGAAGATGGCCCGATCGAAAGAGGACCTAGAAGCCCGCAAGGAGAATTTAGAGCAGCTCAAAAAGCAACACGGCATCGAATAACAAATAGACGGACCTGCGATTTGCATCTGCCCACCTGACGCTCCTCTCGAAACAGCGGTCGTGGGTCCGTATACACACATGTCCGGCAGGCGTAAGGACAGTTCTCGTCCGCTTTCCGGCGATAACAAGGGACATTATACACAGGAGAATGGGCGTCATACTTCACCTCCCTTTGCGAAGGAGGATTCGAATACTTTTATTGGTTTCCTGCGTGGCTTGATTCCTACTTCGAGGCGTTGATGGATTTTCTTCTGGCTCGACGACTGGGGGTTGGGCGGAACAGGACTCTTTACATAGTTGTCCATCGGCTATTGCCCGGGATGGATTTTCAGTGACGGTTTTCCCTTTTCATGGTATTGATGTTTGATATTGGCATTGCTCGTGGCTTCCAAATTGACATGCACTGCTGAAGCGTATAGCGCAGCTTAGCCAAGAATCTCCCTAGAATACCCTTTAACTCCATGAGATTCCATAAGGCTGAATCTATCTGACCGACCGGCCCCTTTTGTGAGATAATCCGTCAGGATCATCTTATTGCCGAGGAGCAACTTATAGCCGAGTATGACTTACGTGGGCAGCCATCCAGAGATGCACACATCAGCCCCTACCTATGCTAGCCGAAAACGGCCAGCCCCGCATACCCCTCCTCCCTTCCTGGCTCTTATCTTCTTCCTCTCCCCCCCCCCCTTCCTCTCCTCCGTACCCAAGCCTACAACCTCTCAGCTAAATATCGAAACCGTAACTCTTCGAGCCAAGCAAAGACCTCCCAAGCTATCCACGCAAAAGAAACAACTTCACCAACATGCACGGAACATCCTGTCCCAAGTGCGGCGCCGGCGGCCAGAGCGCTAAGACCTGCTCTTCCTGCGGTGCTGTGAGTTTCCCTCTCCAGTCTTTCGTTTCACGCCTATAACTTCACCTCCTCTGGACTACAAGATCGTTGCTGATATAGTTTGCCAACAGACCTGCCCCAACTAAATCGTCCCCGTCAACTCGACCTCGACATCAAGATGCAAACATGATACCAGAGGCGGGGCTGTGAGAGGATCCACCCACGCTGGACTGGATTGATCTCGAGGACGGGTTGGAGGTTCGCACATGGTATGGGATTCTTGCGGGATGGACAGGAGGGCAGTCTCGTTATATTTTGGGGGGGTGGAGTAGTGGAGGGCGGGGTATCGCATAGTTTTCCGGAGCGTGGTGGTTTCCTTACGACTTTATGAAGAAATCGAATGATGAGGCTATGAGTAGAATGATGAAGGCTTCTATCGCTTTGACAAAACTTAACAACTGAACATTCGTGACTGCTGTGATGTTTGGCGACGAGTTGCATAATCTGTCCCAAGTTTTACGAAAGGGAAAAGCCGGGAACCCAGGTGAGGGATCCCAATCTCCATTGCAACAAGTCATAGTCCGCGTTTCATATTCATAGAAGCTTGCGGGTTCATATTTTGCTTCTCACAACGCCTTTTCAGCGTTAGAATCACCTTGGCCTTGATTGGCAGGAAATCAGCCATATCACGTGACCCCTTGTCACCACGTCTTCTCTTTTCTGTAACTGGCAGAAGCCCTCATTGACCCCCTGATTCTTCTAGCATATATCTTCAAATTCCACATTAAATATGTTCCAAGTCTTGACAACTCTTCTGAGGGTTCCACATAATACAGTGTGCACGTGATGAGACTAAATCTAAGGGCGGCTCGCCTCCACAAGTTTATTTAGTCTGCCGATGCCTGCGCCAAGGAGTATGTGGCGGTGCTCTCTACGCCCCCCGACCGACACATCTGTTTCCTGGTCTCTGCCCTCGTCCTTTCTATGTTGTTGTCTTCTGTTCTTGCACTCCTTTTTAACTTCCTTACTTCTCCTGTCTAGACATGGTCTAGTTATCTTCAAGCCTCCACGGCGAAGGATAATTACCAGGCAACGAACGCAAGCTGCGTGTTGCCTCCGTTTCACTTGTGTATTCGCCGCCCCTGCGAATGTCCTGCTGATCAGCAAACCGACATCTTCGCCTTCTTCTACCCTCAAGCGTCGACACATACCTCCGCAAATAACTCATTTGGAAAAGGCTCATGTCTTCCCCACGGGGCATCTCGCCCACCCTCCCTCAAGATGCCTCTCCTACGGCGCTCCTCTCATCAGCGGTAGCAAGCATTGGCGTCACTTTTCCCAGTCCCTCATCTACCCTCGACTCCACTCTATCCATTGCAACAGCCATATCCTCGAGCCTTTCCGAACCATCAACACCCGATAACGGCGAATGTCGTCTCCTTGGCCCCTTTGCAATCCTCATCCAAGGGTCTCTGGGCCTTCTCGCCCTGCTGGCACTTGTTTACAAGCGGTGGAGAGAACGTCCGCAACGACCGGTGAAGATCTGGTTCTTTGACGTGTCGAAGCAGGTGTTTGGGAGTGTTTTGGTACATATCGCGAATTTGCTCATGAGCATGTTGAGTAGCGGACAGTTCAGCATCAGATTGGATCCGTCTGCTATAGAAGGGAGGGGTTTGGCAGGTCTTGCAAAGAGGATAGTGGATGAAGAGGGCAAGTATATGCCTAATCCGTGTAGTTTTTATCTATTGAACCTAGCGATTGATGTGAGTACTCCCTTACCTCCTTTCGCCGTTCTGCTTGCAAGTTGGTTTTGTTTTTATTTAGCTTCATTAGCTTTTGGGAGAGGGACTAATGGTGTGGGCAATAGACAACAGTCGGAATTCCAATCCTAATCCTTCTACTACGAATCCTCACTGCACTCTTCGCGCTCACCTCCTTCGGTGCCCCCCGCGAATCCATCGCTTCTGGCAACTATGGCAGGCCCCCGAAGGCCTGGTGGTGGTTCAAACAATCCATGATCTACTTCCTGGGTCTTATGGGCATGAAGCTCTGCGTGCTGATACTCTTCATTGTCGCTCCGTGGATCTCGCGTGTTGGAGACTGGGCGTTACGATGGACGGAAGGTGATGAGGCTCTGCAAGTTGTGTTTGTGATGTTGGTGTTCCCGGTCATTATGAATGCGACGCAGTATTATATCATCGATTCTTTCATCAAGAATCCAGCTCCAGAACATGAGCTCCTTCCTGATGGAGATGAGGAAGCAGATGATACTTACGAGGATCCGTCTAGTGTGTATGGTGAAGAGATACAGAGTGGGGGTGGAGATGAGGACGTGGAGATACGTATAAAAGCAGGGGTGGAAGCAGTGGCGGTGAAGAGTAAGAGAACAAAGAATAAAGGGGAAGGGGGTGGCAGTGGGAGTAAGAGTCTGTCAGGCATGGAGAACAAGGATTACGACCCACAATTTGATGGGGAGAGTAGTCCAACAATGGTAGGAAGTGCGAGTACAAAGGGCACAGATAGGACTTTGGTATCAAGGGGCGAAACGGTGGATGGCGGGAACAGATTCGGGCGATAAGGCGTTGGATACAGTACATCTGGAACTCCGGAGAATTTGAGGAGTTGGCGGTTGGTCACCGAGCATGGATTGTCTATACTATGCACATAACTCTGGATATGGGTTTTGACACAAAAGGTGTTGTCGGTTGGGTATATCCTTCTTTCACGAGATTGATAGGCGCTGGGACGTTATCTACTCTCGAATTCCTGCATCAAGCATAGCGAGACGAGATTATTTCATTATAAATATAGTCCGTCTCTTGATCTTCTCCTAAGGCTCAGATTCCAATATATATAGAGTCTTACTCCATACACTCAGGCTTAAAGACACGCCATAGAAACATGCTCCTGGTTCTCAAACACTCGGAAGGAACGCTATACATCACTCACACCCTGTCCAGAGTTCAGCATTCATTGATTCACATATTTTTTTGAAAAGTATAGAGTCTGGGATGAAAACTGGTAGTAGCAAATAAAGGGGAACTCGAAGCTCTTGACAACGTGTAACCTCCTTGGGTGATGACTAAAACTCAGCCTTGTCCTTGCAGCCTCGCCAAATTTTCTTCCACAGAACGTCCCACGTCACTTTGGAGATGCCCGAATTCCTGACATAAAGACAATCCATTTTAACGCCAATGCCTAAATAGTGTATTTCACACTGTCCATTTTGAAGAAGAAGAATGTTGAATACCTTTCGAGTACCTCTCACCGGCCCATTTAAACGTAGAAGCCGCAGGATACCGCGGTAGAACCAGAAATCTCTCACGCTGGCTTTTCGATTTCGACCAAGGATTGCAGGAATCCTCCCCAAGTTCTACAGAAATACCATTAGGATGGCAGCCACGGACGCCAAGGTCTTCAAGACTCGAATTCTACCGGTCAACACCAGGGAACTGGGGCGTTTCAGGGACATCGAGACCCTCGAGACATGGGAACTGCAAGCCGACGAATCCAAACTCGCGGCACTTCACGAAGCCGCCCAACACCTCAAGTCGAGTAGCATACCCGTCGGCTTCCCGACTGAAACGGTATACGGTCTAGGAGCCGATGCGACAAGAAGTGAGGCCGTCAAGGGGATCTACAAAGCCAAGGGCAGGCCATCAGACAATCCGCTCATCGTCCATGTCTGCGATCTCACCATGCTGCGCTCACTCCTGGGGCCATCTATGACGGAAGATCCTATACCAGAGATTTACAAGCCACTTATCAAGCGTTTCTGGCCCGGTCCTTTGACCATCCTCCTCCCGAATCCGAAGCAGAGTAAATTAGCTTCTGAAGTCACGGCTGGTCTGCCTACATTTGGGGCGCGAATGCCAAAGTCACCTCTTGCGCTCTCACTCATCTACCTTGCTGGTGCCCCACTTGCGGCTCCATCTGCGAATGCGTCCACGAAGCCATCTCCGACTACCGCGGAGCATGTACTCTACGACCTTGATGGGAGGATTGAGGTCATACTTGATGGTGGACCTTGTCAAGTTGGGGTTGAGAGTACGGTTGTAGATGGGCTTTGTGACCCGCCAGTAGTGCTGAGACCGGGAGGAGTCAGTATTGATTCGATCCGGGAGTGTGAGGGCTGGGGAGCAGTAGTGAGAGGATATAAAGATCAAAGCGAAGTTGGTGGGACGAGTGCACCCAGAGCCCCTGGGATGAAATACAAGCACTACAGTCCTAAGGCCAAAGTCGTGCTCTACGAGGCTTCCTCCATGAAGGATATGGAACCTGGAGGGGCGCACTCTGGCATCTCATCTGAGGTTTCCAGGATCATCGCTGCTAAGGGTAAAACGTTGGATCACCTAGGATATGACATTTTGGATAGGCTACCGAATATCGGGATCGTGAGCACTAAAACCTGGAGTAGCTGGGCTGGACTCGATCTCGTTCGGTCGAGCGCTACAGAACCTTCAATTCTCGGAAAGTCATGTGCAAAAATACTCAACACGAAATCGGTAGAGTCCGATAACTCTTTCCAGATGAAACAGGGAGAGTTATGGGAAGGGGATAATCATTTGCAATCAAGCAGCGATGGCCAGAGTGCCACAGCTGCTCTCGATGGTAACGAGCGTCATGTTGCAAATGTTATAGAGATTTCACTGGGCAGAGATACAAAGTCCATTGCCCATGGACTTTTCTCTGCACTCCGCGAGCTAGACCAGAGGGCCGTGGACATTATATTTGTGGAAGGCATCGAAGACGAGGGGGACATTGCTGCAGCAGTCATGAACAGACTGCGTAAAGCTGCCACAGTCATAGAGAAATAATAGTATCACGTTTCCCAAGTCCGTCTCGAGCTCGTCGCAATGATGCATCCATTGACTTAAACAGACCCCTTTTGCAGGGAATCCTATGCCCAGATTTAAAAAAACTCCCTCTACGCCCATGCCAATTGTCTTCCTCTCTTGTCATATATCTATTCCTCCGCATTCCACCCTCGTCCCAACACCATGCTCACGCAAACGTGAGATCACAGACCCTGCCTCAACCAGTCTCCCAATTTCGCCTTTCCGAACTGCGCTAGATTATTCATGCCCTGCTCGCTCAAATCGATGTTCTTCAACTGCGCCACGTCCTGCGTCGGCGCTCTGCTGACTCTCTGCATGATGATCGTCGGGTCTGTCTCCAAGATAATGCCATCGTCGACGATCTCGTCAATTGCGAGGGAGAGGAGATCGTAGTTCTCGATGATCGTGCGCTTGTCTACTGATTGCCTTTGTCGTTCCGTTAGCTCCTATCCATCCCCTACGTATTCCTCTCGGGAAACAAAAGAAACAGAAGCGCAGAGGGGCCCAAAATCTGGATTTTGGAGTTGGGAGAGGTATATAGGGAGGGACATACTTGAATAGCAAGTGCAATGAATCGCGTACGGCCAGAATCACATTGTAAAGCATGATCTCGTTCTCGTCTACGCTGCCAACCACATACATCATAACATCCGATTCGGATTTATATAAGACGATTCTGTTGTCGTAGAGGATGATGTCTGAGGTTTGCTTGGCCGTCTTCTCAAGGAGCCCTTTCTCGAATGCCTTTTGCGATTTGAGGTCGGGGTAGGGGATCTGGGGGTTCGTTGCGTCTGTTAGTCATTGTGGTGTTAGCGTATGCGCTCTAGATCTTGGGAGTGAAATTTGGCCGAAGAATGGCAGGTAGTAGAGGGGATTGTGTCCTGAGATAGGGGGGAGGGAGCGTACTGGCAGAGGGACCTGTTGCATGGTGGGGCGCATTGTAGTATTTCGCAAAGACTCGGGAGCCATCTTCGGAGCTGAGGATTATGATTGCATTGACGGAGAAAAGGGACATGTTGGGCGCCATGATTGCGGTGTTGAGGCGGGTGCGCGTTGTCTATAACTTGGGAGTTTTGGCTTGATATTGCTATCGAAATCGCGAATGTGGTCAATCGCGGTTGGTGCCTCGGATGTGAGGTTTCACAAGTCAAACTGAACGACACATGCCTAATCGGTAATCGAGGATGAAGATAAATTACACATACAACCGTTTCTATATTTTCGTGAAGTTTTACTTACTCCTTACATTATAGGTAGTAACTAGGTTTAACTACTTTGTGACAATAGTCCACTGGAGTTGGAGGAGCTAATCCGATTCTTCTACACGCTGTTCGAGTGTGCAGCTGTAGTGTCGAGTTGTGTTCAGTAGCCCTGGATAATTTCCTCAAGTTCATGATATTTCACTGTTTTGCTCTGATGCTACTTATGGCTGTGTCCCTTGGAGGACAATGGTGGCTAGGTTTGTTTGAGGGAAAGTTCCAAGACGGTATGCCAGCGGTGAGCAGAAGTGCAATCACTCGCCGATGGATAGGAAGCCTGAGAACAACCCACAAGACCTGCAGTCTTACAGAGCACCCCATTTTCTTGTTATGGCTTGTTAGGTCTTGTTGTCCGTATCATATCAGCAGATTCTCTCAGATATATGGGTTCATTACAAGAGGGGCTACCTAGAGAATAAGTAGACTGATAACTTTGACGTAGGTGCGTACAAATTATTGGCAGACATATTGCCCGACATAAGCCAGTACAGATATTTTTTGGACGTCAAGTGAACACAGAAACAGTGACTCGGCCAGAAGCAGCTTCGTGGAGCAGTCTTTCATAAAGCTTGGCTTACTCAATTCGAGCAGGCATCTACACCTGGTGTAAGGTCCTAATGAAGAAACACGGTTTCTCTTGATTTCATAATGCAGTTTTAACTGCTATTTTCCCCGGCTTTGTCTGTCCCAGTCACTCTCCACCAAATAGCATAAAGTTCCGCAACGTAGTGGTCAAGTTTCTGAATCCTGATCTTATTGTGGCTAAGGGAAAGAAATATCGACGACAAGGACTCGGATATTCTCCGCGAATATTGCGACATTGCATTAATTTTGAGCTACTCAATATCTCCGGCGTCGTCATGGATAAGTACCTTTGCGCGGCGATTCTTGGTAGCGACCCGAACCATTATCTGTGCTGTTGCGGCTGGGCCATATCTACGCGTCACGATATAGCGTGGTATGTACCTTAGTTAACGGAACCATGGACTCTGATTTCGAGTCGAGTGGCAACCCCGGACCTTCTTGCATGAAATACATTCAAGGGCAGCGAGGTATCTCACCATGGCCACCATGATCATGGAGCAGATCAAGAATTGCAAAGAAACAATAGGTAAGTTATTCTCGTTTCCCGCCCCAAGCCTCTCAATGTTTGACAATATATGCAGAGACTGAAATCCGTGAGAACAAGAATGGCGTCCGCTACATCCTCGCAGCGGTCTTCGCTCTGACCGGATACCTTCTCCCCACAGCTTGGGATCTACCTGAGAAGCCCATTCCTGCAGTGTTTGGATTTCTTCAATTTATCGGTGCCCCATTAGCGTACACCGGCTACTATGTCGTCAACCACCACGACGACGTCGACAGTCCTTCCCTGACCTTGGATCTCCTAATATGGAGCGTGTTAGTCGCGTGGTGCGTGTTGGCCATCGGCTGCGTCGTCGTATACGACCTGAATATCTTTGTCGGTGCTGGCACGGCCTTCTGCTTCTACTCCTTCAATCGGTTGGCGAAGGATTGCTGGGAGCTAGCGAGCGAGGACGCTTGGATGGGGGAATGTTACTGTCCGTCTGATTATGCAGATTCGGATCAGGAGAAGCTGCGTGCACAAGAGCGAGGCAAGGATTTTACGATCTTTGATTGGGTAATGGATGGTAAGGGCAGCTCTACTTCGCTGGCCTACACGCTGGACGAGCATAGGGAGATGTGGAATAGCTCCGATGACGCGGCGCAGTGGGATGAGGAACATGTCGAAGTGGATGACTTCACATCATGGGATATGGCCTCTGACTCCGAATAGTAACTCTCCATGTCATGATCATTCTTGGACATGGGTTAGGGAATAATTCGATCTCATTCCACACCCCGAAATATCAGCATGTGAGCAGGTATGAGAGACGGAGAACAAAAGAAGCATTATTATTTCATAGCAATGGTGAATAAAACCCCATTCTCAAATACCGGCAAACCAATTATGGCACTCAATGCTTTTCAAGAAACGCCACCCAATCTTCCGCTTTCCACTGACGCTCAATTACTGATTGGAGTAGAAAATTCCTACGATCTCCCTTCTCGAAACCCGAGCCCCTTATTTCGCCTTCTCGCCATTATTCCTCGTTCTCTTCAGCATCAAGCAATTCGATAAACCTTTCTGCGACCATGTTCCCCATCCTCTCATACCCTTTAACCGTAAAATGCAACCCGTCATCCCATATCGTCCTCCTCTCCTCTGGGTCCATGGAATGATACGGGATCTTCTCGTGCAGATCAAACGTGTACACGTTCTCTCTTCCATCCCCCTTGATCAGCTCATTCAGCTCATCTCTACGGGCGTCCAAACTAGCCTGCTTGAACGCGCACTCGGGCACTGTGAAGAAGAGCAGCTTCGCCCCGCAATTTAGGGGGATGTCAGTGATGCTGAGTAGCGCGTCGTGGATTGTGGATGGGGACTTTCCCCAGGCTAGATCGTTAGTGCCGCCGAGAAAGAAAACCCAGTCATAGAGGGGCGATCGGGTTGATGGCGCATCGACTAGGAGGTAAGAGATTGGTCAGAAACGATCCTAAGAGCGAGAGTGACTGGAAGGAAGGAAGGCAATCAATATTTATGTACACGGGAAGCAGGTTGTTCTGGAGCAGGAAACAACCATAACCTATCAAGAGGGAAGAAATGAAGAAAGGAAGAGAGGAAATAAAAGAAAAGAGCGAGATTTTCAAAAGATGTGTTGAGCACAGCACGTATAAACATGTCGAAACTCTTACATCTCCTCTCCATCCGTCTTCTAAAACTCCCCGTCGTCACCAGATCGCCCGAGATTCCATCCGTAACCACCGTAACATGCCGTCCGCTCTCTTTAAGCCTCTTCTCTAAGGTTTCGCTGTACGGTGCGAAACTAACGCCGGACATCGTGTAGCCATCTGTTAGGCTGTCGCCTAGGCAGAGGATGCGGAGGCTTTCGGGGGAGTGGGCAGAACCCATTATCGAGATTTGAAAGCGTGATAGAGCGAGGCTGTGAAAATGGTGGTTACAAGATATAAGAGCAGAGGTAAAAGAGAGCCGATGGTTGGTTGGAGGGCAAGACAGTTGAGAAGGAGGACGTGGTGAGGTTAAGACGAGGCTGACGCAGGAAGCGACCCCTCACCAAGCCCTTCCAGGCTTCGGCTGCCACTTTCAGTAGAAAATGGCCCCCAACGTCCGCAATCCTTGCAAGAGGCATCTCTCTTTCAAGACTTTGTAGGGCTCACTTGTCCCCGTTGAGAATGCTGGAGCTCGCGCATCATGGAATCAAAACTGCATCGAGATTCTAAAATTAGGGGTCGAAACACATACAACGTCTACGCATCCTCCCCTTGTACCCCCCAGTAACCATATCCCCACTGACGCCGTCCGTCACCATGTCGAATTCTCTTCCCGGGTAATGTTCCTGTAAGGCTTTTAGTAGCCAGGTGGAATATGGAGTGTACCTCATTCCAGAATCCGTGTGTCCCTCGACAAGGGAGGCGCCGAAGCAGAGTATTCTGATTGGGGAGGAGCGTGCCATCATGAGCTGATGATTGAGAAATGTGAATCGATATGGTTAGGGGCTGTTGGTGAGGGAGCAACAGGTTTATATTGCAAGGAAGATAGATGGAGGCGAGAAAGAACGAAAAGACCGCAGAGGATGGAATAGCAATAGCTAGCGAGTGGCACGTGATGTCAAGAGTCGGGAAAGATGCATAGGTACATGCATGGCCAAAGGAGAGGGAGGGGTTTGATGCCAACTCTTCTTTTTTTTGTTTTGGCACATGATGATATATATGTACATCAGTGGATAGAGGTGGTCCCAACTTCGCCGCGTCATGCCTTTTGTCCTCTTCTCTCTTCTCATCGTCCACTTCATTCCCCCCCTTAGTTCGGTTATTTATAGAAAACCCCGATCTTGCAACTCGAACACTACATTCAGAACCACCGCCGTGAACAGGGCCGCACAGAGAATAGATGGGCCATATTTATCATGATACTTGATCGCCCTCCGTAGTCTTATCGACCGGCTTCTGTAGAGATAAATGCCTACAGAGTAGATGAGAGACATTATGGCGACAACGGAGAAGACACCCGAGGCGATGAAAGACACCGATGTTGGCTTGGCACCAAAATTGAGAAGGGTCGCCGCGATTGTGCCAATGTAGATTGAGAATTCGAGCTGGGAAAGTAAGCACGGGATCAGAAAACAAGGAGGGGATCACGTACCCAAGCCAAGAACGTTCTTTCGGCAGCAAAATACACTTTTGGCTCCACTCGTACCGGGACGTGAATTTTTTTGCCCTTTGGAGCCTTAAATCTCTTATCCTGGACTTGATCCCTCCGGAGAGGCTCCATTGACCCATTGGTAGGGAGTGTTGACGATCTGGGAACCGGACTCAACGCATGTAACACGTTCGCAGCACGTTGACCTGCTAACTTCGTGTACTTCTTTACGAGCTTGGAGTAATATGGCCATCCACCAATCCGTCGTGCTTCCTCAATACCATCGTCCTGGCTATCTTCATCTTCCGAGTCGTATAAGGGATAATCTTCACTGATTGGTTGAGCACCCACTTCTTCTTCGATATCGAGTTCGTTACCCCTTGCACGATCCTCACGGGCATCACGGAGTCGTTGGGCACGCTCGCCGGGCCCACCAGTGACAGCAGATTGTGATGTTCCGCCATAATCCTCGTCGTCTGAATCATCATTATCGTCATCGTCATCGTCATCTTCGCTCGTGGAACTATTTGTTGATTGCCCAGGACGTTGGATACCGAAGCGAGAGGTAACAGGCTTTCGGATATCGACGTTCATTTGAGGCATCCAGTAGGGGAGGAGATGAATGCGATCCGGGAAGAGGGTTGCGACACCATGGATGAACTTGGAGAATTTAGGGACTGCCTCAACGAGATGGCTAGAAATTAGTTCACGCACCCACTCGGGTGGTTCTTGTCCCACTTGCGTTTGGAGCTTGACTTCGAGAACAGCATAAGGGAAGCGTTCGATGTCTTCTGGAGGTAGTTGAGAGAATGGCCAGTCGATACCGATATCCATACGTCGCCAGTTATCCCCGGATCTCGTCCTTCCATCAAGGTTATCTTCTCTGATCATGGTAAGTTCTGTATCGAGAGAGATCCGGACTCGTGCATCAGCAGGCAATTGGAACGCAGTCCGGTTGTAAAAGGATCGGCACACTGGCTTGTAACCCCGCTTTAAGACAGAGTACTGAATTTCCTTCGCCAGTCTCTCGTCTTCGTCGATTGCCTTCGCAGGCTTCTTGCCGTCCTTCCGAGCTTTCTCAAAAATAGCCTCCGGGAGCAGCTCTCCCTTCATGTATGCATTGACGTTCTTCTCCTTGATGCCAAATCTGGCTTTTACCGATTTCTCACCGGTCCAGTCTTCACGATGAGTTTTCCTTTCCACGAAAATTTGCTCTACGTCCATCCCACCATACCATCTGAGCCGGATCGCTTCTGCACCCTCGCTCTTCTTCAGTCTACCCTCATATAGCTCCCAGGTATCCGGATTATCGTAGTAGATGGATGTAATAGCAGAGTCTTTCGGTTCGAATTCCTTGCTTGGATTGAACACAAGAACAGGTAGATGCTACACCTGGTCAGCAGCGTCAACGGCAGAGACATGAAACATACCTTTAATATAAGAAGCTTTACTTCAGTGACGTTATCGGGGTGCACCCAATATTTGGTGGTATTTCGAATAAAGCTACCTTGGCTCCCACCCGCGGAGCTGTCCCCCTTAACAGGATGCCCCCGCGTCCTGACAATATCATACAATTTTGACAGCTTGACGATGTCTGCATCGTAGTTGTCCTTGAAGAATGGCTTTGCTTTCAGCCTCGTGGCGAAGACTGGCTTCAGCATCCATCCTGTTTGTTTCTATTGCCGTCAGTATGAGACCGCCGTGCTAGGGCTAGAACACCTACATCGTGCTTCTTAATGATCTTCTGGAACCCGGTATAATTCAGCTGCACGAACTTGGCAAGGTCGTGAACATCCGCAATGATATCGCTCAGGTCCTCTTCCAACATCATAAACTCTTCCTCGGTCGGCGCATCGTCGTTGTTCGATTGGCTATCCCTTCCAACAGGACCTCTCGAATCCAGCCTGGAAACGACATCATTGACCTCCTTCTCCGCACTGGCGATTCTCCTGCTGATCTCAATGGCCTTGACCTTCTGCTTCGTATGCACCTTGTCCAGCTCCTGCTCCAGATGGTCGATGAACGTCCTCTCGTCTTCTTCCGTCCATTCTCTTCGTTTGGGCCTGGGGTTGTCTTTGGTCGGCGGGGTAACGTAAGGGAGCTTCAGTTGCTCCTTGAGCTCATCATATGCAATATAGTACCATTGGTACTCCTTGATGACGCTCGATCGGAGCTGCTCGCCGAACTTCATTGTGGGAGGTCTGCTCTGAAGGTATAATTATAACGCCGACGTGCTGCTGTAGTTCGTTTACCTGCTCTGGTTTTTTAAGCTCAGACCTTCAACAATTAGTATCCGGGATTCATATCGAACAGCGCAGTGAACCGGAGACAAGAACTGAAGGCCCAAATTTGCTGGTTCTGCTTGAAATGTGAGCTTTGAGAGGTGCGCAGAAGAGAACAAAGCTGTTTGTTTCGCAGGTAGGTTGTTGTTGTGGTTGGCTTGGCAGTGCCAGGACGCTTGAGAGCATCTATTATTGATTTTGGCATTTGATTGGCCAATCAGAGGTGGCGATCCAGACATGTGCGGATCACTCCTCGTTTCCTCCTTATCTTATCGCCATGCAGCTCCTCCATGCTGAGAGGAACGCTTTGGGAGGGCATACTCTAGGTATATTTGAGCACCAGTAGCTTATGCCACACACTTAGCCACAGCTTCAGCCACAGCGCCAGTCTCTTTCCAACCAGAACTCCGGCCGCAGTACGCACGCGCTAGAACATGATACACCATGAGTTTAACACACTCCATTCCTAAGCGTAGCACTGAAGTCTGATGTCTACTACTCTGGTAATTCATGCCTGCTCGGTAGTGCCGAGTTAGAACGAACGAAAGATTGACCAATTAGGCCTAGTTGCCTGCGAAGCTCCCCGTCATCCCACTTCCGCTGATGCAGAGGTCGAGGTGATCTGCCCAGGTCAGTTTTGATGCACTTCGAGCATTGAGCCTGAGGCACTTCAGAATAGTCTATCGTTCTGGGCTGTGTTTTGTCAGAGACCGTCTGCTCTAATGGTCGTCGATGAGGACCTTCGTATTGGTGGCCAACAAGGGCATAAGAGCCCGATTTTGAGCCTCTTCAATTCCAAAAATGGGGTGCCCCTTCATAATACCACTTGTCTACGTCACATTCAAGCTTCAAATGGAGGCAAAGTCAAGCGGGATCAATGGCACAGCAGCTTTTACAAGACTCGGATTCCGTAGCCTGGATCTATTTTCGAATTTGGCCGGGAGAACACCCCGTTTAATAAGAGAATTAGGGTTACATACCGCTCGAAATGTCGAGAGTCCGTTCCCTTCTAAAAGACAACGTCTGTCATATACCTGAGGCTGAGGTCAAAGTCAACTATACTATCTCAACCTTCCCCTTCACTGCGGACTTGTCTGGAGTATATCATGAGACACTTCAAGTGGAAAACAAATGTCTCGATGAACGTATCCCGAGGAGGCACCAGTCAAGTCCCGGAAGTCCGGCGCACTAAGGATTCAGCAGAATTCATTTCACCTCCTCGTCTCCTGCTTGAATATCCGGGGATGGCTTCATACTTTCCTAAGCTGTCAGCTTGTCACATTTCTTTTTCCATTTTCCTTATCTCCTATCTACCCGCACTGTGGGGATGGATGACTGGCGTCTCCATACTCAAAGGTGGGGCCTCGTTATCCGGTACATTGACGGCCGTTTGTATTATCATAAACATTTGCAACTTGGTCTACTGTAGGTAGATAACTTTGCTATCTACCCGACTCGGTCGCTCGCCAAGACTTATGAGATAATCCGAAGACGAGCCCAAGTAGGACTCAGTAAACATGTATATAAAAACGAGCCGTCTCCCTTCTCATAGAGACCAACATCTTGATGGTTCAGTCTTAGGAAGCACCTGCCGTCTGTACATAGAAGCCCGCAAAAATCGAATAGCAAGATGTTTGTTCGATCAGCTCTCTGCTGCGCTCTTGCAGCCGTGAGCTATGCATCCCCAATCGTCTACCGTCAAGAAAGCAGCCCATTCGTCTTCACCAACTCCAATGGCCTCAACTTCACCCAGATGAACGCCACCCTCCCCAACGTCACGATCTTCGCAACCGGTACCCCCCCTTTTCCCCTCCCCTCCATCTCAACCCCCACAAACTAACCACTCATCCTAGGAGGCACCATCGCCGGCTCAGACAGCAGCTCCACAGCCACAACCGGCTACACATCAGGCGCCGTCGGCATCCTGACGCTGATCTCCGCCGTGCCCGAGATCCTCAACGTCTCCAACGTGGCCGGCGTCCAGATCTCCAACATCGGCAGCGAGGACGTGACCTCAAGCCTCCTCCTCAAGCTCTCCAAGCAGATCAACCAGTACGTGTGCGACGACCCGACCATGGCCGGCGCCGTCGTCACCCACGGCACCGACGTCCTCGAGGAGAGCGCCTTCTTCCTCGACCTCACGGTCAACTGCGGCAAGCCCGTGATAATCGTCGGCGCCATGCGGCCCTCGACCGCCATCTCCGCCGACGGGCCGTACAACCTCCTGGAAGCCGTGACCGTCGCGGCATCCCCAGCAGCCCGGCACCGCGGCGCCATGATCGTCATGAACGACCGCATCATCTCGGCCTACTACGCGACCAAGACCAACGCCAACACGCTGGACACCTTCCGCGCCCCGGAGATGGGCAACCTGGGCGAGCTGATCTCCGCCCAGCCCTATTTCTTCTACCCGCCCGCGACCCCGACCGGCAAGCGCGCCTTCCACGTCCAGCACGTGCAGGCTATCCCGCGCGTCGATATCCTCATGGCGTATGAGGACATGGCGAACGATACGCTGTACAACGCTGTCGCGAGCGGCGCTAAGGGTATCGTGATTGCGGGCGCGGGCGCGGGCGGCGTCTCGACGTCGTTTAACGGTGCGATTGAGGATGTCTTGAATAATCATCATGTGCCGGTGGTGCAGAGCACGAGGGCTATGAGTGGTGAGGTGCCGTTGAGTGATGTCGCGAGTACGACGGCGAAGCATATCGCGAGCGGGTATTTGAATCCGTATAAGAGCCGGATTCTGCTGGGCCTGTTGCTGAGTGAGGGGAAGAATATGACACAGATTGCGGAGGCGTTTGCGGGGAATACAGTTGCTTGAAGCAGGTGCTTTTCTTGTATTGGTCGGGAGTTTGGTTGTATAATGAATGACACGTGACGAATTAGAATAAGGGGGTAAAGGTACTGGCATATATAATGTTAATACGGTCCCTACTTATCGCATCCATCATTACCTATTTCCTGACCTCACTCGTAACCAAACTCATGATACATAATCGCAAACGCCAATCCACACACCCGTCCATCCATCCGTTCATCCATCATCCATCATCCATCATCCCATCCTCGATTTACACACCCTAAGCAACGCCCGTGACTCTCCTGATACTCCTCCTCGCCCCCTCCCCAACAATCATAATAGAGCCCTCCTGCTCCAATCCCCTTAGTGCCTCCGCGAGCTCTTGCCCCTCAACCTGAATACTACTCTGCTCGCCCATCCTCTTCACCACCTCACTATATCTAGCTGCTTGGCCCTGTCTCGTCATCTCATCCAGGAGACCCAGGAGAGCATTCTTCAGATCTGCCTTTCTTCTTCTCTCGCTGGCACTGGTACCTTCCGTGAGAAGGCTCATGTCGATAAGACCGGTTCTAGCATCGGTGGCTGCTTGCTTGAGGGCTGATTTGATGAGACGGACAGCCTCGATGACATCGTCACGTGTAACAGTCTCAGAGAGACGCATCTTGGCATGGGCTTCAGAGAGACGGATCATCGACTCCAATTGTCTGGTGGTAGCAGTAATGCGGCGTTCAGCAGCTCGAACATCTTCGCCGAGCTTGCGCATTTCGACGTAGGAGTCCACGAGCTCTTTGTGAGCTTCAGGGCTGATTCTTGGTTGACATGTTTGCCGGGCGTACGAAATGTAGGATGTCAAGAACTCGATTGGCTGTGACCTGTTAGCGGGACTCAAAGTAGATAATCCTTCTTCTAGACTTACCAAAATCTCCATCCCCCCAGCCGCACTCTCCGGCTTGTCTTCTAAGTACATGCTGAGCATATGTCTGGCCAAGCGCCGATCGCTCGTCTCGTCAATGCGATCCAAGATAAGGTACACCAAATCGAATCTTGAGAGTAAGGTTGGGGGGAGGTCGATGTTTTGTGGAACTGGTAAATTTGGGTTGTATTTGCTTCCGATGGGATTTGCGGATGCGAGAATGCTGGTGCGAGCATTCAAAGTGGTAATGATACCCGCCTTGGCGATGGAGACCGTCTGTTGTTCCATAACTTCGTGCAAGACTGATCGAGTCGCGTCTGACATCTTATCAAATTCATCAATGCAGCAAACACCTCCATCAGAAAGGACCAAAGCACCAGATTCGAGCACAAGCTGCCGGGTCTCAGGGTCTCGAGTGACATAGGCTGTTAAACCAACAGCTGATGATCCTTTGCCGCTGGTATATACACCACGGGGGGCAATCTTGTGGACGTACATCAAGATCTGAGATTTTGATGTAGAGGGATCACCGCAGAGCAGAATGTTGATATCTCCTCGGTATTTCGGACTTCCACCCTTCTCAAATGTCTTGTTCGTGCCTCCAAACAGCTGGAGCAGGATACCCTTCTTTACATCGTCCATCTCAAAGATGCTGGGAGCAAGTGAGCGAGATAAGAGTTCGTAGATATCAGGTCTGGCAGCAGTGGCCTTGATCTTCTCGATCTCTTCTTCGCTAATCTTCCTCGTCTCCTCGATATTTCCAGAAAGCTCTTCATTAATATCTTGCTCCAAGGTGGAAGCATCAATTCCCATGCGTTTCTTGTCAACTTTCTGGATGTGTAACACGTCGATGTATGTCTTGAAAATACTCTTTTGAGTGCGTTGTCGGGGATTGACCCTAACAGGGCTCGCCTTGAAGATACCAGTAATCTCAACCCGATCACCAGCCTTGCAAAGATCTACTAGTTCGTCATATGCGCACAGAGAGACCGAGTGAGGAGTCTGCCCTGCTGGCACAGAGTCTGGGGTCTCCTGGAGCTTGATGACTTGTTTGTCCATGAACCCAGATCGGTTGTGGACAATTTGCATCGAATTCGGCGATTCACAGACTGGACGGGGGCACTTTGTGGGCTCGGCGATCCTACCACGGTCAATATCGACCTTCACTGTATGGTTGCAGACCTGGCATCGGAAGAAGGCATCCTTCATATCCGGAATAACTGGAGTAGTACGGATGACAAGACCCTTGATAGCAATAATCTTATCGACATCTGGAAAGAATTAGCACGTCTCCCATTGATCACTGAGATATACATACCAGAAGGGTTGAGGTCTCTCATGTTGACCGTGGCATCGAGACCAAAAGGTCGAACTCTGTATGAGCGCTTCTGAACCTCTTGGCAGAGATCCACTTCAGCCGGTTCTTGTTCTCTCGGTGTCTGCCCTTCAGGCTCACTTCGCTCAGAGCTAGGAACAGGGGGCTCAGAGCTCTCAACTCTAGTCCGTTGGGAGCCCTGTCCAGCAGAACTTTGAGATTGTTGTCTCTGCTGAGCCATCTCTGCTTCGGCAATCTCGTACATAACGTCTTTGATGCCTTGATCCATGAGCGTGACAATGTCCTGAGGATAATCTTGCGCCTGTTGCCAGAGCTTCTTGGTTGGGGGATAGGCCTTCAGGTTCCGGAAATCCAAGTTCAAACTGGTAATTCCCAGTGTCAACATGTTCTTCATAATCTCCATATACTCCTTGGTACTTGAATCCGCATCGGCATCGGTTTCCTCCTGAGACATGCCATCTGCCCACATCCGGTACTTCTTGGTGTAATTGCGAAGGAAGTCTTTGAAGCCGGACAGGGTATCATTGATCGAGACGTTGGTTCCCCAGATGCACAATGTAGAGTTACCTCCCAATGCCTGCGCATCGGACGTGGTGGGATCAATATTCGAGAACGTAGCGGCTTCGGAGTCGGCTGGGACGTCTCGCACGACTCGGCCACTCTCATCCATGAAAATTCGTCTTCGAGCGCGGGGAGTGTTAATATTGTCAGAACTAATATCTCCACGTCTAGAATTATTGACAGCGGAACCCGGGCCTAGCGATCGAGACGAACGAACGAACAAGGCGCTGCTGTCACTTCGAATATCAGGGAGCGCTGATTGCTGGCGGCCTCCATTCGGGCTGGAACTTGACATATATCGAATCGGTGAAGACACTACAAATTATTAGCACGGCCCTATCTATTCCTGTGGTTCAGCTACTAACCGTCGGCGAGCGCACTGGCTCGTGGAGTTCGATCACCATCTGTCGTCGACTGGGTCTGTCTGAAAGGAGAGCTGACCTCGCGGGAGACTCTTGCGGGGTCCACAGACGATGAGCGATAAACCATCGGCGAGGATGAGGGAGCAGTCCGTCGGGGCGTAGCATTGCCTCCTTGGGATCCAGCGGCTTCGCTGTGGAGCTGGGCGGCAGCAAGATCGGGAGGGCTGCTGGGGAAGGCAGGGCGCTGGGATGCCCGTCGCGGGGTCCCAGCTTGGGAACTGCGCTGGCGGCGAGCTGGTGAGGACATCTTGAGTCGATTTTACCTCTCGACTCTGGGGTTGTGTTGTGTTGTGAAGGTGGGTGAGGGTAGAGGTGGAGGCGAGGGTGGGTTATGGGGGAGGTTGAAGAGGGTTTTCGATTTACGCTCAACGCGTCGCGAAAGAAAGCGCGTTCCAGCGCGTAAAGTGGTTTTGTTAGCGCGATTCTGGTTTAAGGGGTAAAATGGTCCGTGCATCGACCACACCCAATCCTCCCTCCCCTTTTGACTCTATCAACACATGATGTATGACTTGTAGATTATAGACTCGATAGGTTCATAGACCACTGACATTCCACTACTTACCTACTTGCTTCACATATATACCTTATATATATATTCACACATATAGACATCTCTTATCCTGATTCATCTTTTTTTCTTCATTTTTCCCTTTTTCAAGACTACATACATACATACTCCTACCCCATGCCGAGTCGTTTTCAGATTCTCGCTGGCTAGCTATATGTATTTTCGGTTTCATCCGATAGCTCGCTATACAATGATCGACTCATCCATCCATCCAATATACACAAACAAACAAACAAAAAAAAGGCACCTACGTTACGCCCACCGAGGAACGCCCAACGAAACTTGGAGATGCTGAGCTATAAACTCGCATGAGAGGGGAGAGAAAGGATCTACCATGCGACGCCCCGCCACTCGAAATCCCCATCGATGTTCGTCCAGCCGCCCTGGACAATCGCACGTTCCCAGCCCATCATGACAGCCAGCAGGTTGCAGCCTGTGGCACTAACCGTGCACACCAGACGGTCGCTGGCACCGCCCAGAACAGCCAGGTCAAGGAGGTACGCGCGGCCGACGAGCTCACGCAGCCGGAGCGCATCGGCCGTTGGAGGCTGGCGCGCGTCCGCTGGCACGGCCGCTGTGCGGCCGAGACTCCAGAACATGCCCGCGAAGAAGCCGCCCTCCCAGCCGATGTTCTCCTCGACGAAGCGGCGGATGGGCGTAAAGGCCGGAGGCGCTGGCGCTGGGGGGCGAGAGGCGAGGGCGATGAGGTCCTGGGCACGTGAGGCTTGAGAGAACTCGTCAGAGGCGTAGACGTCTGGGTCGTCGGAGGCGACGACCATAAGGCTGTGCATGCGGGCCATCACGTTGGCGTCGCCATTCGGCCCGCTGTCGTTGAAGGTGGAGTGCAGGATGTCGCCGGCCATGGAGCTGTAGCGATCAAGCGGCACGTAGGAATCTCGATATTGGAACTCGTAGGGGTGACGGTCGCCATGGCGAACATGGATGCCAATGACCATCCCATTCGCGGTCGAGGGGTCGAGAGACTTGGTCCTGTCCCGCAACGAAGCAATGCGGGTGGAGACGTAGTTGTCATCTTCGGTAGAGAGCTTGAACAGCGCCTCGTATCCCGCTCGGGCGAATTCAAAAATGGGTTTCTGGCGGTAGACCTCCATCTTCCTCGCATCTTCAAAGTGGTCATTGAAGGCGCCGCCAAAGGTGGAGGAGACGGTAGCAGCGGAGACGACAAGGTGCCTCGCATGATGTGGACAGGGGAGCATCTCGTGGCGGGGAGGAGGGCGACAGCTGGGCATAGGCGGCGGTTGGAAGAAGCTGGTATATCTTCCGTATGCCCTAATCAGTCAGCAACGTCTACATAACGGCACATCAGGACATACCATCTCGTATCGTCGATGAAAAACGCTCTCCCCTCCTTCTGGGCCAGCCCGTACGCAGTCCAGAGCATCATCAACGTCTTCCCCAACCCCGCATCCGCAGTCTCTAGCAAGAAGGTCATACTCTTCTCACACACATCCTCCTCCATCAGACCATCCTGCTCCCCGACCAGCGGATTTTGTTTCTTCACCCGTGTCTCCGCTCTCGACCCCGGCAGGAGCCCGTGAGCTTCCGCCTCGGCAACGTCCATGAAGTTGGGGTCCACGTGATAGTAATCATAATGCGCCGCGTGCTCCCGGTGCGAGTGCGTATGGAGGTCGGCTACGTGCATAGCGACCTCCGTGTTCTGGATACAGATCTCCGCGTACACGGCAGGTTCCAGGGGGAACTCGGAGGCCGGGGGGATGGAAACGGTCCATCTGGCCCGGCCACGTTTGTCGGTGATGACCACGGGCGTTGGGAAGTCGGGGAGCTCTGATTCGCCCACCATCTCGTACTCGTCGCCGGCGTTCGTCGCCCACCCGACTGGCTGCAGCGGACGCTCCGTCGTCACCATCGAGAAGCCGTAGTACACGATAACCAGCACGCCGACCAGCCAGAGGATAGCCCTCAAGAACCTCCTCGGCGTGTGCTTCGGGGCCGGTTTGCCATGTCGCGGAACCAATGCTGGGAGGCCAGGACTCGGGGGCGGAGACGCGATGAGATGGTTGAAGCTGAAGCAGGCGGAGGTCGAAGATTGCGGCCCCCGATCAGCACTATTATGAGAAGCCACGCGGCGGAGACTGATCCTGGGAGAGTTCCGCGGGGAGAGGAGCATGTCGGCGTGGGTGTATGTCTTGGAGAGATCTAGATGAGGCGGCATTGTAAAGATTGGCACAGCCAATGTTGAAGCGAATAAGTATATGAGAGGTTTGAAGAATGGAATGATATGTATGGGCCTTTGGTGCCTGCACTCTTGAGAGGGATTGGGGAGCCGTCAAGCCATCGAATCCCGGAGGCCGTTGTCGAAGGTTTCGATCCAGATGTATGTAGGGTAAGGTAGGTAAGTATATAGCAGCGGCTCACGTCGGACGCAAAGCCAGTGGGAAGAAGAAAATCAGAAAGATTCGAAAGAGGGTAACTCTCACCGCGCTCGACACTGGGAAATCAGATCAGAGCAGCGCAGCGCGGTAGAAATACACACACACAAGCAGCCGGCGTGACGTCCGTCCCTGTTCCCCCCTGCAGCATCCAGTCGGGAAGCAGACACGAGGTACCCGCAGTCAAGCGGAGACGAGACGGTACAGGACTCGGCGTCCAGTAGTAGCAAGGGAGAGACGAGATGATGCGGGCAGAACAGAAGGAAAGGAAATGGAAAGGAGATGGAAAGGGAAGAGAAGAGAAGTGCACAGCGCGATGAGGTTGGTTGGAGGTGGCCAGGAGAGGCGGCGGCCAAGATGGAGGAGAAACGAGTCTGATACGAGCAGGGATCGAATGGGAGGCGAGGATTCGTATAAATCCAGGGTCTTTGTCAATACGGTACCTCCCGGATATGGATATATTATGTATATATGTATAATATAGGTATATCCTATCGAGACTCGAGACTCGAGCGCACGCACGCACAAGCCCACGAGTCGTCCATCCACCTCATCCATATCTCCTCCCTCCGTACATCCACCCTACATCACCCATACATCTTCACATATCCCCTCATCCCCTCATCCCCCCCTCTCCATCCTCTTCCCAACTCCCAGTAAAAAAACCAAATCCACAATCCTACTTGAAAAACACTATACCGTAAATCCCGCCTCTCGTATAAAATCCCCTGTCCCGCCCCCTCGGAATCCTGAAACGCACCATCCAGCGGCCCAGCCCAACCGAGCCAGCCCTCCTCCTTTCTTCCCCTCTCTCTAGTCTCTACCTTAGCGAGCGAGTCATCGCTTTGCATAACACTATGTTCAACACATTGCAGATGCAGATGTAGGTAGATACATGTACATGTAACAATGGATATCCAGCTTCCTCAAAAAAAAAAAAAAGGCCCAAAGACAAAAAAAGAAGGCTAAACGCCCCCCTCTTTCTAATCTTTCAAGCCACCCCAAAAAAAATAAGAGAAAAGAAGTGACTAATCGACGTTGACAAGATTCGAACTTGTGCTCCCGAAGGAAACAGCTTTCTAGGCTGTCGCGATAACCACTCCGCCACAACGCCTATTTCTTGTCCTCCCTCCCCCAATCTCAAAACATATTCCTACCACCCCCCCCCCCCACATCCCTCCTCTCCTTCCTAAGGTACCCTCTTCCCCAACCCCAACACCCGCCTCGTCACTACAAGAGTACGATTCGTGAATTATTGTTTTTGAATAGGATGGGATGGGATGAGATTCTTTTGTATATTATGTTATGTTGGATTTTAGATAAGAGTTCGTCATAGAAGGTAGCCAGGAGAAAGCTGTCTTTCTTTCTTCCTTCCTTTCTTCCTTCATAAGAAGGTACCTAATGTGTAGTAAAGGGGAATTTTTCTAACCATTACTATCCCAATCCCCCCTCTCCTTTACCGCCCCCTAGGTACAGAATTTTTTCTATCTATCTCTCGATTTCTTCCTAACCCTTCCTATGGGTTTTTGATAGGTAATAATCAAGGCGTGTTGAAAGATATGAAAGCATTCTTGAAAAATGATTTCTCAACCCCCCCAAAAATAAAGCCCCCCCCCCCAATCACCCATCATCCCATCCCAACCCATCCCATCATCCATCCCATCATCCATCCCCCCTCCCCCTCCTATCTATCAAGACCAAATAAAATACCACCAAGAACTCACTCCTCTTTACTTTTAAAAATTCCTTCTTAATTCCTTGGTTCACCTAAGGTACCTTAGGTAGAGAAGGGTGGTCTTGGTGGATTGGATGGATAGATGGGATGGTTGCATTCCTGACTTGCTTGTCTTGTCTTGTCTTGTCATCTCGATTATTACTGGTGAGGGGGGAAGGGAGGGAAATATGTGTTACGCGGTTGCCTGCCTGCTTAAGGTACCTAGCCCCTTACTGTAGATAGGTAGGTATATATAAAGGATGGTAGATACCTGCATATCCGCTCACAACATACATACATACATCAAAAACCTCAAGATCAAGATATACCCAAATAGCATAATCATTTCATTTCCATGCATCCATCTTGGTCTTACTGCTATCTGTCTATCCGTTCATCTAATTCCATCTCTCCGCTCATCCATACATACATACAAAAAAGCTGCCTCCCGAACACGACGCGCACGGGAAGATTCTTAACGACGACTCATATCATTCAAATCAAATCAAAAACAAGCAAGCAAGCAAACGCACAAAGCATGCAAACGCCCAATCCATCATCCATCATCCATCCAAATATCCGCCCTTCCCTGCCATTTGAACTATTATTACACAGGGGCCTGAGCCTCTTCCCGGTCTTCGTCTTTGTTTTGTGCGTGTCCTGTCCCGTATGAAATATAGCGGAGGAAGAAAGGAAAGCGAGAAAAGGGAGGGATGTTAGGATTGGCGGGGGGTCCATCCTCCTCCTGGAGCAAACGAGCGCGGTGGAGCAAGAAAAGGAAAAAGGAAAAAGCATAAAGTGAAATTTGGGTATAAGGAACGAAGAAATTCCAAGTGCGGCCTCCGAAATCCCCAAACGCCATTCAAAAGCACAAGGCGATATCATCTCCCCCCTTCCATTCTCGCGCCTCACGACAGCGCCGCTGGCGCCTCATGGCTCAACGGCATCGGCAATGGGGATAGCGGTCCCAGACTCGCCTGGCGCCGCTCGCTCGCGAGGCGTACGCTGCCTCGAGAACCCTTAACTAACTCGCCCCTCTCGACCCGGTCCTGGATCATCTCATCGAGCATCTTGCTCATCTCATCTACGCTTTTGGTCCGTTTCCGGAGAGTCGGGGACAGGAGACTCATCATCGGACTCGTGGGCCCATCGACAAGTTGTGAAGTGCGCGCGGACACCGGCGATAGAGGATCATTATCAGCCGGCTTGAAGTGTTGCGAGGCGCGAGGGTCTCGATCCGCAGTATCGCGTGACCGAGCAGCAGAGCGCAGGGCATCAAGCATGCGGTCTTTGTCGTCCAGTCGAGCTCTGAGCTCCGCAATCTCTGCATCCTTCTCCTTCAAGAGCGCCGCCACGCCATGGTCCTCCCCGACCATAATTCCATTCTTCGACAAGTTCGCCGATGTCCGCGAGTGACTCGACCGTCTCGCCTGCAGCAGACGCTTCTCGAGCGTCTGGCAGTAGCGGGTCTTGTCTGCGAGGTCAGCTTGCAAGGCACGGTTCTGGGCTTGCAGCGATGCGGTGCCGTCGCCAAATTCGCCGAGCGACTCCTCATCCTCCAACGACCCAGACGCCGATAACCGATCTCGCGGGAGTTGGCCAATTGTCGATGCCGAAGCCACAGAAGCTGTACGCTCAAGTGAATTGCGCTGCGTGACAGACGGTGCCATCGAAGAACGTGCGGACATCGAAGAGAGGTGGCCATTCGAAGCCCTATTGGACAGGCGAGGGTGCATACTCAGAGATGAGTACGATCCGCTGGCATTAACACCGGTTGATTTCGAGCTGAGGATAAGACGATTAAGATGTTCAATCCTCTCCTTCAGAGCCGTCCGAGCCAATTGCATCTCCAGCATCTGCTCCTCGTGACGTTGCTCGGCCTCCTTCTCCCGTTCCTTCTCATCGTCGTCAATCTTTGCTTTCTGTTGCCCCTCGAGTTGGCTTCGCAACTCCAAGATCTCCATGCGGTACCTCTCGAGTAAAACTCTAGCCCCCCCATCTCCGCCAGCACCAAGTGCTTCCTCGGCCTTCTTGGCGTGACTGACAATGTTGTTCTTCGCCCTCGAGGCGAACTTCAGCGTGTTCAAGGTCTCGCTAGTGTGGGTGTTGGCTGCTGCGGCACTACCGGCAGACCCGATCTGGATTGTGCAGAGGATGCTGACCAGGGAATCTCCGGATAGAGCACCCTGGAGGAGTCTGGTAAGCTTGCTATCTCTATAAGGGAGATGCTTCCCATCTTTGTCAGTTGGCTTCCCATCCTTGTCCTTGTCTCCAGACAGTCGGGCGATGACGGTTCCGAGGGTAAGCAAACTCTTGTTAATGTGGGAACCCTCGGTCCGTCGCTCCTTCGTCTCTGCAGCTCTTTCGGACCCAGCAAGATCAATCAGGCTGAGCGTCGACACCCGAACGCCTCCGGGAAGTATCCCGGATCGCTTGTTCTCCCCCATCGCTCCGGTACCAGGAATACGTTCTCTACTTTCAACAACGATCTGAACAACGGCGTGACTTCGAGAACTCCTCGCGTTGAACTGCGTGCTCGAGGTACGTCTGGCATGGTCACCTCTGGCAATCACTCGTAGGAGCTGTGTTGGGCTCTGAACGATCTCCTCTTTCAACGGAGTGGCATAGACCCCCCGTTTGCTATCCTCCCGAAGCTTGATCTCTTCTTGCGGAACTGCTCCAGGGCCTGTAGTAGTAGGTGCGCTTAGGAGATCATGAATCTTCTCGTTATAAATTTCTAGGTAGCTGACACGGAGTAGGAATTCTCGGGATGGCGTCTCGCGGATGTACGAGAAAATATCGGTGATGGCAAGCGGGATGACACCAGGGGATGTTGCTGTCCCCTGCATGGAGAATGTCTTGCCTGTACCCGTCATCCCGTAGGCGAAGACAGTTCCGTGGTATCCTTCCATAACTCGCCGAACCAGTCGCTTCGCAGAAGCATCGTAGACCTTGGCATTGTTGTCGTGGGTAGCAAAAACATTATCTGGGCTCTCGTCAGTTCATTCGAGTGAGTGGCAGTCCGCGGCTCCTTACCATAGTAGTAGTCACCCGCTTCCTTGCCTCGATATGAGACCAGGGATTTTCGTCCATCCACCAGCCACTCCCCATCCGCTTTACCACGCTCTCCACCGCCCGCGTCGGGGCGAACTCGAACGCTCACAATCACATTGCCTTTTATCTCTCCGTGTTTTGACGAACCCTTCTCAGTGTCGGCATCCGCGGCAGCTTCTCGTCCTCTATGTAAGTCTCCATTATCTTCAAGTGTCGTTGCTGAGGTCGAATATGAATCCTGTGCCGAGGAGCTGCGGCTCTGAGGCGGTGATGGCAGGCTCAAGAGACCATCCGATCCGCGCGCCCCAGGCCCGCTAGATATCGATCTGCTGTCCCCGCTGCCATTGAGTAAGCTCGGTGCTGCACCATTAACATAGCTAGTCTTCGAACTGGAGGTTGATGTCAACCGCTTCAGTTTTTTTGGCCCGGGAGTAGCTGGGCTGGTATCGCTGTCCGCCCTACTCCCTGCCCCCAAGCCACCTGATAATGGGCTTGGAGGTAGACTGGTTATCCGTGGGCCGTCCCCTCGCGGCGGTTGCGGGAAGGAATTAATGCTGATAGTTTTCCTAATCGACCTCCCGGCACCATTAACGCCTGGGGTAGTTCGTAATTTGGGAAGTGTTACGCTTCCTCCGGGTGATGAGGGAAGATTTGACGTAGAAGGTGCTCGAAGTCCGCTCTTCGGTAGGCTCGGCGTGGAAGTCGATTTAAAATCTGATATCGCGGGTATTCCTCCTGTACTCTTGCGGGTTTTAGATGTTGGTAACGCGGGGAGGGCGGTTGTTGGCGGTCCATAGGACGGCCTCGAGGGTCGGGGAATAGCAGCAGCCATTTTGAACGACTCTCTCAAACTGTAGATTTGTTCTCGGGAGGCCGAGCGGTGTTATATTCGCTCCTCGTTGAATGGTCTACCACTGGCGTCCATGAAACTTGAGACCTCGAGCTGCCAGTAATATGCTTTATTTTTGGTGTCGTCCGGAATATAACCACCAATGCGATTCTAAGGGTCGGCGCGAGACCGAGGACTCAGTCCAATCAAGTGTCTCGGAGAATCGATCGGTCCCAAGGAATCCGACTAGAAAGACAATCGAAAGAAATGTTGACCGCTTCACCATAAGTTATGAAACACTATATCATGCAGGTCACTATGCCTAAGCAGATAGATAGACGCGTGCTGGAACCTGTCAAGATGTCGTCAGTGCGCTCCCCTCCATAGTTCGCTAGTCATGAATGCGTAAGTACACCGATACGAGAAGAAGCGGTAATATGTAGTCCTATTATACTCGAGGGATCCGGGTCATGAAACTGCTTCCAACACGGCTCGATTCTCCCGCAAGAGCGGCGAGGGGCGAGGTGCGAGGTAGATGTGATGGAAATGGCAAAAACTCACAGCGATGACGAACGAAGCGCCGAGAAGCTTCGCGACCAGAAGACGGTTAAAAAAAGCCCCCTTCTTTGGATCGCAGACCTTGTACAAGGGAGCTCTCCCCCGGGATATGCAAGGCGTCTGATGAAAGCGTATCTTTGTGTCCCACGGTCGCAAGAGCGCGGCAGTCTTGAAATCCCCCGGAATACGGTAATACGCAGGTGCTGCTGACAACCGTTGACCCGAAAAAACAGGGATCTTTTCTCAGGGAGGAGATCTTACTCTGGGCGGTCCTCCCTCTTGGTTAATGCATTTGTCACGACCGCGCCCGAGGGGGGTTGAGTATCTGCCGTCGCCTTGTCGCGGTCCCGGCTATCTTCTGGCCGGGGTGTACCGTCGTCGTTGTCGTTGTCGTCGCGGGCCGCAGAAAGGCAATCAAGGAGAGAAGACCGAGTTGGTGGGAGAGAAGGCGGATCGGGTATCTGTGCGAGGTTCTCGAAGACGGCGGTCGTTTCCGTGACTGTCTGTGTTTCTGTACTACTCCTCGTCCTCTGGTTCCTTTGTCCTCGTTCTTGCAGATAGGGAAGGGCGTCGCGGGTTGGCGTCCACACAATAGGCACGGCGGCGAGGTCGAGCTCGAGTTCGGGTCGAGGGTGGGAGGGAAGCGCGGGATGTGGTCGGTGATGGGAGTTTGGGCAGCTGCAGGAATCGGGTCAAACGTCCAGGCGTGTAAATTGGCGAGAGACGGCGGCGGGACGGACAGCTGAGGGGATCGACGCCGTGGGGAACGAACGGGAGTAATCGTTTCGGCTGATGGGGTTGATTGGGGACGAGGGAGGGGGAAGGAAAAAGAGAAGAAAGAGAAGAAGAGGGAGAGGGGAGAGAGGAGAGGAGAGGAAGATTGAGGAGGAGGAGAAGCAGGGACGAGAAAAAGGGCCCAGAAAAATGGAAATTAGGATGGCACTGGGCAAGCCTGGAGGTGCAGCAGCAGGGCACGTTCTTTTCCCCGGCCGACCCTGGGCCGTGGGATGGATGGATTTACACTGCAGCAGAGAGTGCGCGCTGTGTCTGTGATTCTGATGGTAAAATAACACGGTCCTACAAACTACCTACTGTACACCATGATGCGAATAATAGGCTATCTATCTGCACAGAGGATATCATTGCGGCAGGTCTCAAGCAGCGGAGATCATCGCATTGGATGCACCCATACATACCTTACACAGGAGGGAGATGAGATGATAGACAGACAAAACGGCGATGCATTCAACTTCTTTATTTTACTATTTAATCTAATTATCGTCCTTAAGTTGTGATTCTTCTATTATTACATACATTACTGTGACTGTGATATTATCATTATCATCCCATCTCTGTGACAAGTCCCCCTTCCCCCCCCTATCCCTATCCCTATCCCTATCCCATCACCACACCATCCCATACCTTAGTACCTAGGTATCCCGTCTTATCGGAGCATTGCACCAAAAACAGCCATTTACCTAGGTATATGCCCCCTCTCCACCAATGATCTCTCTCCCATCTCTACTCATTCCCTTCCCTCTCCTCACTACTCACTACTCACCATAGAATCTATCTCCCTCTCCATTTAATTCCCATTCCCAAACCCAAAACTCTCCGTACCCACACCCCTTATCACACGCATTGCATATACCTAGGACCTACCTAGGTAACGCCTTTTTTTCTCGCACGAGCCTGCTGCCCACAAGTGCCCAGTGCCCAGTGCCCAGTGCCCAGTCAGTTAGAACTTAGTAGTGGATTGATTGGTGGACCCCTATTAATATAAGTTAAAAAATCCCCTAACTAATATCCCGCTGATCACCGGAGCTTTCTGACTCGCTCCCCAGAAGTCAGTTGGCCCGCCAATAATGAGAGAAACGTTCCAGCCCGCCCGCGAAAGGCTCGGCTCGATTGCCTTCATTCATGTCGGTGCTTTGCTTTGCTTTGCTTTGCTTTGCTCTTTGTTTTTTGGCCCCCTTACCCTCTCTTCTTTTCTTTTGACTTGCTTGCTTCTTGCTTGCTTGCTTCAATAAAGTATAAATCTGAAAGCCAAAAATAAAAAGCAAAAGAAAACAAAAACAAAAACAAAAACAAAAACAAACCCTCCCCTAACCACCAACACCCCCCCCCTCTCCCTCCAAAAAAGCCCTCGACGAAATAATCCCACGATCCCGATATATATCTCCAGGATACCTATACTACTATACTCCGTACCTACCTAACCTACCAAGCAAGTTGCCAAGCGTTTCCCTAGCGTCAATAGGGGTCGGAAAACGGGCGGGACCCCTGTCTAAAGCACCTTACCTACCTAACCTACTTGAGTCTTAGACACAACGTTTTAGAAAGGGGATCGGCAGTGTGCGGGAGTTGGGAGGAGAGGGAAATTGGATCTATCTAGGTAGGTATCTATCTCTTCGTGTTTCCTAGGTGCTTTTAAGAGAGAGAAATAAACGGTCGGAAAGCAAGACCCACGATTAGGATAAGTGTGATATGATGCAATGGGTCGGTCGGGTGTGCAGGCGGGGTTGATAGGTATGGCAGGATTACTGTGGATGGGAATAGACGGGAGGGTGTTGGTTATTTTGCTTCTTCTTCTTTCAGGATGCGCGGGCCATTTATACTGTATACCTTAAGAGACCGGCTCGCCCGTGTTGTGATCGCATGCATCTTCGTACTCGTTACCATCCCCCTCTTACATCTACAGTCGCCTTCTCCCCAACACCGTCCTAGAAGCGACTCTCTACAGTACTTAGTACCGCCCAGCCCTACTTCTAAATTGCACAACTCCGCAATCTCGTGTATCAGGCAATCAGTCATATCAATCATATCGTGACACCCCGCCATCCAACCCTATAAAGCACGAACGCCCCTCCCAACACTGCCCGTCTCGAAAACCTCCACCAGGCCCGCACCCACACACTCCCCCAGGATCCAATCAAACGTCATGCCGTAGAACTGTTTCCACTTGCGCGTCCGCCCCGGGAGCACGCCCGCGAACTCACCACGGCTCCTCTTCGCCGCGCTCAAGGCTGCGTCCGCCGCGATCCCGCCGTCCCACCGCTGCCGCAGGACCGTCTCCGGCGCCTCGCGGAACCGCGACTTGGAGAGGAGGGACACCAGGTGTGCGCGCGCCCCCGCGACCAGCTTGAGGAACGCCCCGGTGGCGGGGATGGCGAGGGAGAGCTCCCCCGTTGAGGGGGTGCCGATGCCTCCCCCACTGCCGCCCGCGGCGTGAACGGCGCCCTCACCACCAACTGCGGCGAGCGTGCCTGATGCTGCGCGCGAGATGCTGTTCAGAGAGGTCATGGTGCCGCGGGAGCCTTGGCCTGGGGTAGAGAAGACTTCCGTGGATGTCCATGTGGGCGTGGCTGCCGTCAGGAAACCCGCATGCGTGAGCGCCTTCGCATCGTCGGGGGCTAGTTCCGAGCGGGGGATCTTCATCGCAGTTGGGTGCTCGTAGAGTAATTTCGTGAACTTCTCCTTGACGCTTTGCTCCAGTGTGCTCTTCTCAATAAGCTCCTCGAGATCCTTAACCAGTATTAAAGCCTCTCCTATGCTGCCTCGCCCCCCGACAACAATCTTCCTTATAGCTCGCCCCTTGATTAACTCCGCGATCTCCCTCTCGACTGTTGTGGGCGAATTCAACAGCGCTTGTATATGCGACACGGTGACGATGGGCGGGAGGGACGCCCGGAAGTTCAAGACCTCTGCTATGCGTGTCGAGTTCATCCCCGCTCGCTCTTGTGGTATACTGCTCCACATCTTGCCTCGGGTATACATGATTGCTTGCGCAACATCTCGTAGAGTGAGATCGGTGGCTAGGGCCTTGACAAGCCCAATATCGTCGAGCCGATCGCCGAAAAGGTCCTCGTCTTCATCGTCGGCAGTCGCGGATTTCGAGGAGGATCTTTGTACAGGTTTGCGACGGGGTAGCGATGAGAAGGGAGAGGCGTTTCTGTTGATGGTCGGCGGTTTCGTTGATTTCTTGATGCGACTTGAATGTGCAGCAGAGAACTTGAAACTCATCGCCGTCCGGTCGATGATGCTAGATGACTGTTAAGCGCCGTCGATGAGAACAGCAAAGAACAGCGCCGCCTAATCATAAGAATGTGCACAGTAGAATGCAGAGACTGGGATAAGGGTAAGCAAGGTTTGTGATAGATCATGGATTGTGAGTGCAGGAGCCTCGATGCGGTACTCCTTACATAAGGCCCAGTCCCAGCCTTATTTTAGCCATTTTCCCACGGACCCACCCCACCTTTGCCGAGCGCCCGATCCCCACGCTCGCTTCTGTGAACTCAGCCTTTTCGCGCAGCCTTGGCCCATCAACGACTTCTCTCCCGCAAACTTGACAAGTTGACGGTGGACACGAAAACCAGCAAGAATGGCACCCACCGTCATCCTCATCAGGCACGCGCAAGCCCTTCACAGTCAGTGTCTTCCCCCGTCTGAAGTGGAAACTATGCTAATGTTACGCCAGATGTCGCTCATAAGTCCCCCGCAGCATCCAGAGGCATGATCTAAAGCTGATATGTCCTACAAGACTATGACATCCACGATCCCAGCCTCACTGAACTCGGCTTTGGCCCTCAGTGTAATGAGCTCGCCCAGTACCTCGAGAATGAGCTCCCCCTGGCGCAGAAGATCGAGCTCATTGTTGTCAGCCCTATGCGCCGCACTCTCCAGACTGCCCAGCAGGGCTTAGGATGGCTGATGAAGCGTGGGGTCCCCGTGATCCTCCGCCCCGAGTGGCAGGAGAACTCAGCCAAGCCGTGCGATACGGGAAGTCCCATTTCAGAGATGGCGGCGGAGTGGCCTCAGTTCGATTGGTCGACCGTTGATCCCCAGTATCCCGCGAAGACCGGACTGTACGAATTCTCCAAGCGCGGGCTGACAGAGCGAGGAATTGCTGCTAGGAAGTGGTTGAGGAACAGGCCCGAGAAGGTTATTGCGGTGGTGTCTCACTCGGGGTTCTTGCGAGTTGGGGTCAGCTACAAGAAGTACGAAAACGCCGACTTCAGGATCTTCGACTTTGCTGATGGGGATGAGGAGATTGGCGGAAAGTTGGTTGAGTGGGAGTTGACTGAGAAGAAGGGTGGTGGTCTAGGAAAGAGCCCGAAAGGATATTTTCCCGTGGGTCCTGGGGACTACCCGGCGGAGCCCGAGTTGGAAACTCAGAAGGATATTGGGGAAGCCGTCAGCGAGCTACCGAATTAGGAGACGATGGTCAGTTCTCTGCCCAGATTCACCCAAGTAGAATCAAACGTGCGGGCAGTTCAGCCTTACACATACGATGTGCTCCATAATCATGATGGAGCGACGACTAGCGACTACGCCGAGGTCCAGCTTGGTTGAGGATGGCCTTGCAGACAGAAATAGTAACAACTGTAAACATCTCTTGTGAAGTCTTTCCTTGCCTGCTTGGTTGCCACATCCAATTGACGAGTTAGTGCTAGGCCAGGCTCTCCCAGAGAGAAATATGGGGTGATTATCGTGTTTATGGGGTATTTGTCAAGGAGTAGATGCCTGTAGGGTGCGGTACCGGGGGGTTATCACAGGGTTCCCCCCTCCCCGAAGTCCTCGGGCGATAGATGGTGGAGGAGCCGAGTGTCGCACCTCAGCCCGTCGTGGCTGAGAAGAGTGGCGTGTGGCGTCGGCGAGCTGAAAGTCTGTTGTTACTCGGAATATGACTACGGGGGCCTTCGTATCCTGCCAGGGGTTGGCCGCGGCGTGCATCGCGTGGGGGGTGGATCCAAAACAAGAGGGTGAGACAAGGACAAGCACTGTCAAGCAGGAAGAAAGGGAAGAAAGTATTCCCCAACTTTCCAGGACAGGAGAAGACCGAGGTAAGGGAGGGATGAGGACCTATCAGACCTATCGAGGAGAGTAGTCCCGCGTCCCGACACTGAGGGCCCTCTGGCGGCAGCTCCCAGTCGAGCGTCTAGTCGGTTCAAGCTCCGGAAGGGGAGACGCGAGCCGAGCCTCGTACGGCAGACTTTTCTCTAAGACGACACGACGCATCATGGCGGGCAGCAATCATCATACTGTGGCGTCGCGTTCGATTTTACCGAGTACGGTGGCCGAGGTGCATGCTGGGTATCTGCGGCCCCCCGTACAGTACTGTCGTGGAGATAGGTAGTGTTGATACGTGTTGGTCCTTGCTGCTTTCCGCTTTCCCTGTTCTTCCCTTTCCGGCCGCAGAGGATGCTGATCGGGCGGAATTGGGAGCTTTATGTGTGCCATCACCGCTGATACCATTGGGCGGACAGACAGACGATTGAGGATCGAATAGCAGGGTAGAGAGCATTCTGCGAGGTAGGCCGATTGCAAACGAGCATCCATCACCGAGTGAGTGGCTGGGGCCCGGGCCACCGTATACGCCAACCGGTCCAGTCCCGTGCTCCGCCGTACACGTCAGCCACTCTTTCTGGCGCAGGCGCTTCTTTGGCACAATTCGGCCACCGGACAGGGTGAGGCGCAGCAAAGCAGCCCATCACACACGAAGCTCGAAGCTCGACGACCCTTTCACGCTTTCGCCTTTCGCCTTTCGCCTTTCGCTCTTCAGACGCCCAGTCTTTCTCCTCGTCAACCGACTCTCTCACCTGGACGGGCCACCGCTGCCACTCGCCCCCCCCCAGAGTATTATTCTTCCTTCAGCTCAACGAACACAACACAACCCGCCCATCGCCTTCGCTCTCCTCTTGTCTTTTCTCCCCTTTCCCCTCCCCCTCCCTTTCGGGTGTGCCGTGCATATTGAGGTTCGATATTATTATTCTTATAATATACACTGACCTCTTGTCCTGTCCTATCCTCCTCGTCTCATTGATCCAATCCGCGACGCCACATCGGTCAGCCATACCCGTACCTTACCTGCAAGAACCTCGACGCCCTCGATCATGTTCAGCAGAAGTGCCTGAGCTGCGCGCAACTCGGCATTATCCCCCCTCCCAAGACTTCGAATTCCCCTCCGCCGCGCACCCCTTGCCTGGTCAAATCCCGATCGGCTGTTTTACCATTCTTCTCTGCTTTGTGCATCTGTTCCTGTCCTGGACCCGAAAAAGTCTCGCGCTCCCCGTCCGGAGCTCGCGCGCCTCAGCCACAACCGCCCAGGGACGACTCGAGATGAGGTCGTGAACACACGCATGCGTGACCCCGGGATCACCACAAATCTCTTGTCGCAAGCCCATATTCCACTCGTCTGATTTCGCATACGCAAAGCCTACACGTCGGGCCTCATGGCCTCAGAACACGGTCCTGTATCTGCCGCTCCTATCGCAACCGCGGCGCTGTCCCCCACATTGACCTCCACAACCACCCTCAGCCTTCCAGATCCTGATACGGGTCGACTCAGATCTCTGAAGAGGAGCCGCCCGGACCAGTCCCAGAACCCCGCAAATCTGACCTCGATCGCCAGCGCCGGCTTGGGCGCCTCACCTTCACCTAAATCACCACGGTTAAAGGGCGCGTTCTCCGGATTCTCCCCTTCACCACTCACTGGCGCAGCAGCATTGGCCGACGAACAAAGGGAGAAGGAAGAGATGGCGACGGGCCAACTCGCTGCAATGAGTGAAAACCCAGGACACAAGGCGCTGTCATCACTGATGGCTTCAGGTGGCGCTCCGATGAGCAGATCTCAGGACGCCCCCAGTGCTACAACGGCTACGAGCGATGGGATGTCGGCTGCATCGAACGCCATCTCCAATCCGAATACAACTCAATCGGACGACAAGCCCGACATGAGTCCCGAAAGCGTGACCAGCCATGCAAGCCTAGGGGGTCCCGCGCAGACCGCGACTGCAAGCCCGACAATTGTTGCGAGTCCGACCGCGATGACGGCCGCCGATGCCGACATTCGAGACTCACGATCGGGTGTCTCCAGTCAGCTACAGGCTCCCATCGAAGATTATCCATCGCATCGTGGGGCCCTCTCTTACCCGGGCAACGTCCTCGCTCCATCGGATCCGACGAGAGATCCCGCAAGGTTCCCCGCGCGGGGTTTGAGCCTCCCTGTGCCCGGTCAGAACCAGGCTCTTGCACCGAGATCCCCTACACAGAAGAAGTATAAATGCCAATATTGCGAAACCGAATTTACGCGTCATCACAACCTCAAGAGCCATCTGTTGACCCATAGCCAAGAAAAGCCATACGTTTGTCAGACATGTTCGATGCGGTTTCGCCGATTGCACGATCTAAAGCGCCATATGAAGTTACACACGGGAGAACGCCCACACATCTGTCCAAAATGTGATCGTAAATTCGCACGAGGAGATGCCCTTGCCCGCCACGCCAAGGGCCAGGGTGGTTGTGCAGGTAGACGAGCTAGCATGGGAAGTTTCGCTGGCGATGATGATTACGAGGGTTCACAAGCCGGAGAAGGTGATGATAGCGGAATGGATGGTGTCATGTATACCAACGGGACGCCCCATCTAAACGATGCTGAGATGACGGAAGAAGACCGTCGACGGTATAGTCTGCCAGCTATCAAAGCACAGCACTTAGCCGGGTCGCAAGATAATTACAATCCGCGAAGTCCTAGCACATACCCTCCTGCGGGCCCACGGTCAGTCCAGCAAGTACAATCCACTGGAGGTTTGTATCCACCTAATACGGACCGAGGCGGCGGCTCGCCCGGTCCCGGTACCTCCCCAAACGTGCAGAATAGCAATATTGGTGGGGGCCTGTCATCTATGGGTCTTAGCAATGGAGGCAACTCAATGTATCCGCAAAGTGGTGGTATTACAGAGAGTCCTAAGCCACTCAGCCCAGCCGGCATGATTTCTCACCAACTTGGTCAAGATCCTTCTATCAACAGACAAAGATCGCCTACGCTGAACACCCAATTTCAGCAACAGCATTTCAGCCGGCGACAGTCAGACAGAGCATCACCTACGGGCATGTCACTTCCATCGCCACACTCACAAGGTCCTAAGCTTCCTGCTATTGCTGGTCTAGCGCCTCCCGAGCAGAGGTATTCTCTATCGAACCAAGGTCCAACGCAACAAAATCCATCAAACGGTGGCCAAGTTTCTCCCAGCACAATGTACCAACCGCCTATGGGCTCCAATCCCGGTCGAAGTGCCCCTGTTGGCCCTCCGCATCAGCAAGGAGGTGGAAGTGCCGATGGTAGCAACAACCTGTTCGCAGCTGGCGAGAGAGGAGTCTGGGCCTATGTCCAAACATTGGAGGACAAGGTGAAGCAGTTGTCAGACAAGGTTCAGGCGATGGAGGCCGAGAAGGTCAACCACCGAGAACAAGTTGCAAGCCAACAAGATCAGATCAATCGGCTTTCGGATGAAGTCTTCTCCCTACGCGGCCAACTCAGTACCCAGAACCAGTCTCAACAGGCGTCTGCGTCTGGGCATTCGTAATAAAAAGCATGCATGGGACACACGCATACGAAAGTGTCCTCATGCCCGGCGTATTGTTTGTGCATTGGCGTCTCGAGGAACCAAAAGAATGATGTAACGGTTAATACATCAGCAGTTCTTCTATTGATTCCCCGTCGGAATTGCGATTGATGAATGAAATGGAACGGTGGAGGAGGCGTTGGGAGAACTTGATTTTAGGACCGAGTGAAAAAAAAAGAAAAGCAGTTGCCACATAGAGTCTACTGGCTTCATGGCACAGCCAGAATCTCTTACTACAATTTCATTTTCTTCTAGAGGGTAGCTGGGGGCAAAAAAGGTCCCCTTGAGTGCATGAAGGGGATTCTGATGAGAATAGTGTACTATAACTTCGCTCATGTTTACATATCAGGAGCAGGAGACCCTCCGGTTTCCATACCAGCAAGGGGTTCCTGCATTCAGAAATAGAGTTCCATGTGTTCGAAGTTTGTTATTACTATGAGGCAGCTCCTGCTATCTGATAAGTGACAGTACCTATAGCCATCTCGTAGCAAGCCACTTCCTAGAGTGGAGGTACCTAGAGATGAGAAGAAAGAATTTGCCCATGGGAAGAGCCTTGATTCAGTTATTGTCTTCCCCTTTGAATTGGATTGCCTAACAGGGCAGCGCGTATGTAGAAACCAGGAACATTAGGAACATTTCTCTGATATCAAAGACAAGGATTGCGTGTTGACAAATCAGCGTTCGACGGGAGCGTTTCAGCCTCTCAGGAGACGAGCGGCGATAGAGCGGGCTGTGCGTCATCGTCATGGCGCACCAGCCCTGTAAACGGCATCTCCAGCCACACCTTCCTTACCGTCCAGCCGTCACCAAGACACCCTCGAACCCTGTGTTTACCATCCACGATTCGATCATCCCAACATTCGTTAGAGAGAGGGAATCGATCATTCGGATGGCGACGACCGCGGCCCCGCTCAGTGCGGAACCTGCTCTGCAGGAAGACCTCGAGACGCTGCCGTTGCCTCCGAAGAGCTATGCGGATGCTGCGGTGGAGGAACCGCCGGCCAATGGCGCGAATGATACGAATGGGGTTGGTGATGGCGAGAAGGCCACTACACATACTGCGTCAGTGTTGAAGATCGTAGGTGCGGGAGCCCCAGCTGAGGAAGAGGAAAGGGAGGGCAGGCCTCGGATTGACAGGAAGGAGTCAAAGCGTGAATACTCCGCGATTGTATGGCATTCCCCTTCTGTTCTCTGTTGACGGGATCTGACTCCAGCAGGGACTTGATGATTCACCACGAAGTCCATCCCGGCACAGGCACCGCAGGACCGCCTCGCAGAAAAGCAATGCATCGCAAGAGAATTTAAGCACAGAGGAGAAGATACTGGGAATCAAGAAGCCTTGCGGCAGTTCGAAAGCGAAGGACAACACCGCAAACACGACCATTTTCGAGAACGTCCAGGGCGGCCGCAATGGCAGTCGGCTCATGAGTGTCAAGCCATCAGCGGAGTACGAGAAAGGCTTAGAGACAGACAAGAAGGAGGCAAAACTGGTCAGCGGTCGAAAAGCAGGGCAACGCTGGGAGAGGAGCGGCATTCGATTCGCGCCAATGAATATACCCCTTCATCGACGTTTGCAGACCTTAATGGTTCTTTTCCATACACTCTGCATCGCCTCTTCTATCTCTCTTTTCTTCTTCCTGTGCGCCATACCCGTCTTCTGGCCGCTCCTAATCCCGTATATGATATACTGCATGTTATCCAATGCCTCGACCTCCGGCACCCTCTCTCATCGGTCGGATTTCCTACGCTCCTTACCAGTATGGTCGCTCTTTGCGTCCTACTTCCCAGCACGACTGCATCGGACTCAGGAGTTACCTCCTACCAGGAAATATATCTTTGGCTACCACCCACATGGCATCATCTCCCACGGAGCGTTCGCGGCGTTTGCAACAGAGGCGTTGGGTTTCAAGCAGCTGTTTCCGGGTATCCAGAATACGCTCCTTACGCTGGATTCAAACTTCCGGATTCCGATCTATCGCGATTATGCGTTGGCTATGGGATTGGCAAGCGTTTCCAAGGAGTCATGTGAGAACCTTCTGTCGAAGGGGGGTTCTAATAAGGTATGTTCTATCTAGCTTTCCCTCACAACAATCTTAGGAGGTTCTTGGCTAATATGATATGATAATAGGAGGGCATGGGACGTGCAATTACCATCGTCGTAGGCGGTGCCCGCGAGTCCCTCGACGCACAGCCCCACACTCTCCGCCTTGTCCTCAAGCGACGCAAGGGTTTCGTAAAGATGGCCATCCGTACTGGGGCCGATCTGGTGCCCGTGCTAGCCTTCGGCGAGAACGACCTCTACGATCAGTTCCAAGCCGACTCGCATCCCCAGATCCACAAGTTCCAACTCATGGTCAAGAAGATCCTCGGCTTCACGATTCCGTTGTTCCACGCCCGCGGTGTCTTCAACTACGACGTGGGACTCATGCCCTACCGGCGCCCCCTGAATATCGTGGTCGGTAAGCCGATCAAGGTTGTTCAGCAGGAGAGGCCGGATCAGCAGACCATCGATAGGGTTCACGAGGAGTATGTCCGGGAGCTGGAGAGACTGTGGGATCTGTGGAAGGATGACTTCGCGCCGGAGAGGCAGGAAGAGATGCAGATTCTAGAATAGGGGCGGGTTTTTTTTCAATTCAACAAGGCCTTTCTTTTTCTTTTTCTTCTTTGTTTTTGGTGGGAGGGGGGGGGGGGGGGG